CTTTTCTCCCTGTAAAATTATTCTTGTATGGCCGTCAAAGAAGTTCAGCTATATGTGTATATGTACGTACGTGTGTGTGTGTGTGTGTGTGGGGGGGGGGTGCTCGTCACAAGAATTATGCCCTTGAAAAAGTCTTAAAGAAAAAGTGTAGCCTATATTATTATATAGGTCCGTATTTATATATATACATGTAGAGAGAGACATGGGGCATGGGGTTTAACGTCAACTCGACACAAACTAGGTGATTTCAGGACTAACATCATGGTTTAATTTTATTTCAATAATTAGCTTACACCATTAGGTGTCTTAATTAGCAGTGGGAGGAAACCGGAGGACCCGGAGAAAACCCACGAGGTTGTACAGGCGACCCTAGCCTACTCCTTGTCACGTACAACCGGGGATTCGAAACCACGTACGCCAGTTGACTCAATGACAGGCCTTATAATATGATACAGCGCGCACGTACTATCCATTTGGCTATCCAACACCCCAGATTCCTATATAATATACTATAGCGATAGAATTTTGTGGGATTCTATAGAATGCTATAGAATTCTACAGAAAATTGAAATCATTCTGCAGTGATAATCTCTTTTATCAAAAGTCCAATACTCCAAAGTTAAAACTGGTTTCTTCTGCTTTGTTTGAGACACATATTATTCCGCCGTTTTTTGTTTGTAGACTTCGCCTTCCAGTCTGTTTTCTGATAGTTCAAGACTACATTTACTGTTAGGAAAATATTTACCTTGGTTTCAACATTCAAGTTGCTTATTTTTGCGCTATACAGATAAACGTGTAGACAATGAAGAAAGGTGAGATGTGAACAATTTTTAGAGCTTCTTGTTCATTGGTGTACATTACTGTAGATTTGCAGCATTGAAATGATTCATAATTGACCCATATTCTACATCGCATGTTGAGCTGAGGCTAAAAATAGACTAATGCTGAGATCCGAAATATTAAAGGGGAGAGGGTGAGAGAAATGGTGTTTAAGTTTAAGGTCCACTCGACACAAACTAGGTCATTTCGGGACTAACATATGGTCAATTTAATTGCGGTACAACCAAGGAATCAAAACCATGCCAGTTGACTCAATGACAGACCTTATAATGATACAGCGGGCACGCGCTAATCGGCCATCCAACACCCAAAAATTAGGCCTAAAGGATTTAATCATTAATGCCTGTTTTTTATTTACCAACCATTTTGGAAATAAAATTTGGTTTAAGTTTTGCCTGGACGTCGGCACGGCTACAACTACAGACCGCAGTAATCACCCAAGTTCAATGAAACTTACATGATAACATTAATAATATCTTAAGGTAGCCAAAATTTCTGCTGATGTCTCCAAAACCGCTGAACTGAATCTGCTGAGGTGTTATTAATGTTATCATAATCTGTAAGTTTCATTGAAATCGGTTGATAATTGCGGTACGCAGATTTACAATCTGGTTAAAACACAGATTCTATTTCGTTTCGTTTTTATAGTTCAAAATTTCGTTTTACTTGTCTTTACTACACTTGGATATGGAAGAGTCGTTATATAACTCGTGTTCTGAATGGTGTCAGGGATAAGCCAATGAAACGGTCTGTTACGGCGAGCTTTAGACGTGTTTTTCACGGAACTGTGGGTAATTCACTAGTAACATCAATGCTGATTGGTTAATCAATGTTATAGGGTCATATGTTGGTCTTTTGACCCCTGACGTGACCTATCGCTATAACTTGTCAGATCTTTAGTAGTGTGGGCCATCGAAAGTATAAAAAAACGAAGCGAAATATGATAACATTAATAATATCTTAAGGTAGCCAAAATTTCGGCTGATGTCTCCAAAACCGCTGAACTGAATCCGCTGAGGTGTTATTAATGTTATCATAATCTGTAAGTTTCATTGAAATCGGTTGATAATTGCGGTACGCAGATTTACAATCTGGTTAAAACACAGATCCTATTTCTTTTCGTTTTTATAGTTCAAAATTTCGATTTACTTGTCTTTACTACACTTGGATCTGGAAGAGTTGTTATTTAACTTGTGTTCTGAATGGTGTCAGGGATAAGCCAATGAAACGGTCTGTAACGGCAAGCTTTAGGCATGTTTTTCACGAAACTGTGGGTAATCCACTAGTAACATCAATGCTGATTGGTTAATCAAATGTCTGACGTCCAGTGGCGGCGCCAGGGGGGTGGGCAAGGGGGGGCATTTGCCCTCTGTTTGCCCCCCCAATAATTTTAGAAAATAAAAAAAAAGTATTTGTGATATGTTTCGGTAATCAATACCTTCTACGGTGAATAAATCCCACAGTCCCACTCAGTCATAAACTTGCATGTTGTAGAGCGTTTCCGACAGTCTATTTTTCAAAATTTTCTTGGCGAGGTCCCCAATGGACTCGCTACTTTGGCGCTCACAAGGGGAATTCGTTGAGGTTTGCAAGTCCGTTCGTTTGACATTTTGTCCTCTAGTCGGATAAACTAGTGATCAGGCGACGAACGGTATCTGGGCAGATCTATTTATCTCGATGATCGGTGCCTGACAGAATACTGTAAGACAGCATTTCCGGCAGTCTATTTTTCAAAATTTTCTGGGGGAGGACTCCCTACTTGACGCTCGTGAGTGGGCTTCGTCGTGATTCGCAAGTCCGTTCGTTTGACACTTTACCTCATCGATCAGTGCCTGAAATACTGCCAGGCTGCATTTCCGGCAACCTATTTTTCAAAATTTTCTGGGGGAGGCCACCTACCCCTAGTTGAAACTCGTGCCTTTGCCCCCTTAACCTTGGACTGTGCCCCAGCTTTGCCCCTCCAATCACCGACGGCTGGCTCCTCCAATCACCGACGACTGGCGCGCCACTGCTGACGTCATAGGGTCGGTCATAAGTCGGTCTTTTGACCCCTGATGTGACCTATCGCTATAACTTGTCAGATCTTTAGTAGTGTAGGCCATGGAAAGTATAAAAAACCGAAACGAAATATAGATCTGTATTTTAATCAGATTGGCAGATTTACCACATGTGGCAAATAGACCAAGCCACCTTTTACATCTTATTTCCAGTTCCATCAGTTAAGAGGTTCTTTTACGTGCATGCCAAAGGGTAGGTCTACACATCCCCCTTCTGATCGGCGATATGTGTGTGTCCCTGCCAACCATTTTAGGGAATTGTTGGTTCTTAAATACGTCACTGTCATTACAGGGATATAGCTGTGTAGGACGAGTGGGGTGAAACGTACATGTAGCGGCAGTCCTCAGTCAATGACAATGCACCCTGAATTGTTTTATATCCAATCCAATCCTTGTAATTTAATATGACATTAATAGTCATCCATAATTATATGTTTTACTATAGATGAATATATTAAACAAACCTTATTCATGATCGACTTTAGCATTTATTAAAGATGCAATATGTAACAGTGAAATCTGCCTATTGCAGGTCTTTTTTTGGCCTCAAATGTTATATAGATTATAAGTTAGACATTTATTCACATGACAAGCTCATAATCAATTCTCTATAGACCATCAGATGGTCGTGATTTTTAATGGTTGAACCCTGATTGCCATTTAATAATTTAATTTAAAAATGGATAATCAAGACTTTGTTTATTATTGTATCAACGGTAGCAATGGTAACAATGAAAATCGACACTTTGCTATATGATCAAAACTTCAAACAGTCATAACTTTGCTCAGAATCAAGTAATTTGACTGTTCCTTATTTATTTTCTATTTGTAAACTGTAATAGTGAGAACTGTCAGCTTTTATCTAATCTCGCATATTGCTGCATGCATCTTTAAAGAGAATTTGCCCACCTAACTTCAGCTCTGTACCACAAGTGTTGAACTATTGTAGCAAGTAGCTGCAAATAAACCTGCCCAACAAGTTGCTCAAATGGATAGGATAACATGATTTAATATCTATTTGTATGCCTGGGGCCTGTTTCACGAAATTTTAACTAAGATAAAATCCAAATTTTAGTAATTTGATTGGATTAGATTGATTTTAGTGCTTAGCCAATCAAAATTCTACTAAAATTTGGATTTTATCTTTAGTTAAGATTTTGAGAAAAAGGACCCTGCATTTTTATTTTGTGAACCTGATATTGGACAATGGTCAATAGATTGGTTGAAACCTGCTTGAATTCATTGTTCATTGAATAATTACAAAGACCCTTTTCAAAATCACATAGCACTTGATTAATATTTGGGTTTATTTCATACATGGGCAAGAAGATTTTCAATCGAATTAATATTCTAGGCTATCTTTACTTAGTTTTGACTTTATATGGTTCTGATTTTCTACACCTCATAAAATCTAACATATGATTCAAAGCATCTGGTGTTTGTTATGATACATAACAGCTGTATTATTTAGGTGACTTATTGTGAGTTTATACATAAATCAGTAGACCATGTCCTGGCGTGACATTGACGATTTACAATAAACAAGTAAGAACATTAAACAATAATAAAAGATAAAATGTGTCTGATGTTAACCTTTTAGGACTTCGACCGCCCCAAACTGCCCTGACTGGGTCGCCTTAGACCGCCCAAAACAGCCTCGTCACACACACACACACAGTTGTGGCCCACGCAAAATTGTCCTTTTCTACTGCAATCTATTTCTTGGTATGTATCGGTATTAATATTACTTTTCTAGGCTTTCTTCAAAGAATTTGGGTATTCGATCTTTACATGTAACCAAGTGCTAAAGGGGTTGGTATAAGATAATGTGAAAGATAAAAAAAAGGCATATTGAGAAAACATCCGCGTTAATTCAGATTGGTAAATTTAATACAATCAGTGTTTATTTCAGGCATAATATGGTCGCTTTAAACTAAGAAATACAACTGTTAATGATAGGAAAATGGCACTGCCTCAGCCACCAAAACTACAAGATCAAAGAGTATGTCGAATTTTTTTCTCGTCTCCATTTGGAGGGATGGAAGATGAAAGAGAAATATTAACAAGAAAATATTTTCCACAAATTCATCATCTGTGTAATTCTCATGGTGTACAATTTGTAGCAGTTGATATGAGATGGGGTATAACCAAAGAAGCCGGTGAAAATGCTCAAGTTATAAATATCTGTTTACGTGAACTGGACAGATCAGATGTGTTTGTTGGTTTCCTTGGTAAGGTAAGTTATCAATTTGTATTTCTTTATTCAGTAGACCAAGAGGGTCGTCAGATGATTAGGGATGGGGTGCTTGGAGAGAATGGTCCTAGGACCTGTAGAAAACTTCCAGGATTTTTCAAGCTGCTTCCCACTTGCCATGTGTGATCCCTGCATCTGCATTATTGATAAGGTTGTAGAAAAGTGAGATTTGTTATTCTTATTGGCCAAGTTACACCGATGTACACATTGACAAGCATTTAAAAGAAGCATTTAAGTTTGAAAATTGAAGAAAGTAGGCTTAAATGATATGCTCTAGTTAAAATTCTTTTCCTTTAAATCAGCAGCTTGAGTTAATTATTTAATCCCGCTGTGAAAGTAATTATTAGAATAAATGTTGATGTGTACTATATATAGATCTAGTTGATTCTAAGGAAAACTAATGAGCAAATTCTTAGACTTGGGTTAAATTAGGAAAAATAATTAGGTAATTTAATGCTTTAGAGACATTTAGCAATGAAGCAGTACACAATAACGTTTTCAAGCAAGTAAGCAATGTACAGTAACAAATAGGAAGGACAAAAAGATGTACATGAAACAAGCAATGACAACAAGCTATGCAATTACAGTAACAAAAATGTAGGACAAATAGACAAGCAATAACAAGTACAGTAACAAAAAAGTAGACAAATAGACAGCAAAAACAAATTATGCAATAACAACAAATTATGCAAGTACAATAATCAGGGCTTGCCACGAGACGCGAGTAATTACTCGCGCGCACGCTACGCTCGCGTAAAACCAAATTTACGTGAGTGATTAAGTACTCGCGCAAATATAAAAAATAATTTAATCAGAAATAATTGAATATCGTAATATAAAAAGCCGTAAACAATTTGTATGCCTTCATATCGATGCACTATTGCGCACGCGGCGTGTCTTTCCAGTGCCAACTGTTGTTACTAAAAATACTTTGAGACGCGTACTGCCAGGCGGTTTTTAAGCGGATGTCCTTTGCCGTGTCTGGATAATCAAACATTGAGCGGATGTTGTCGTTTCTATTAATAGCAATTCTTTCGATCCCGCATCTTTTCTGCAAATTGATGGTGAGATGTGAACAATTTTTAGAGCTTCTTGTTCATTGGTGTACATTACTGTAGATTTGCAGCATTGAAATGATTCATAATTGACCCATATTCTACATCGCATGTTGAGCTGAGGCTAAAAATAGACTAATGCTGAGATCCGAAATATTAAAGGGGGAGAGGGTGAGAGAAATCAAATGGTGTTTAAGTTGGCGCTATTGCACTTTCGTACCTCTACCAGTTCCCGTGGTCATAGGCACTTGAAATTTTCAGAGGATGTTAAGGGGGGCTAGCAATGACCACACACCAAATTTCAGCCAAATCGATAAATAACTTTTTATTTTACCGACCTTTTAATTTCTAACGAGAGAGAACTTCATCCGTTTGACGCCATTTGCTTTGTTTACTAATTAGACTTGAATAACAAGACACTAAGACGGAAACCGACTCGAATAACAAGACACTTAGACGGAAACCGACACACTGCACTAGCTGCCTAACACTGCAGTTCATAAAAATTAATATAATTTTCGTATACTTTAATTTTTGCGCGAAGCCACCATTTTCTATAAAATACTATTTGGTGTTGATCAGTGGATTGGCCTTTAGGTGTAAATATTGCCGTGACCTTGATTTTGACCTTGAGGCCAAACTTCCCATCCATATCGGGGCCTTTGCGTTTATGCTTGCCGTGGCCTTATTTCTTACTGTATTATCAAAGTTAATGTTCGAGGTGAAAGCAGAGATGACGTCCTTCAGAAAAGATAATTGGGTCAAAGTCGTAGGTCAAGGTCATGTTACAGAAAACTAAACTCAAATTTTTCAAAGTCATTTTTGGGACATTTGACCTTGACTTACGACCTTGACCCCGTAACCATTTTCGAAAGTTATCACATTGGCTTGAATCATGAACGTTTAACTTGGTCCTGTCGCACACTGCTCGGCCAGAAAACGGTCAAACGCAGAGGGTCCGTGTCCGAAAGGAAGTCAATGGGCGTGGTCAATGTGAAAGGTCGTGGTGACCTCCACTAGTCACCGTTAACCATCCGTAACCTTGACTCTGACCTTGAGTCCAAACGTCCCATCCATCTCGGGCCCTTTGCGTTTATGCTTGCCGTGGCCTTATTTCTAACTGTATTATCAAAGTTAATGTTCGAGGTGAAAGCAGAGACGACGTCCTTCAGAAAAGATACTTGGGTCAAAGTCGTAGGTCAAGGTCATCTTACAGAAAACTAAACTCGGACTTTTCAAAGTCAGTTTTGGGACATTTGACCTTGACTTACGACCTTGACCTCGTAACCATTTTCGAAGGCTATCACCTTGGCTTGAACCATCGACGTTTACTTTGGTCCTGTCGCACACTGTTCGGTCAGAAAAGGGTCAAACGCAAAGGGCCCGTGTCCGAAAGGAAGTCAATGGGCGTGGTCAATGTGAAAGGTCGTGGTGACCTCCACTAGTCACCTTTAATCATCCGTGACCTTGACTTTGACCTTGAGTCCAAACTTCCCATCCATCTCGGGCCCTTTTCGTTTATGCTTGCCGTGACCCTATTTCTTACTGTATTATCAAATTTAATGCTTGAGGTGAAAGCAGAGACAACGTCCTTCAGAAAAGATAAATGGGTCAAAGTCGTAGGTCAAGGTCATGTTACAGAAAACTGAACTCAAACTTTTCAAAGTCAGTTTTGGGACATTTGACCTTGACTTACGACCTTGATCCCATTACCATTTTCAAAGCCCATAATCGTGGCTTGAACCATCGACGGTTACCTTGGCCCTGTCGCACACTGCTCGGTCAGAAAACGGTCAAACGCAGAGGGGCCCCGTGTCCGAAAGGAAGTCAAAGGGCGTGGTCAATGTGAAAGTTCGTGGTGACCTCCACTAGTCACCTTTAACCATCCGTGACCTTGACTTCGACCTTGAGTCCAAACTTCCCATCAATCTCGGGCCCTTTTCGTTTATGCTTGCCGTGACCCTATTTCTTACTGTATTATCAAAGTTAATGCTTGAGGTGAAAGCAAAGACAACTTACGAGCTTGACCCGTAACCATTTTCAAAGCCCATCATCTTGGCTTGAACCATCGACGTTTACCCTGGCCCTGTCCCAAAAATGACTTTGAAAAGTTTGAGTTTAGTTTTCTGTAACATGACCTTGACCTACGACTTTGACCCAATTATCTTTTCTGAATGACGCCGTCTCTGCTTTCACCTCGAACATTAACTTTGATAATACAGTAAGAAATAAGGTAACGGCACGCATAAACGCAAAGGGCCCGTGATGGATGGGAAGTTCGGACACTAGGTCAGGGTCAAGGTCACGGATGGTTAACGGTGACTAGTGGAGGTCACCACGACCTTTCACATTGACCACGCCCATTGACTTCCTTTCGGACACGGCCCCTCTGCGTTTGACCCTTTTCTGACCGAGCAGTGTGTGACAGAACCAAGGTAAACGTCCATGATTCAAGCCAAGATGATAGCCTTCGAAAACGGTTACGGGGTCAAGGTCGTAAGTCAAGGTCAAATGTTCAAAAAATGACTTTGAAAAGTTTGAGTTTAGTTTTCTGTATTATGACCTTGACCTACGACTTTGACCCAAGTATCTTTTCTGAAGGACGTCGTCTCTGCTTTCACCTCGAACATTAACTTTGAAAATACAGTAAGAAATAAGGCCACGGCAATCATAAACGCAAAGGCCCTGATATGGATGGGAAGTTAAGACTCAAGGTCAAAATCAAGGTCACGGCAATATTTACACCTAAAGGCCAATCCACTGATCAACACCAAATAGTATTTTATAGAACATGGTGGCTTCGCGCAAAAATTAAAGTATACGAAAATTATATTAATTTTTATGAACTGCAGAGATAGGCAGCTAGTGCAGTGTGTCGGTTTCCGTCTTAGTGTCTTGTTATTCGAGTCTAAATAGTAAACAAAGCAAATGGCGTCAAACAGATGAAGTTCTCTCTCGTTAGAAATTAAAAGGTCAGTAAAATAAAAAGTTATTGATCGATTCGGCTGAAATTTGGTGTGTGGTCATTGCTAGTCCCCCTTAACATCCTCTAATAATTTCAAGTTCCTACGACCACGGGAACTGGTAGAGGTACGAAAGTGCAATAGCGCCGTTTAAGTTTAAGGTCCACTCGACACAAACTAGGTCATTTAGGGACTAACATATGGTCAATTTAATTTCAATAATTCACTTGCGCGGGCCGTCTTTAGCAGTGGGAGGAATCTGGAAAACTTGGAGAAAACCCGCAAGGTATGAACAGGCGCCCCAAGTCCTTGCGGTACAACCAAGGAATCAAAACCATGCCAGTTGACTCAATGACAGACCTTATAATGATACAGCGGGCACGCGCTAATCGGCCATCCAACACCCAAAAATTAGGCCTAAAGGGTTTAATCATTAATGCCTGTTTTTTATTTACCATTTTTGGAAATAAAATTTGGTTTAAGTTTTGCCTGGACGTCGGCACGGCTACAACTACAGACCGCAATAATCACCCAAGTTCAATGAAACTTACATGCATGATAACATTAATAATATCTTAAGGTAGCCAAAATTTCTGCTGATGTCTCCAAAACCGCTGAACTGAATCTGCTGAGGTGTTATTAATGTTATCATAATCTGTAAGTTTCATTGAAATCGGTTGATAATTGCGGTACGCAGATTTACAATCAGGTTAAAACACAGATCCTATTTCGTTTCGTTTTTATAGTTAAAAATTTCGTTTTACTTGTCTTTACTACACTTGGATCTGGAAGAGTTGTTATTTAACTTGTGTTCTGAATGGTGTCAGGGATAAGCCAATGAAACGGTCTGTAACGGCGAGCTTTAGGCGTGTTTTTCATGAAACTGTGGGTATCCACTTGTAACATCAATGCTGATTGGTAAATCAAATGTCTGATGTCCAGTGGCGGCGCCAGGGGGGGGGGGGGGGCAAGGAGGGGGCATTTGCCCCCCAATTAATCTGGTCTGCCCTCTGTTTGCCCCCCCCAATAATTTTAGAAAATAAAAATAAAAGTATTTTTGATACGTTTTGGTAATCAATACCTTCTACGGTGAATAAATCCCACAGTCCCACTCAGTCATAAACTTGCATGTTGTAGAGCATTTCCGACAGTCTATTTTTCAAAATTCTTTTACCTTTCTAAGCTATACCCGAATCCCCTCAGCATGCCAACGATGACAAAGGGAAGCCCAGTTTCTCTTGCAACGTTCTTGTCATGGGAAGACGATTTACAGATATTTTTTTTTGCCAAGGAAATAAAAGAGTATGCATTGTCATTGTGTGTGAAATAGCTTTATTCAACGTCCGCTTCCACCGAAGTGACAAGAGCATTGCCATTAGGCACATGAAATTTAAATGGCTACTCACGCACATCATTCTGCGTGAGTAAATACATGTACTCGCCTCACTCGCGCAAGTCTATATTTGCGTGAGTAGTCATCTACTCGCCTCCAATTTGCTCGTGGCAAGCCCTGCAATAACAAATGAGTTTAACAAATAGACAAGCAATAACCACAATTTATGTAAGAATTATGGTTCTGTTTTTCAGAGATATGGATGGCATGGTAAAGATGATAAATTATTGCAACAGAATTTTGATAATGCTATTGGTCGACATCTATGGGTTGACAATGTCCGCCATCATAGTGTTACAGCTGTGGAATTTATGCATGGTCATCTAAATAACCCTGGTGATATTCCATCTTGTTTTGCATTTCGGAGCAAGGTATATTTACATCTACACCGGTCACAATTCTATGGAATACAATTACTGCTTATTAATGAGTGAAATTGCCACCAGACTTCTCTATAATATATAGTCTTTATCATCATTGCTTGATAATGACTGGAGAAGCCTAGTTAAAATTTCACTCAGTAATAAGCAGTAATTGTATTCCATAGAATTGTGACCTGTATATTCCAGATCCCTTATTCACGAAAACTTAAACTAAGATACAATCAAAATTTTAAGAAATACTGCAATTCGATTGGCTAACCAGTAAAATCAATTTGCATATATCCAATTTGCATATTGGTCAGCCAATCAAATTGCAGTATTTCTTAAAATTTCGATTGTATCTTAGTTTAAGTTTTTGTGAATAAGGGCCCAGTTCAATTACTAATTGCCATTGAAATAATTTATATTTACATTTGTGTTTTACGAACTTCCTTTTAAAGGAAACCCTGAGTGCTGTCAAAGAAAGTGGTCTTACTCCTCAAAAGATTTAGGTCCACCTATATTACACATTGGGCTGCAGACTATACTCTTCTGACTGTTAGAATTTGGAGAAGAGTGGGTAGAAATGCCAAGTCTATCCCACACAGTTTCCTCCTGCATTGCTCATGTAATGCTTGGTTCCCACTATCATGATTCGAGCTACAATTGAAATTGTAGTTTTAATGATGGAGTAATCATGGTGATCCTATCAGGTCTTATCATAAATTGAGGTCAGTTGTAGCAGTCGTGTTGATTGTATTGAAATGTATCCAAACGTATCTGCATGTAACAAGATGATGCGGGTATCCTACTACACCATTTGAACAACCAACACCCAAGGATCAAGTTCACCATGGAGAATGAAACCAGCAACAGTCTTCCTTTCCTAGACATACTAGTTAAAAGAAAGGACTCTAAAATAATTACCTCAGTATACAGAAAGCCAACCCACACGGACCAGTATATTCATTATAAATCAAACCACCCTAACAGCACTAAGGCAGCCGTCGTCGCCACCCTAACAAAAAGAGCCAAAAACATTTGTGACCCTGAAACACTCCCCCACGAAGTACAACTCCTTACAGACGTTTTCACCAAACACAATGGGTATCCGCTACAGATGGTCAAAAAGATTATTAATTCCACACTATCCGACCTACCAAAACCAGATAAACTAAAACCTGATAAAGCCCCTATATGAGTGTTTATACCCTTCCACGGAAACATCTCCCACCAAATTAGAAGATTATTAAAACAAGAAGCGCAGATAGAAACCACATATCTCAAAGGCAAGACAACCAAGGATTTAATAAAAGCAAATGGTAAGATAACCCCCACCAAACCCATCTCCCCAAAAGGGTGTGTTTACCAAGTCATCTGCAGCTGTGGGGAATCATACATTGGAGAATCGAAGAGGCCCTTAGACATCAGAATCAAAGAACACATGTCGAAAACACCCACCAACCAATCTGCCATTGCCGAACACCTATTTGAAAACCCGCGCCACCGAGTGAACTGGACTAACGTCAAAAAGTTAGCTGTTAATTGCCACAACAAACGAAACCGAAGAACCCATGAAGCTATTAATATACACAGGCGTGAACCAAAACTAAACAGGGACCCAGGAATTTACATTCCAAGAGGGTATGATCGCATCATTAAAATGTAGTTTACATCGTCTCTGAACTATCCTTTAATTTTAATATTTGGATTGCTTTTAACTTTGTACATCTCCTCAAATCAATTACAATTTGCTTTACTGCATACTGCCTTCACTGTTAGGATTAACTGCTTATGGCTTCAGTTTCACCCCCCATAATACTTGTCCTTTCATCTTTTATTGTCCCCCGCCTTTCGAAGAAAGCAGGGGACTATTAAAATGGGTTCGTCCGTCTGTCTGTCTGTCCGTCTGTCTGTCCGTCTGTCTGTCCTTCACACTTTTTGGGACACAATAACTCTCTTCCTAATTGAGCTAGAATGTTCAAACTTGGTGTATGTGTTTATTAGGTCAATGCCTTGATGGAGTTCGAAGATGAGCATTTTCCGCTTAGGGTAAGCAGAGATAAGCAATTTGATTGGTTGATGCTTTGGGACACGATAACTCTCTTCCTAATTGGGCTAGAATGTTCAAACTTGGTGTATGTGTTGATTAGGTCAATGCCTTGATGGAGTTCGAAGATGAGCATTTTCCGCTTAGGGTAAGCAGAGATAAGCAATTTGATTGGTTGATGCTTTGGGACACGATAACTTTTAATTGAGCTAGAATGTTCAAACTTGGTGTATGTGTTTATTAGGTCAATGCCTTGATGGAGTTTGAAGATGAGCATTTTCCGCTTAGGGTAAGCAGAGATAAGCAATTTGATTGGTTGATACTTTGGGGCACGATAACTCTCTTCCTAATTGAGCTAGAATGTTCAAACTTGGTGTATGTGTTGATTAGGTCAATGCCTTGATGGAGTTCGAAGATGAGCATTTTCCGCTTAGGGTAAGCAGAGATAAGCAATTTGATTGGTTGATGCTTTGGGACACGATAACTTTAGTTCTAATTAAGTGAGATTGATGAAACTTGGTGTATAGTTTCATTACAGTAATACCTTGACTAAGTTTGATAATGAGCATTTTCTGCTCAGGGTAAGCAGAGCGATACGCAATTTGATTGGTCGAGACTTTGGAAAACAATAACTCTCCTACTTTGATTGTCCCCCGCCTTTCGAAGAAAGCAGGGAACTATTAAAATGGGTTCGTCCGTCTGTCTGTTTGTCTGTCTGTCCGTTCCGCTTATGGTAAGCAGAGATAAACAATTTGATTGGTTGATCTTCGAATTGAGTAAATGTTCATGCTTATTGTCCCCCGCCTTTCGAAGAAAGCAGGGAACTATTAAAATGGGTTCGTCCGTCTGTCTGTTTGTCTGTCCGTTCCGCTTAGGGTAAGCAGAGATAAACAATTTGATTGGTTGATGCTTTGGGACACTATAACTTTAGTTCTAATTAAGTAGATAAACAATTTGATTGGTTGATGCTTTGGGACACTATAACTTTAGTTCTAATTAAGTGAGAGTGATGAAACTTGGTGTATAGTTTCATTACAGTAATACCTTGACTAAGATCGATAATGAGCATTTTCTGCTCAGATTAAGCAGAGCGATTAGCAATTTGATTTGCTGAGACTTTGGAACACAATAACTCTCCTTCGAATTGAGTTAAAATGTTCAAAATTGGTGTGTATGCTTATTGTCCCCCGCCTTTCGAAGAAAGCAGGGGACTATTAAAATGGGTTCGTCCGTTGTCTGTCTGTCCGTCACACTCCTTCGAATTGAGTTAAAATGTTTTTCGGCGGGGGACATCAGCCTCACTGTTGGCTTGTTATTACTTTCATCTATAACTAATTACTGTATATATATATATATATATAGAGATTTATTTAATATGTTTTTACAGTCAGGACCAGTTGCTCGTGACTCATTATACCTGCTAATAATTGTTTGATCCTTTGGCTTCATTCTTGCACTTATCTATACCAATTACAGTTTATAACCATCTATGTACATTGTTAATTTAACGGCTTGGGACAGTTGTTCATGCTTGCTGATTTTGCATCCCATTGGAGGGTTCGCACTGCTCGTGTATATATATATAGCTATTTTGTTTTCATTTTATTTATTTGTGTTATATGCTTGATAACGACTTGTGAAATCTTGTTGAAACGTCGCAGTGAAATAAACCACAGTAATTGTTATCCATAAATAGTGTGTTATTTGAGTATACTTAAACATTCTGCAGCACATTAAAAGTACCTTCTACTTTAGACCCAATCAAATATGAATGTTACCCATATGAGTAGCAGAAAAGGGCCTTAAACTTTTGTTTGTAATATACTGTACTGTACATATGTAAAAAATATAAATATTGGGAAATCTACTGGCTATCCAGTATTAGGATAAGGCTAATTGTGAGAGACTACAAAATTAAAAAACATACCTGGAGAACACATACCCTAACCCTGTAGTATACATGCCCCTTTGTGTTTGGCATCAGCCCCCTGACTTAAGAATTGCCTCCCTGTTCATAATTAGTGACAAAACAGTTAAAGAATTGGCAATTTTATCATTAGGAGTATGATGAAAAATTACACAAAGAAGCAAAAAGAGAAAAGGATACGAAGAAAGCTGCTAAATATACAAGTGAGAGTGATTATGCAGCGAAAATGTTGGATGAACTTAGACTTGACATCGTCAACACTAAAGATAAAGTAAGCTTGTTATTTAGTCAATTCTATACTAATATTTGGGACTGTCATTTGTTTGTCTGTTCAGGGTTGGTGACTGTCCTGAGGCTGAAATTTGGTGTATAGAGGTAGCTTGGATCTGGGAGGGGAGTAACATATAGGCCTGGTGGCGATGGACCACCATTTCCAGTGTCGGAATTATGCTACTTCTGGTTCATGACTATACCCATGCTATGCTCCGCTAGTATATTATATTTGTATCAGATGAATTCAGGAATTGTTTAGTTTTTTCTTGAATATCTGAAAAGTCTTTAACAATTTCAGTACTTGATGCTCGTCACAAAATAATAACACACTACATAAACTCTCAATTAGAATAGTAACCTTGTGACCATATTGACCATTACAAATTGACATTACATTGGACTTAATCAACAGGTCATCATCACAAGTTACTTAAAGTAGCTAAGTCTCTAACTCAATATCATCCAAAAACTTCAACATTGAAAATACAAATTATTTGTCAATTTAATCAACATTGATGCTGTGATCTTACCGGAAAAAGATGAGCTTCTGATATCCAATATTTAAAACAAAATAAACATTTTGCCATTGGTACACGAATCGTGTACCATAATGCGTTTCAGCCCCAGTTCTAGCAAGAGACTCGAGGAACGAGGCTAGACATATTGCACCAAACCAAACGGCTTTTGTAGACTGGAATAACCAGGCGCTAGAAATTTGCATTCGATTGAGACTGCGGGCTTATTTCGCGGAACATAACTGATTTGAAATTAGAGTTAAAACGAAAACCATTGAATGTATATCAGTTTATATACATTCATATTACAGTATTATATGAGTTGCGACCCACTTGTGTCAATTTCTAGGTCCCAAATGTTAGCGATTTAGCTCCTTTAAACTTCCATGGGAGCCAATTGGGCTAATTACTGGGTCCTATTTTATTATTAGAATAGCAATTAAAACAGAAGACCAGCAGTACAAGGACTATTAAAAGTGGGATTATATAATTGAAAGTACTATTAAAATGGTTTAATTGTAGAATGTGAACTATTTCATCTTATCTGTATATCTTTGAGTTGTAAATAATGTAATATATCTTTCTCTTCAGTTATTAGATGTCCATGTTGATTATAAAGATCCTGAAGAGGTAAATTTAAATAAACCATATAATGGTCCCTTCTTGTTAATTGCCCATATGAGATAGAGGCATTGGAAGTCACCGAATGTGTTATATATATATCACAAAAATAGTAAACATTGGTAGGGTCATATGAATTTCTTAAGTAATGGTTAAGCAAAGAGATGGAAGATTTTCCTTCACAAAAAAAGCAACAGGTATTTTATATGTCTACGCATTTGATTACTGTGTTGATGACATGGGGTGAAAAGGAGTAGGGTCGTCTGTCCAACCTCGTGGGTTTTCTCTGGGTCCTTCGGTTTCTTCCCACTGCTAAAGACTCCTACATGCAAGCGAGGTATTGAAATAAAATTGAACCATGTGTTAGTCCCGAAATGACCTAATTTGTGTTGAGTGGACATTAAACCCCATTTCTCTCTCTTTCTCTCTGATGACATGGGATAATGAAATTATTGGCTTGTAAAATAATGACTTATATGTGTGGGTTTAAATGAAAGCTATTTTAACCTGTCTTAATTCTCGTCACCCAATGATTATTTGTAGTGTTATGGCTGCTAACTCCAAAATTTGTGTACATGCTAGTACACAATCAATATTGATGACAGGGCCAGATTTACCAATAGGCATAGCTGGTCATTGGCCTAAGGCCCATGGGTATCAAGGGCCCGATATGCAGGGATACACTCGAGTGAACCATTGAATAACCCGAGCGGTATTCAATGGTCCTTGATTTCTGTTTTTATTCTATAACTACATGAAAATCTCAAAATACACTGTACTATTCAGATTATCAAAAAGAAAATCATCAATAACATTAAAATTCATCATAGGTTCCGCCCATTTTTCTTTTTTTTTTACAAAAATTGTGTTTGCTAGTGTTGACGTCATTACAGTTTGACGTAATTCTGAAAGTGACATCATTCTGGACAAAAGTAGTACGTTTTCAAGCCATTGAATACAACCTTAGGTTATTCAATGGCTGTATTCAATGATATTTGCTTGTATTTGCATGTAGTTATAGAATAAATATATATATTGGATACTAAAACATGTCTACATTTGTATAGATTTGAGGGCTCAGCAGTATAGGGCCCATAAGTAGGTAAATCTGGTCCTGATTGATACTATGTGTATTAGTTGCTTTGACTTGACAACCTCCCATTCTATTTTTTAGGGCGCAAAACTTTTGTTTAATACCATCTGGAAGTATTTAACCAATGATTTATTAATAACGGAGAACGATGTAACAGAGAGTATGAGACAGTTAGCTGAACATGATGCTTATTTAGCTGCTAGAGTTAGTATATATTTACCACAAGATGATCATATCAATAAACTTGATGCTGCTCTATATTCAGGTTAGTATCGTCAGAAAAAGTCATGATGTTCCAGTCCACTGTTAAGGTGCCCCACCATAAATAAAAATATTCAAATATACCACAATATTCAAATATATAACAAGCCTTACTGTCTGATTCATCGTAAATTTTAAACGGATTTCTTCGATTATGAACAAACTACTTAACGTTGGTTATTATAAACTTACCTGTGTGTTTGTAATGAACTCCCGTTCGATAAAATCCATTGCACAACTAATTATCACAACGATGAAAACAAGTTCTCTCTTGAAAAATTGAAATATCACAAACTTTTCCCAGAGAAAAATACCAATGTGGAAGATGGTTACGTCACTCTGCGGAAGATATCATTTCGTATTAGGGGTGACAGCATAGGAAATTCAAGTACAATTACGACAAGAATCCATGACCACTCGGACCAAAGATCACTCGGTTCAAGACCAGTCGGACCAAGTGATAGACCACTCAGCCCAAACAAATAGACTACTCGGACCATACAAAAAGACTATTCGGACCCAACAGAAAGACGACTCGGACCAATAATAAAATGTTGTTTTAATAAATTGATAATTGCGTTTGTTTTAATATAATTACTCGAACCAATAATAAAGTGTTATTTTAATAAATTGATAATTGTGTTTATTTTAATATGACTACTCGAACCAATAATAAAGTGTTATTTGAATAAATTGATAATTGTGTGTGTTTTAATATGACTACTCGAACTAATAATAACGTGTTGTTTGAATAAATTGATAATTGTATTCCAAATCGCAAAATATCGAGAACCACACTTGTAGTCACGTTTAAAAAGGGGCATATAAACGTCCGGTCTTCGTATTATTATGTGCTGTTTATATTAACGCATCAAGGGCGGATAACTTGAAAACGTGTCTCCACCCCCCCCCCCCCCACCCCCATATATAGTAACCCAGGGGTTAGTGGGGTAGAACGGAATGAAACCACTGGGGATACCGCGAATGTGGAAAAAGTAAAATTAGGCTATCAGACAAGAACAGTATACCCGTATATGTAGAAACTGTCAAAAGTCTGGACATACCGAGTCTCATTGCAAGAGTAAAGAAAAATTAGATTGATATTTTTTTTTGGCACCATTATTAATTAATTTTAAAACTAATCCTTGATTTATTTACGTACACAAAATTGAACCAAACAACTCTAAATATAAGAATTCCGTATAAGAATTATTTGCTTCTTTGTATTGTGATTTAATAATAAATAAATAGCATATTGTCTAGCCTTATAATATAATTTAATTGGTCCGACTGGTCTTGTTTTGGTCCGACTGGTCTTAGTCCGAGTAGTCTTTGGTCCGAGTGGTCTGGATACCTACGACAATTGGCATTGAGTTTGAGCGTTCGCACACATAACTACCCGCATTCCTGTATTTAGTTACCGTCTTTTACATTCTAGTAAAATCTCTGCAAATTTTATAGCTTTACTTTTTGAAATATTTTGTTCTAATTATTTGATTAGCGACTCGGATGGGATTATTTACTTTTGAACACGCATGCCGCACAAACACAACTATACATTCGTTTTACGGGCTTTATCACACTTCGGTCAAAACTGTCGAATCGAGAATTAATGTTCTTACGGGGTCATACGGGCTTAGTAGCATTATATACCATTATATATGTTACTGAAGCGGTTATTATTCGATCGAAAGAATGCGTATAAAATTAAAAATACACTCAGAGAATTCGGAGGTAAGCTTCATGATCCTTGTTAAATTATTTATAACATGAAGAAGATAGGATATTTATAGTTTATTCATGACTTTATTTTTACGAGTATCCGTGCAATCAGTGATATTTTAATTGTGAAGAAAATTTGATAGACTGGCGATCAATGGTTTCCATATAAATCTCCTATGTAATTGCCTTCAATTGATATTTTTCGTCGCCCAAACCCATATACGATCAAAATGATCGCGCTGTCAAACTATCTTTCAATGTTAACCAACCCCCGCAACAGGTATATTGGATTCGACCAATACGTCACGAAGACATTGTTGACATCGACTCAGTCGAAATTACAAGTAAATTTTCAAATTTTTCAAGAGCGAAATTGTTCTCATCGTTGTGATAATTAGTTGTGCAATGGATTTTATCGAACGGTAAGTTTATAATAACCAAAGTTAAGTAGTTTGTTCATAATCGAAGAAATCCGTTTAAAATTTACGATGAATCAGACAGTAACTTAGTTTCTCCTATTTATCGTCACTAAATAGGTGAAAATCTTTGCATAAGTCATTAATTCAAATATTAACAAATGAAATGGAGTTTAACAGCCTACTTTTCTGCACCAACTGGGCTAATGAAGATGTGCATACACCATTCAGGGTGCTATGAGGGAAATTTTGCTCAGAGGCATACTACAGCCTTTTTTTTAATTTTAGCTTTGAACTGTCAGGTTTTTTGGAGATACCATCCCAACGACTATATGTTGTCCCTTGTCGGGCCTTCCACTGGCAAGGAGAAACCAAGCTGGAAAATTCTGGGCCAACACCAGGATCAAACATGGGAACTCTAGGTTAGCGAGCCAACGTCTTTATCACTGACCCACCGCTGTGGTCTGCTTATGTATGTTTATCCAATCTCGTGTGTTTTCTCCGGGTCCTCCAGTTTCCTCCCACTACTAAAGACCTCTACACAGAAGTCAATTATTAAAATAGAATGAACCATGAGTTAGTCCCGAAATGACCTAGTTTGTGTCCAGTGGACGTTATACCCCACTCAATCTCTCTTTCTGTTTATTTATGTAATTAAAAAAGAATAATGGCAATTGTTATATATTTACAGGTGATCCACGGCCATACATTGTAATGGGAGATGTAGGAAGTGGAAAATCAGCGTTACTTAGTAACTGGATACATCAACATCGTCATGACAACAATAATGATACTATTTGGATCTACCATTTTGTTGGTGCTGCTTCTGGAAGTACTTGTATGTATATAAAAACAGTACAAGTAAAATTATGATTTCAATATCGACTCTCTGAGAATTGCTCTCTGACTTTCATCACCCAAATCTTCACTGACATGGTAATAGTTTCCTATGTCTGTCTCTAACCTGGAACACAAGAATATTTAGTTTGGTTGAAGTGAGGATTGAACATGCAACCATTTGGTCACACATCTAACTCCCTACTATGACAAGCAGTAGGGTCACCTGTCCAACCTCGTGGGTTTTCTCCAGGTCCTCCAGTTTCCTCCCACTGATAATAACCCATATGATAATCTGAATAGTACAGTGTATTTTGAGATTTTCATGTAGTTATAGAATAAAATTAAAAAAGGAAGAAAACAGCTTGTAAGTTGTAAACACCATTTTCATGTAGTTATAGAATAAAATTAAAAAAGGAAGAAAACAGCTTGTAAGTTGTAAACACCATTTCCTCTACAGGTAATGAATAGAGCGTTTGTATTCTCATCAGAAACAATTTTGCTGGACTTAACACTATTCTTCGGGTAACTTTGTATTTAAGTGGTTCAGTGAGTAGAGAGAGAGAGAAATGGGGTTGAACGTCCACTCGACACAAACTAGGTCATTTCGGGACTAACATGTGGTTTAATTTTATTTACATAATTCGCTTGCACATAGGGGTCTTTAGCAGTGGGAGGAAACTGGAGGACCGGGAGAAAACCCACGAGGTTGGACAGGCGACCCTACTCCTTGCCACGTACAATCAGGGATTCGAAACCACGCCAGTCGACTCAATGACAGACTTTATGATACAGCGCGCACACGCTAACCATTCAGCCATCCAACCCCCCGGTTCAGTGAGTAAGACATTGGCTCACTAACCAAGTTCATTCCTGGTGTTGGCCGAGAAAGTTCCCTGGGATTTTCAAGTATGGTTTCCCATTGTCAAAGAGGCCTGGCAAGGAACAGTGTCTAGTCATTTGGATGGGATGAAAAACTGAGGTCCCATGTACACGTTGGCATCCATGTAAATGAACCCTTGACAGATGGAATATGAAATAAAGAGTAGGCTGTAGCACCACTGTCCGGGCAAGATTTCCCTTACAGCACACTGTTAGACATTTGCCCATCTTCTTTAGCCCAGTCGGTGCAAAAAAATAGGATGTTAAACCCCATTTCATTTCATATTTCAGTACCAAAACAAATTCTCAACAGAATTATAAATGATTTGACGTCTGCCTTAAAAGAGGAGGAAGATAAAAATGACAAATCGAAAGAAAAGGGTGACGGTGAAGAGGAAATGGCCGTTTGGAAATTACTAGAAAACCTTAATCTTATATTAAGAAAAGCTCGACACCAGGAAAAGAAAGTGGTGATTGTCATAGACGGTCTTAATAAAATACAACAACCAAAGAAAATAGCAACGGTGATATATTATTTTGTGTTTGATGCCATAAAATGATAAATTATGTACATATGAGGAAATCTGAGGTTGACGGTTTGACAATTAATTGTAGTTTTTTTTACAGTATAATGTAATAGTACCATGTCTCAATCCATGCTAAAATGTACTCAAATTTATTATTTAACATTTAAACAAGGAAAAAAAAACCTATCAGCAGTAGCTAATCTACCAGCTTGGATTCACTCTAATTAAACACAATCCTATCATAAGAATCAGCAAAACATGACAGAATTTGATGAAGGATAAGCAGAAACGCCACTGTCCAGGCAGGATTCCCCAAATAGCACACTGCATCGTGTATGCCTATCATCATTAGCCCTTTTTGGTAGAGAAAACTAAGCATTTAACCCCATTTTGATTTGAAAGAAGTTACTTATTTTGGGCCTTGGCTCCTTTCAACCATATAGCTATGGTTAGATGTTAATTTTCTTTCAGATGAGGACCTTCTTCATTTTATTATGTTTATGAATCTTCAGGCATATTATTGGGTACCTAAAGATTTACCGCTTGGTGTATTTATGGTTTTATCAACATCGTCTGGTGATGAGGCAGCTCATGAAGTTTTTATTTTAGAACAGAAATATCAAGTTATTAAAATAAAACATTTAGATAACGAAGCCAAACAAGAATTGTGTGTGGTAAGTTCAAATGTCAATCAAGAATGAATAATATCCAAATAGAAAATTGCTATATCTGGGCTTTTGTTGCTGTTATATTTCTCGATCCTAACAGATTGGTCGTTAAATTGACCGGCTGGAAATCTTACTTGTCAATTTACCCTACCTTAAAATTAGAATTTCAAAGAATTTAACCTTACAACACAATAAATACAATTATATTTATAGTTTGTATGTAAAAACACTTAAAAATATATAACAAAATTTGCAGTATTCTAAAATTAGACATATTCTATGGAAGAAAAATATAATAAACAGACAGATTTATGGATAACATTCACTAGGTTTATTAACTGCAAAGTTTCAATGAGGATACTCTCACTGTTATCAAGCAATGATACAATCAAACATGTTACAGATGGTAATATACAAGTGGATAAATAACAATAAACTAATTAACAGTTTAAAAAAGTTAGATTGTTGCTAACCCTTGTATGCTTCTCTTCTGATTTAACAAGTTGATTAATCTGTTTTACTGCCACATCTCCATATTGATGACTTATAGTATCTTTGAAAGGCATTTAGTGAAAGCGATAAAAAAAATATCTTGCTAATTAGATTAAAGATAACTACAATCAGTCAAAAATTGACTGACAAGCAAATTTTGAAAGTGAAAGCCCTCCTACTTTAGCTAAAACAATACTGAAAGTAGAGATAATGTAATTTTGACTGTATCATATTCAAATTAAGGTAAATTTAAAAAGGTTTCATAAACTCCATAAAAAAAACACTCATGGAGTGTTGTATGAGGAAAATTTTGGGTGGACAGCGGCGCTACGTCCTACTTTTAATTTAAATTTGAACTGTCAAGGGTCATTTACATGCACGGCATTGTGTACACAGGAAATTGGTTTTTCATCCCATCAAAATGACTATACTTTTTTCCTTGCCAGGCCCTCCATCCCACATCACTGACAAGGGGGAAACACGCAGAAAAATCCTTATTTACTTTTGCAGCCAACGCAGGGAACGAACACATCACCTCCAGGTTAGCGAGCCAATGTCCTACTCACTGAGCCACCGTGACTCCGATGTGTAGTAGGACTGACTGTCAGGTGTAAATTTCTGTGTTTTTCTTTTTCAGAGAGCACTCAAAGAAAGTGGAAAAGAATTATCACCATATCAATTAAAGAAAGTATTAAATGCAAAATTAACGAATAATCCACTTTATTTGATGATTATATTGTGGGTAAGTCTAATTTTATTACTTTTATTTTAGATTAATGAAAAAGTGGTATCAAGTGTTATAAAATAGTAGGCATATTCTGCCCCATGCATGGCACCTATCTGTGCTAAAAGAAAATTGGAGCTTGGATTTTAAGTTACAACCAAATTTTGGGACTTCTTTCTTTTTAAAAAGTTAGATATTTATTTTATTAAATTCCATGAAGTACAAGCACTGATATTTATTGCTTGTAGATTTTAAAATTGATTTCCAGATATATCATGTTTTGTTATATTATTTTTGTATGGATTTACATTTAATTTGTATTATTCTTGTAGGAATTATCTGTGTTTGGTTCTTTTCGATTATTAGATGGTAAAATAGATTCACTACTTGAAGCAGACAGGTAACAATTTTGATACTTTTGAAAAATATTAGGTTAATCTTAGTCTTACAGTAATAGACAATGCAGTCTCTCTTACTCCTCAACAAAGCGGGGGATCACGGTGGCTAAGTGGGTAGGGCGCTGGCTCGCTAGCCTGGAGGTCGGGTGTTCGATCCCTGCATTGGCCGAGAAAGTTCATCCCGATTTTCCGGCGTGGTTCTCCCTTGTCAGTGATGCAGGACGGAGGGGCTGACAAGGACAGCTGTCTAGTCGTTCGGATGGGACGAAAAACCGAGGTCCCGTGTACTCATTGGCGTGCACGTAAAAGATCCCTTGACAGTTGGAATTCGATATAAGAGTAGGCCGTAGTGCCGCTGTCCGGGCAAAATTTCCCTCATAGCACACTGTATGGCGTATGCCCGTCTTCATTAGCCCAGTTCGGAGCAAAACAGTAGGACGTTAAACTCCATTTCATTTCATTTCATTTCCTCAACAAAGCATGTTTTTCTCCAGGTCCTCTGGTTTCCTCCCACTGCTAAAGACCCCTACGCGCAAGTGAATTATTGAACCATATGTTAGTCATGAAATTACCTAGTTTGTGTTGAGTGGAGAGTTTGTGTTGGATGAACATTTGTGTAATTCAATTTTCGAAAGCGTGAAGTGAGAAATCTGCTTCTAACCTATGTAGAAAATTAGAAACTTCAATATTTCAAGTATAATCCTAAAATTATTACAAGAATAATCCTAAAATGAATAGAACTTATTTAAAAATTATTGATATATTATAGAAATTTTTTGTTGAAATTTGATTTTTATTATTTGACAGTGTTGCTGCTTTATTTGTAAAATATTTAGAAAGATTAGAAGAAGATTATAATACAGATGAAACTGATGCTGATTTGGTTCAACAGGTAATAATGCAGTAGTTTGATTTACTGGGAAGCCACACAATGGCTCAATGAGTAAGGCACTGACTCACTAACCAGGAGGTCCGGGGTTTGACCCCGGTGTTGACCGAGACTCTAGTGTGGTTTCATCTTGTCATTGATGTAGGATGGAGGGCCTGGCTAGGGATAACGTATAGTCGCTCTGATGGAATGATAAACCGTATTCATGTGTACACATTGCCGTGCATGTAAAAGAACTCTTGAATTGTTGGTACAGGACTGAGGGTCTGGCAAAAGGAAAAACATCTAGTCATTTGGATCGACCGAAAATCATGGTCCTGTGTACATATTGACGTTCATGTAACCTTGAAATTCAATTTCTTTCCGGGAAAAATTTCCCTCATAGCACAGTACATTCCCGTCTTCATTATCTTGGTAGGTGCAGAGGAGTAGAATATTAAACCCCATTTCAATCATTCATTCATTCATTTACTCTAATATTCTCTTCATTTCAGATAATGACAGCATTAGTTTTATCTAATAAAGGTTTAGCTGAAAATGAAATTCAGTCTATTTTTGGTATAACATCACATGCCTGGTCTCCACTGTATTTCGCCTTAGAAAAATTCACCATCAGTCACTTTGGGTTGATCAAGTAAGTGTTTATTGTACACTATTGGTTGGTAATATTCTAAAATATTCTAATGTTGAAGATAATGAGCTTGAGACACAGACATTAAACCATGTGGTTACATTTGAAGATATTTTAAACACCAAAATATGATGGAATTGTCTCTTTATTTCCTAAAAGTTTTGAATGAGAAAACCAAAATATGAATGAATTGTCTCTTTATTTCCGAAAAATTTTGAATTAGAACACCAAAATAAGAAGGAATTGTTTCTTTATTTCCTAAATTTTTTGAATTAGAATATTGAACAGTTCCGAAATGATTGCTAGATTTGTTTAACAGGTAATGTAACCCATTTAAGGAATTTCATTCTTCAGTTGTGTAAGTGATTTGATTATCATAACAATCAGTTACCACTATAGCTTCGACAAGTATATAGACATGATTATCTAGGCACTTGCGATAAAAACATGTATAATATTATGCCGTCATTAATTGATAGCGATAATAACATGTACATGTAAATACCATCATTTAATTGATTGCAGTAATATGTAAATACTAGCATTTAATTGATTACAATAATATGTAAATACCATCATTTAATTGATAGCAGTAATATGTAAATACCAGCATTAATTGGTTACACTAATATGTAAATACCAGCATTAATATCTTGTTTATGTATTTTACTAGCTTGGGTTTTAAAGAATTAGTGCAAGCTGTAAAAGAAAGATATCTACACAATAATAAAAGGTACTGGTTTTAACTTACTAAATTAGAAGATTATATTCAGACCAGATAATGTAGAGTTCGTAGAATTAGTTAATTTGAAATATTAAAAACTGTAATCTGTTATCCAAATTGACAGTGTCTCTGTAGCCAACTAGAAACATATGCATTACCTCTTGGGCCTTGTTCAGAAAAATTTAAACAAAAATATTTTAAGAATGCATCCCCTAATTTTCATTGGCTAAGAGTTTAGATTTGTACTATGATTTTAACACTCCTCAACCAATGAAATAACCTTAAAATATTGTAAGTTTGAATTTTAAGCCCTTGATATGCGGGGATCACAGATTTAAAATTTTGATCCAGTGTCTTACACATATATAATTAAATATCAATCCCCAAGGTAGCTGTAGAAAATCTGGAATATCATGTTATTTGCATTTGAGACCCATGATTTTTTTAACAAAAAATTCATTTTTCAGTTTTAGAGAAAAGATAATTCATAAGATGATCGAACATTTTGAAGAAAAACGAAAGGTAATAAAAAAGAAAATATTTATTCAGATGATGAATAAATATTTAAAATGTAAACTTTAAATTAAACTTTTATGTAAATGTTTTCCATAATGTTTTCGTTCTAATTAAATGATATTATTTATATATCAGGACATATCAAGCCAAGGTTTATCTAGTTTACCTGTAAGTAATACAGCCATGACACGTATAGCAAGTGAATTACCAAACTTCCAGAAACTCATCAATGATAAAGAAGGTTTAACACAAACTTTGATGGATCAACATGTCTTTCGTAATTTAATTGTGTAAGTAATTGAACCAATGTTGCTATTTCAAATTTTTTCTTGTCAGACATTTTTACCGAAAATAAAGGGACATAACTCTTATCGTTATTTAAGCAGACGTATTCAGACCACAATTAAAAATTATGTGTCAACAAAATATTTGTAATAAAAATTGCTGCACCTCACTATTTTTCATATTCTATACCTGTAAGGTATTCCAATTTATATCAGTAATATTTCTACAAATTTTCATGTTTTGGTAATATGATAGAATGAGAGAGCTGACTCATACCTGCTTCAAATTCAAGTCAAGATTATTGTTCCAAAATTTTGTTTCTTTGTTTATACGACAGCAAATAAAAGCATATTTATTAAGTGCCATCAAAAAATAAATTTTTTCATGAAACAATTTCTTCTTTAATTTAGAGCGGAGAGATATGAACTTCTGGACCTGATAAAAGAAACTGGTTTAAAGATGGAAAAAATAGCTGATTTGTTTCTGGAATCTTTTGATCGTACAATAACTAACATATATCTTAGAAGATTGGAAAATGGGATAGAAAATGGAAAAACACCTGGGGAATCTGTGAGTACATTATTGTTTATATATCATAAATCATAGCTCTATTAGGTTGGGATGCGTTTCTTAAAACATCCTCAAATTAAACAAAATGTGTCGGGGGAAGTTGTGGAAGGGACAAGTGTATCGCTTTTAGACCAGTTTAGCTGTGATGTGTTACAAATTTAAGGAAGGCATCCTTTCTTTCAAAACGTGTTATAGTATAGTCTTTATATGCAGTAAACTTTGCATGAGTCGGATCGAACTGGACTGAGCAATTTTATCCAAGTTAAGCGAAGACCGAAATTCAATCTTAGCTCGATTAGAAATAAACTGCAAGAGCCGGATAATAATTGATTCAAAGGCACATTTCAAGCTTTTGTTTGTACGTGCAACTCGATAACTTCCGTTTATGTGCGAGTAGATAACTTCTGTTTTGGTGCAATTGATAACTTCCGTTTTGTCGCCATCTTTGAAAAATGTCCTAAATTTTCTCGGAAAGTGTCCTGTACAGCAGACAGCGAGTTTCGAATTTTCTGCAAAAATTCTATTATTGCGTCGCGTTAAATAGGCCGACTTGAGTTAAAATGATAGGGGAAAGTATTTTGGGGCTCTGTGCATGGAATACCTAACCTCGTTTTAGACCATCGGTACGAAACTGACTTTTAACATACTGCCGATCTGACTTAGGCGAATGAAAAAAGCCGGAATTTGATCAAATGGACCAAACATTTTTATCCGAGTTGAGCAAAGATCTGACTTAGGAAATCTGACATAGCGCAGAAATTTAATCAGAAAAACGTGCAGGATCAAAGGGTCCAAACGATTTTATCCGAGTTGAGCAAAGATCCGACTTCCATGAATCCGACTTATGCGCAGTTTACTGTATCATAAATCGTATCAATGACAGACATAGCTCTATTAGGTTGGGTTGCATTCCTTAAAACACCCTCAAATTAAACAAAATATTTAAGGGAAGGTGTGGAAGGGACAAGTGTATCACTTTTAGGCCAGTTTAGCTGTGATGTGTTACGAATTTGAAGAATGCACCCTTTCTTTCAAAACGTGTTACGACTTACAGTTTACAATACCAGAAACATTTGTCAGTTTAGGAATTCATTTAGTACCAAAATGTAAACTCTGCATCTTTAGAGCTCGCTCATTTGGTGTTTTTGCTGCCAATTTGTGGAACTTGCTGCCTGAAAAACTTAGATCCTGTCCATCATTAGACTCCTTGAGAAATATTTGCAAGAGTGATTGTGGTTTTTGTTGCGCTATGAGCACGACTATATGTGGAATTAGCACGATATAAATGGACTTATTATTTTTATAGCATGTGGGTGTCATCTATTTTTTTCTGTGATTAGTGAAAAGAATTATACTGATGACTTCCATTCATTTATGTCTAATTTACATCTTTTTACAGCTGATGCACAATCTACGAAATATGGGAATTATTCTGGAGTTAGCTTGTGATTTTATTGGATATGAGAAAGTAATGTTGAGATATATGAAGCTGTTGGTAAGATGAAAATTTGTATTTCATCTCAATCATTACGACTGTACTATAATTAAGCTAGTAGATTAGTTTCAACAGGGAGCCACATTGGCTAAGTGGGTAAGATGCTGGCTCGCTATCCTGGAGGTCTAGTGTTCGATCCTGTGTTTATCAGGACTTTTCGGTGTGGTTCCCTCTTGTCAGTAGTGCAGGACAAAGGGCCTGGTAAGGGACAACATTTAGTCATTTGGATGGGAAGAAAATCCATGATCCTGTGTACTCATTGGGGTGCACATAAAAGATCCCTTGGCAGTTGGAATTCGATATAAGAGTAGGCTAAGTGCTGCTGCCCATGCAAAATTTCCCTCATAGCACACTGTCTGCCATATGCCCGTCTTCATTAGCCCAGTAGGAGCAGAACAGTAGAACTTTAAACCCCATTTCATTTCATTATACTTTCAAGAGTGATTACATTAAAAAATTGGGGGATCACGTGGCTAAGTGGGTAAGACGCTAGCTCGCTAGCCTGGAGGTTGGGTGTTCGATCCCTGCATTGGCTGAGAAAGTTCATCCAGATTTTCCGGCGTAGTTCTCCCTTGTCAGTGATGCAGGACGGAGGGGCTGACAAGGAAAGCTGTCTAGTCGTTCGGATGGGACGAAAAACCGAGGTCCCGTGTACACATTGGCGTGCACGTAAAAGATCCCTTGGCAGTTGGAATTCGATATAAGAGTAGGCCGTAGTGCCGCTGTCCGGGCAAAATTTCCCTCATAGCACACTGTATGGCGTATGCCCGTCTTCATTAGCCCAGGTTAGGAGCAGAACAGTAGGACGTTAAACCCCATTTCATTTCATTTCATTAAAAAATTGTCATAGAAAATTTGCCACATTTGGTTATTCAAATGATGAAACAGGAAAATGCAAAGAAAATAAATCACATGGGAATTGTGTTGTCATACAAAAATGTTACAGATTAAACTTGAATAGTAGATTGGTGGATAAATTTCAGAACCTATAATGATAATATAATTTTCTTATTTTAAAGGAAAATGTCAAAGGTAAAATGGATGAAAAAAAAAGAATAACTGAATTAATGGAGAATAAATATTACATGGCTTGTTTATATGCTGATAGAGAAAGATATGAAGAGTGTCTAGAACTACATACTCTGGTTATTGACACTGTTACAAAGTTAGTATTTGATTATTGATACCATAACAATGTTTGTATGTTGTTATTGACACTATTACAAAGTTAGTATTGGATTATTGGCACCATAACAAAGTTTGTATGTTGTTATTGACACTATTACAAAGTTAGTATTGGATTATTGGCACCATAACAAAGTTTGTATGTGGTTATTGGTACTAGAAAACAGTTAGTATTAGATTATTGGTACCATTATAAAGTTGGTATTTGATTATTGGTACTATAACAAAGTTAGTATTTGATTATTAGTATCAATGTTTGTATTTGATTATTGACCTTATTACAAAGTTAGTATTGGATTATTGATACCATATCAAAGTTTGTATGTGATTGTTGACACTATTACAAAGTTAGTATTTGATTATTGGTACCATAACAAAGTTGGTATGTGGTTATTGAGACAATTACAAAGTTATTATTTGATTATTGGTAACATTAGAAAGTTATTGATACTAGTATAAAATTGAATGGGGTTTTTAGATTAACAGATGGTAAATTTCATTTCTGTGGTTATGGGTGCCGTGTGAGGGGGGGGGGGTACCTGACTACTCTTCTTTGAATTCCAAATGTCAAGGTTTTGCACCATACCAATGACTAGGCTCACAAATTGGGTAGCATTTGATACTATAACAAGTGTAGCATTTGGTTTTGGATACTTGATGATGTAGCATTTGGTTGTGGATACATAACAAATGTAGCATTTGGTTGTGGATATTATAACAAATCAAGCATTTGGCTGTGGATACTATAACAAATGTAGCATTTGGTTGTGGATACTATAACAAAGGTATCCTAATTGTATTTAGTTAATAGTTTGTTATTAATGATGCAATAAAGTTAATATTTATGTAGGCATTGTGAATCTGTGGCCACGGTGCGGGCAAGAAAGAAATGTGTGGATTTTGCCAATCAAGAAAAACAGCTTGCTTTACGAAAAGAGTAACAATTGTTGGGATGACAAGGGATAAAATCCTGTATACATATTGGTGGTGTGATTTAAAAGAATATACCCTTAGCCATGCACTCATAACAAATAGTTAATAAAAATGTTCTGTTAATGAAATGTTAAACTCCATGATTTTTTTTTAAATTAAAGAATGGCTGAAGAAGGTGAAGTAGATACAACTCAGAAACAGTTAAAGGCCTTTGCCACTCATGGTATTGGTGTTATGTACTTAAAGAGGAAGGAAACTGAACCAGTAAGAATTGTTTTGTTAACGTAATTTCTATTTTGATTCATTAAGAAAACATTTCTTTTCAAAATTTTGACCATAACATTTTCATAAGGCCATACAAAAAAAATATTCTGGTTCTCAGACAATCCTTTTAAAAAAATGATTTGGGAGGGCTGTTTTGGGTTTTTTTATCCTGCACAGAACGCAGTTAGGGAGAGATATTGAAGTGGAGTCTGTCTGTCCATCGGTCTGTCCCGATTTAGTTTCCAGAGCATATCTCATAAACTGTTCAAGATGTCTTTTTTTTTTTAAACTTTGCACACACATCAACCTATTACAATAGCAGTGCTTTTTGCTATTTAGGAATTTCTTGGATTTATATTTTTTGTGTTTCCATGAAGCATATCTCATAAACCATTCAAGATATCTTCATAAAACTGACATCAACCTAAGATAGTAGTGTTGCCTTTTGCTAATTAGATTTTTTTTTTGTGTGGCCTAATGTTTCCTGAAGTTGTAGTAGTGAATATGAGTTTCTTTCCCACATGGCAAAAGTAACACATGATGATGATAGTTTGCATACGATCATTGATCCTACATACAACATCAGAAGTGACAGTTTGGCTAAGTATCCAATTTAGCTTGGTTTCTTGTGCATCGGACTCAACTGAAAATACATCAGTAGTATGTCCATTTAGTTGCATTTTTTATACCGTTAGGCCTGTTATTTAATCTTTTAAAATTTTTGTTTCTTTAATTACCTGCCAACAAATTTTTTTGGGGTGTTATTTATTTACATATTTTTCTTTATTACAAATTAGATCTAATATGGTCTTATGATTACTGTATTGTATATTATGTATGCCTGCCATTTTATTAGCAAAATAAGTCATGGTTCAGGTGTAGCTTTTTTTTTTGATTACATGACATTTCAGTCCCGTGACGTTTTGGACTTGGGTTGGAGGCGTTTTGGACTCGGGAATATGTTGAAAGGAAAGGTAAAAAAAACAACTTCAAATCGGTTTACAATAAGCTAAAAACGATTTTATGATAATAACATGTAGGTAAAATTACCGTTCGTGCACTGTATAGACCTCTAAAGGAACGGCGATATTTCCTATGTTGAATATTTACGAAAAGAATGTTTTATACAATATGTGTTTCTTTGTATCTGTACTATTTGATATAAGAAAAGAAGTAGGTGATGAATTTATTTAAAATAGGTTAATTCAAAACACGAAAGAAAGTCTTATTTATTTATTGAAACCGAAACTGAGTCCAAAACGTCGCCAGACTGAGTCTGAAAAGTTGTAAATAAGTCTGAACTGTCATCAAACTGCTGCGAAACGTTGTTTGTGTTGTTCAGAAAGGTCACAGCATTGGGTACTGCCTACATTCTATACTGCCTCGCTTCAGACCACTCCACAATTTGAATATATTTTTCAGGCCAAAAAGTACTTAACCGAATCAATTGCTCTTCACAATGAAAACAAATCTTCTGAAACTTTAAAACATGTTACTGAAGCAACAGTTAATTTGGGTCTGGTTGAACTGTATGATGGAAATTATGACAAGTCGATAGAAAACTTCGATATAGTTTTAAAGGTAAATGTATAATCAAATACAAGTCTTTTTTTATATCTAATATATCAACACAAATATGAGACTCTACAAATTGATGAATGTTTATATTATAGCAATACAGAAGGGGATAGAAGATATCCTCGTCTTACTTCACTGTCAACAGTATTCTAGTCTCATCAAACATCCTATCCCTACAGATGTTAAGTCTGGGAAATTCTCTGTTAATTATGGGTGGGTGGGAACACGAAAATGTAATAAAAGGGCCCCTATTCAACAGAATACAGAGTGCATATACAACCACATTCCTCCATCCAAGTAAGGAGTTTAGCGATGAGTGAGGATTGTTGGTAGATCATGTGACACTTCCGGAACAGGTTTTAGTTGAGAACAATAAAAGAAATTTAAATGGGGTTTAACGACCTACTGTTCTGCTCCGAGTGGGCTAATGAAAATGGGCATATTTTCATGATTTTGCCATACAGTGTGCTATGAGGGAAATTTTGCTTAGAAAGCAGGACTATGGCCTACTCTTCTATCGAATTCCAACTGTCAAATGTTCTTTTAAGTGAATGGCAGTGTGTACACAGGAACTTGGTTTTTCGTATCATCTGAACAACTATACATCCTGCACCATTGACATGTGGGAACCACGCCAGCAGAAAATCCCAAAGAACTTTCTCAAACAACATTGGGATCTAGCACGTTATCTCCAGGTTAGAGAGCCACGGTCTTACTCACTGTGGCTCCCAACAGTAAAAGACCAGGATGATTCTGTGATGTCGATCACATGACAGTTTGTTTCATCATATAGTTACTGGATCAAACATGTATTCTATAATGCCTTAGTATTTTCATAGACAATATATACAGTTCATGGTATTTCCAAATTGTTGGTCTGTTCACCATATTAAAAACCTTGATGACAGAATTGTTCTGCTCCGAACTGGGCTAATGAAGACGGGCATTCGTCATCTAGTGTGCTATGAGGGAAATTTTGCCCGGACAGCGGCACTACGGCCTACTCTTATATCGAATTCCAACTGATTACACAGACTTTCCATACAATGATGACTGACATTCTGGCCCTCTAAGGATCTTACCTGGTCTGTACATGATCTTCAACTTCTTATAATGTAGCCCATCATTCATTGTTGTGATACCACTTCATTCTCCCATACGTCTTACAAGAGGTCAAGCAAAACATCTACAAGATCTTTACATTTGCCTTCCAAGCTTCTTCTCGCATATTGCCTGGGCCTGTTCAGCAGTTGAAATGAATTGACTGACATACCAATTTAGATAATATTAAAAAAAAATAATAATCGCCATTTCTTGAGCATCAAATCCATCCATAATCATGATCAAAGAGCTTTTAGAAATAATAAACAATATGCATGTCTACACAAGATTGTTTGAGCAAGTGAGTTTTTAATTTGGATTCCAAAAATGGTTTGCTTCCGTCTTATCATTATTGTCCCCCGCCTTTCGAAGAAAGCAGGGGACTATTAAAATGGGTTCGTCCGTCTGTCTGTCCGTCTGTCTGTCCGTCTGTCCGTCCGTCTGTCTGTCCGTCTGTCTGTCCGTCACACTTTTTGGGACACAATAACTCTCTTCCTAATTGAGCTAGAATGTTCAAACTTGGTGTATGTGTTTATTAGGTCAATGCCTTGATGGAGTTCGAAGATGAGCATTTTCCGCTTAGGGTAAGCAGAGATAAGCAATTTGATTGGTTGATGCTTTGGGACACGATAACTCTCTTCCTAATTGGGCTAGAATGTTCAAACTTGGTGTATGTGTTGATTAGGTCAATGCCTTGATGGAGTTCGAAGATGAGCATTTTCCGCTTAGGGTAAGCAGAGATAAGCAATTTGATTGGTTGATGCTTTGGGACACGATAACTTTTAATTGAGCTAGAATGTTCAAACTTGGTGTATGTGTTTATTAGGTCAATGCCTTGATGGAGTTCGAAGATGAGCATTTTCCGCTTAGGGTAAGCAGAGATAAGCAATTTGATTGGTTGATACTTTGGGGCACGATAACTCTCTTCCTAATTGAGCTAGAATGTTCAAACTTAGTGTATGTGTTGATTAGGTCAATGCCTTGATGGAGTTCGAAGATGAGCATTTTCCGCTTAGGGTAAGCAGAGATAAGCAATTTGATTGGTTGATGCTTTGGGACACGATAACTTTAGTTCTAATTAAGTGAGATTGATGAAACTTGGTGTATAGTTTCATTACAGTAATACCTTGACTAAGTTTGATAATGAGCATTTTCTGCTCAGGGTAAGCAGAGCGATACGCAATTTGATTTTTATATGTGTCCTCTAATTATTTTCCTATTTCGGCGGGGGACATCAGCCTCACTTTTGGCTTGTTTAATTTTAGTTGATTTGAGGTCATCGAGGATGAGAATGTGGGGTTGGATGGCCGAATGGTTAGCATGTGCGCGCTGTATCATAAGGTCTGTCATTGAGTCAACTGGCGCGGTTTCGAATCCCTGGTTGTACATGACAAGGAGTAGTGTCGCCTGTCCAACTTCGTGGGTTTTCTCTGGGTCCTTTCGGGTTTTCTCCCACTGCTAAAGACCCCTACATGCAAAGAAATTATTGAAATAAAAAAATTGAACCATATGTTATTCCCAAAATGACCTAGTTTGTGTTGAGTGCCATTTATCTCTCTCTCTATCCTGAGAAGTTATGGTGTTTAATTAGAGCGGGGGTGATTTTACTTACAATATTTTTTTGTTTGTAGGGATATGAAGAAATATATTTTGGTCAACAGCCTCATGAACTAGGAAACTTGTACACAAATATTGGTTTAGCTTACAGACGTAAAAAAGATTATGATATGGCAGAGAAGATGTACAGAAAGTAAGATATCTTCTTTGTGTGTATTTCAGGGTCATTAAAGATGCATTATGTAAGATTAAGATAAAAGATCTAACCGTTTTTGCTTTACTAGTTCAAAAATGAATATATTGAAACTTTCTGTCCAAATACTTTATTCTAAGGCGAGTTATCAGTGGTTGAAATTTTGACAAGAAGAAGTAGCATAGATTGTTTATTGTTGTAACAAAAAAACCTGACAATCGATAGTGAACGGCCATCCGACGATTTAGAGAGTTGATTATAGGCTTGTCATGTGAATAAATGTCTAAATAATAGTTAATATAACATTTGATGCCAAACTTCAACATGGTACATAATGCACCGTGAGTTACAATAGTTTGATGTTGGAAAGAGCTGATTAATAAACTATGATATCATAAATCAATCTACTTTTTTTTCAATTGCAAAGACTTAAACATGCATTATGCAAGAGCAAAATCTGCTTATTACAAGTCTTTCTTTTATTAGGCCTGAAATGTTATCTAAATTATCAATTAGACATTAATTAACTTATCCAGACCATAATAAACTCTCGATGTCAAGGCTAGCCTTCGATGTTGGCTGGATTAGATTCCTATAGGCCGCTAAACGGCCATTGATAATTAAATCAAAACAGTGGATAATCGAGACTATGCTGTTTATATTAATGATTTTAGTAATGATGACCGAGACTATGCGAAAATTTCACCCGCTTCGTTCTAGGCTCATAGTGGATCAATTTGACTGAAATTTTCAGCAAATTACCTTTACACTATCTAGTTTTTAACTATTATAGCGAGAACTTCCATCTCTTTATCTTATCTCCCATAATGTATCTTTAATTATTACTTGTTGAGAAGCCATGTAGTAATATGGAGGGAAAGAATTTGTGCTTAGAAACTGCTATGTAAAATAATAATATGGTTTTGATTAATTATTCTCTATTGCCAAAATATTAGCTAAGGTATACGTTAAATTCTGAAAGGCAAATTAAAATTGTTTATGAATATTGTGACAATAACAAGACAGGGGGTCTAAAGACAAAGAATGGAGAAATATGATGGCTAGAACAATAGCGTTATCTTTTATATTATTGTTTCTAACTTCAAAAACCACAAATATAGAAAGTATATGCTGGTTATTTTGATATGTTAACTAAGCTATAGATTAATGAACATGTTGGTCATTTACATTTTTCTTTGTTATAAAACATATATCATATTTGTTGACTAAATTAGGAAACAATCCCTGTCGATATACAGGTTTGGGGTGAATGTCCATTCCATATTTGGAATTTAGCTGTTATCAGAATATCAGTTGTTTACGTAAAAAACAGAGACAAAAGAATATGCACTTATATAAGGGAGCGGGGCTAGAATAATTGGGAGAAATCATGTGGATTCTTTAGGGGGATCACGTGGCTAAGTGGGTAAGACGCTAGCTCGCTAGCCTGGAGGTCGGGTGTTCGATCCCTGCATTGGCCGAGAAAGTTCATCCAGATTTTCCGGCGTGGTTCTCCCTTGTCAGTGATGCAGGACGGAGGGGATGACAAGGAAAGCTGTCTAGTCATTCGATGGGATGAAAAACCAAGGTTCCCGTGTACACATTGGTGTGCACGTAAAAGATCCCTTGGCAGTTGGAATTCGATATAAGAGTAGGCCGTAGTGCCACTGTCCGGGCAAAATTTCCCTCACAGCACACTGTATGGCGTATGCCCGTCTTCATTATCCCAGGTTAGGAGCAGAACAGTAGGACGTTAAACTCCATTTCATTTCATTTCATTTCGTGGATTCTTTAGACGGCTATTTCATGCGGTAGTGTTTTCATGGGTCTAGCCATGCTGGCCATGAAGAGAAAGAGATGTTAATTTTAAATATTGTAATGTAGACTACTGTGTAACTGTTGTGACATAAAATGTTTAGCAAAAACACTATCGTTGTTCCTGTTACTTATTTGAGTCGGTATGGTGAGAAAACACAATGATGAAGTCCTTATGAAGAAAGATACAACAGTAGCAGTCCAGAGCCAACCAACCCCCCATTAAACGATCAGGCCAAAAACTAAGATGTGTAGTTGGATAGTTAGCTATAGATGCTTTTGTTTTGATCAATCTAACAGGGAAGCCATTCTTATTTAAATTCTTTCGAGAAAGATAGCAACATAAAACTTGTCTTTTTTCTCGTTTTTAGATCCCTGGTGATCAAGGCTAATGCTTTAGGTTGGGATAATCCAGTAATATCAGTTACATACATGAATTTAGGAACGTTGGAGATGTTCAGGAAGAATTATCTGAAATCACTGGAATATAATGAGAAATGTATTGAAGTATTAGTGGTAAGTAGGTTTAAATGAATAATGAGTAAGTTTCTGAGCAATGTTTGTCTAAAAAAATAATAATATGGTTTGATAGACTTTTCTTAGGTGCAACTAACTGCAACTCTCTTTTTTTAGATGCCTTCCCTCTTCAGATCCATTCAGGAGCCACTATGGCCTGGAAGCCATGTGTTTGATCCCTGCATTGGCCGAGAAAGTTCATCAGGATTTTCCGGCGTGGTTTTCGCCCATGTCACTGCTGCAGGACAGAGGGCCTGACAAGGACAGCTGTCTAGTTGTTCGGATGGGATGGAAAACTGAAGTCCTGTGTATACATTGGCATGCACGTAAATGATCCCTGAGCAGTTGGAATTTGATATAAGAGTAGGTCATAGTGCCGTTGCCCGGGCATAAGTTCCCTCATAGCACACTGTATGCGGATATGACGTATGCCCGTCTTCATTAGCCCAGTAGGTACAGAACAGTAGGATGTTTAACCTCATTTCATTTCATTTCATTGCCTTCCCTCTTCAGATCCATTCACTGGATTTGATATTTTGTTGTTTATTTCTTGCTTTGTCCACAGGTTTGTCTTGTCCACAGGTTTGTCTTGTCGCTGTCTTGGCCACAAGTTTTGTCTTGTAGGTTTTGTTTTGCGTGTAGTGCAGTTCTCCTGTACTTACTCTTATTTAAAATCCTTGTATCCGTACTAGAGTGCTTCTACATTTGATATACATAATTGATAAACTGAGTAAATTATTCATTCAAGACGTAAGAGTGGCTATGAAGAACTGGTTATCCTAGGTGTCATTGACTAGTTTAGTTCATATTGAATCCCCTTCAACATTACTAGATATTCCATTTTAAGTAAACAAGCGATAAGCACATTCCTCAACAAAAGTTATTAATTATTTCAGAAAAATGACAGAACTGATGAAGATATGTATTATAGAATGGCCTTAGAAAACGTGGTTCAGTCATATTGTGAGCAAGGAAAATATGCAGAAGCCTTACCTACTTACAGACGCATTTGTAAGTTAATCCTACATGAGATATTTTTAAATCATTCAAGATTCATGTCCATATATTCAAATAAATTAAAGATACATTCTTATGAAAGTATTTTTTTTTTATGAACAATATTTTTATTCAGTAAATCTGAATTTGGATTGGCGAACAGGCTATGCCTATGTGTAACCCCTATATGTATATGGCAATTTTGGTATATGGAAAGTATAGACATCCAATCTTATCATATTTTACGAGGTATTAATCAATGTGGAGTATAAGTTGGATTGTCATATTTTACTGTTTTTCCAACCTCCATCCATAGATAAGTCGAAATGATGCATAAGACAAATGTTTTTCAATTCGGTAGTAATCTTTCATCGATAGATGCTAAAAATTATGAGACGAAGGCCCAACTTCCGCAAAATAAAGTATTGACTTATACCTCGAAGAATACAGTACTAGAAAAAATACTTGATTCCCTGAAAAACACCCAAAACAAGACAAAAATATGAGGTTATCCATGAAAGCAGCCTAGAGTGACATAAGGAGCGCTCGTTATGTGTTGATCTTATGCTAACGGTTGTGAGAAAATTCAGAGAATTAAACATCAAGTAGACCATTTGATTACATGATGGAAAATGAGTTGGCAGAGGATAATCTAGGAATTTACTTAGGCTTTGATAGTTATGGTAAAAGGACAGCGACTATTAACATGCAGGCTAAAATGGTTTCTCCATCAATCTCTTCATTTGATAAACAAAACGGATAAAAATAGATTCTTGCAGCATAGTGTAGCTTACTTGTGATTAAAATCTTCTGAGAGGGATTTAAGACCATCTCAAGCTGTCTGAGCCACAGAAACTAGTTTACGATCCTTAACAGCTATTCTAGCTACTATTGGGAACAGTATCTTGGGGTGGACCAAGTTATTTAGGTTTAACCTTAATTGAAGTGACACATAAAAGATGTATTCTTTATTTTTTTTTCCAGTCAATATTTTAGTGAAATTAAATCAGATGAACAACTGTTTACCTGGAGCTCATAGAAAGATGATTAATCATCTGATAGATATTGGTGAAAAAGAAGAAGCAGCAGAGAAGTTAATACCATTAATACGATGTAGTAAATCTAAAGCATCAGAATATATCACATTTCATAAATTATATAATGATAAACCTGCTGATAAACGACAACAACTACCTGACGGTCTGTCTCTTAATGCTGCTATTAAAAGGTAGGTCTACTGTAAAAGAAGCAAGCAATTCATGTATTAAATGTGATTGCCATTTGTATTAATTTCAACACAAATTCTTGTGATGTCATTCGAGCTGTGGTGGCTCATTGAGTAAGACGCTGGCTCGATGATCAAGAACACTCGGGTTCAATCCTTGTCAGAGGTACTGGAACGAGGTCCTGACAAGGACAGTGTCTAGTTCTTTGAATGGGACGAAAAACTGAGGTCCTGTATACACGTTGGTGTGCACAGAAAAGAACCCTTGACAGTTGGAATTCGAAAAAGAGTAGGCCGTAGCGCAGCTGTCCAGGCAAAATTTCCTCATGCCTCACTGTATGGCATATGCCCATCTTCATTAGCCCAGTCGGTGCAGAAAAGAATGACAAGTGAAAAGACAATCTAAAGGTGATTTGATAATATTGGCAGTCATTGTTTTTTAAGGCGAGTGATCGCTCTCGAGCACCTGCCGCTATCCTAAATGTCAACCGAGGGGAGGTTTTTCTCCCACCCCTTAAAATTGAAAATCGCTCTCCTCTACAAAGTCATCGGGGGCTTATTATCATTTATGAAATCAAGAATGACCCTCTAACATGCAGTTATAGAACTTCAGAACCATTTCCCATACACACAACTAATCACTTTCCTTAATATCAGATCATCACTTGCCTTAAATTTTAAATCACTCTTCTTATCGATACTGGGAGAGCTTTTTTAGAGGAGCGATTTTTTCAATTTGTTGATTAAGGGGAGCCTTTTTCAGCTCTCCTCTAAAATACAAACAACAACGACTGTATTGGATTGTAATTATCATTGTTTTATTTATATTCCAGATTTCCAAATGATATCTCTTTATATAAGCTTGCAATAGAACATGATTATATCCAGACTAAACAGCATGAAAAACTTGTTCAATTTTTAAAAGATTCCTCCCAACAACTTTGGTGGAATGCAGCCATTGCTGTATGTAAGAAAGAGGGTTTGAATGAATTAAGAGATGAAATAGAACAATTAGAAGGTGAACTGATCAATGACAGATTAACGTAATATTGGTTTAATTGTATCTTAACCCCATAGCACTTGATACATGTAAATATTGACTACACCAGTTCCTTGAAAAAAAATTAGAGAAAAATGATATATTTATACCGGTACAGACTGAAGCTGCTGTTCGTTAGATTACTTCAAACCGCACAAGATATGTGACTAGCTCTCCGCATTATAGGACCATTTACTAGTTAGGACGGGCGCCACTGGTTTGGGAACGGTCTAAGGAACCCTAGTTACGCTGGTTTGGGGTGGTGTAAGGAACCCTAGTTACGTGGTTTGGGGTGGTATAAGGAAACCTTGTTAGGCTGGTTTGGGGTGGTCTAAGGTACACTTAGTCTAGTTAGACTGGTTTGGGGTGATCTAAGGAACACTAGTTAGGCTGGTTTGGGGTGGTCTAAGGAACACTGGTTAGGCTGGTTTGGGGTGGTCTTAGTGCTAGAAGGTTAAAGATGCTACGCACGTTTGAATTTGTGTTATAAAATGCAACAAGACGTTTAAAAAAACAAAGATTTATTGCCTTCTATTCGAAAAAATACAGTAAAAGGGATCCAGATAATATGTGAACAGACTTTTAACTCCCAGTAAACACCTATGATAGAAGTTTCCTTTTAACTTGTGGGTCTTAACTGGAATAACATGTGATCTTATGTGTGATTCTCTTGCACTCACTATGCTATTTTGATATTCTGAATGAGAATTTAGAACAGGATATTCTTACACAGGTTATTTTAAAACGTTTTAATACACGGTTAGGGTAATAGTGTGAACTTTATTATTTATACTGTTCAAAGCTTATATATCTGTAAACTGTCTCATCCTCAATTATGTTTGGAAAAGAAAGCCCTCAGTCTAAACTTTTTTAATACATGGTTAGGAGAACAAATATATTTATGTAAACTACCTCATCCTCAGTCATGTTAGAAAAAGAATGCCCTCAGTGTAATGGCTTGTGAATTAATTTTAGTCATGATTCTCCAGTATTTTCTTACACATATTAGATCATATATAAAATCTTGTTCTTTTCTTATTCTGACATCTTTTAATATATTTTTCATCTATTTTTTATGTATTTTTCCTTATATAATGTATGATTTACATGCTGCCCAAAAAGGGTGTTGTTTGTAATAAAATCTATCTATCTATTATCTATCTATCTATCTATCTATCAAATATATCAAAAGTGACAGGTCTGGCATTGTCTGTTTTATTTAAAATAGAAGCATAGAATGATACTCATTTTATAACATATACATTTATTTGAATGTTACAGTTTTAACTTGTGATATTGTGTAGATACATATGTAATGCAATAATTAAGATGATTTTAAAGGTGCAGTCCCAGATTTCACAGGGTAACCATTGAATCAAATGGGTTAAAGTATGCTAATCAAACACCAAAAGGTAATAAAAAAACTTGTTTGTGTTTACGGCATTTGAAAGTTTCAGCTTACAAAAATGTTATTTGTTCCTTTATTATGTGACCTGATAAATATGATTATTCAGTGCCTTTCTAAAAGTGTGTCCTGAGGAATAGTGAGTCATTCGGAAGTGAACTGTAGATTTTCTTAACGAGGTTACAGATTTCATTTAAGGTATTCCACTGTTCAGTCATATGAATGACTAGGAAATTGTGATAATGGCTGTGGAGAACATGGAATTTGGGGACTTATTACATCTTTATGGCAATACTATATACAGGAGACACCGGAAAACTACCGGAAAACACCAAGTTATACAGAATACTGGAAAACACCTGAAAAACACTAAATACCGGAAAACACCCTAAATAGGTAACCCCGGCGCCTGGTCCTCTGTGTGCGGGGTGGGGGGGTAGGTTTTCCCGGTGTTTTCCAGATAACCAGGCTCGGGTTACCTATTTAGGGTGTTTTCCAGTATTTAGTGTTTTTCCGGTGCTTTCTGGTATTCAGTATAACATGGTGTTTTCCGGTAGTTTTCCGGTAGTTTTCTGGTGTTTTTCGGTGTTTTCCGGTATATAGTATAGCCCCATCTTTAAAGAAGAATTTCACTACCAGTGCTGAATTGCCTTAAAGAGTCATTATTCAAGAGCTAAATCTGCCTATTGCAGGTCTTTCTTTAAGCCTTAAATGTTGTCTAAATTATTAATTGATGAACTCTTTAAATTAACTCTTTTAACAAAAAAAAACCATCTGTTTTGTATGACAATTTAGCAAATTTTAAATTAAACATACATTATGCAAGAGCTAAATCTGCCAATTGCAGGTCTTTCTTTAGGCCTTAAATGTTATATAAATTATTAATTAGACATTTATTAACATGACAAAACCATAATTAACTCTTGATGCCGTCGGATGGCTACGATTTTATGTAGATTATAACGGTTCAGCCATTTAATAATTTAATTTAAAAATGGAGAAGCGAGGCTAAGACTCGAATAACCAGCACCGTGGTTACAATAATAAACAATCAATGCACACATCTTGTCAAAACTACAAACCTGTTTGATTCATTAAAATATATCTGGGATGGCTCTCTAAAGAATCTTAACAAAGAATTAATTAGATTTATTAACTCCTTTGAATCCTGTTTTGGATTCATAAAATGAAAAATTGTGAGAAATTTGGACATGGCAGCTAAAGTGCCTTAACTGTTATTGTCATTAGATCCGGTACATATCATATATATATATTGGCAGTTTTGTGTCATATGCCATTCTAGCTGCACCCCCCCCCCTCTATTTGGGTCTGCTGGTAATAAGTGTGAGATCTCGTGCAGGTTCACAGGTAATTTTACCTATGACACATTTTTAGTTTTTTATTGTTTTTTTTTATACAATTGGTACTTGTAAATATATGATGTTGCCTTTAGTCAATCTAAATTACGAACAAATTTATTGTATTAATTGGTCCGTCCTAAATAAACTCTTTTCATGACACTTTTCACCCAAATTGTTGAAAGCTAAAAGCAGGAGAGTAACAAAATAACAAGAGTAGTAATGTCTAAAGGCAGGAGAAAATTATAAAATTTCGGAATACTGTTATTCCATCACTGAGACTTCAATATATGTTGTTATTATAGTGATCTACAGTTATTTCTAACTTGATATTATATACAATTAATAACATCTATTTTATTCTTGAAGTATTGATATATATTTGTGATATGTTGTAGATTTGTGTTTTTAGTCAGACTTCCATTTATATTTATTCTGCAAATTTCTGAAACATTCTGTTAGAGTATCTGATAAACTAGACATTAATTTAATATGGATTTTGTTTTAAAAAAATTGTTGTATAATTCCATCCATATCAAGCCATTGACCATATCATGTTTAGTTATTAAAGAATTATATTTTATGTATTTTTATAATTTAACTATTTAATTCTTATAGATTTATTATTTATCTATGTAAACCTATTTTCCCTACCTCTATGTTGTGAAGGGCAATTAGATAATGCTATCCGAAAATTGTATATCAGATTTGGAACTGATCTGTTATTCCATCGCTTAGACATATAATTAGTAGGGTTAGTTTTAACTCTATATTACATAAATTTAATTTTTTATATTTTAAATATTTAATTGTTATAGATCTTTATATTTATATATATCAACCCATATTACCTCTACCTCTATGTTAAAACATGTACTATGCCTTGAGTTATGTTATTTAGGAAACAAAATTATATCCAAAATTTGAAACAGATGTTATTCCTTCGCTGAGACAATATAGACTTCATTAAGTATTGTTTAATGGTCGAGAGCGAGACATTAAGTAATATATTGTAACAACAAGAGGGCCATAGGCCCGAGTGTTTTTACAATATATTACGCACAGTCTTATGCTCAAGAAACGACTTAAAATACACACTCCGCACATGCTTTTACAGTGAAATACGTCACACGAGTCCAATATTTCACTAGTATAAATAATGTACGATTGGCAATAATGGTACTCCAACATCAAAGGGTGATGTCACATCTGTATTTTAAATTAGGTTGTTATTATAACCTATGGTGATCTACTTAATATTATATGAAATTAATAATATTTATTTTCTTGCTGAAATTATTAATACCTGTTTAGACTCAGTTTTCAATAAAATATCTGTAGATTCTCACAAATAAATAGATTGCTACCAAATGCAACAATTAGTACTGCCTTATGCACTTACACTTTTCTTTACTTGTGATATTGTATTGTTTTTATATTGGCATGTTATTATAGATCAATAAATTATTATGTATATCGTTTTGTTTAAAATAAATGTGTTTCTATCCGATTTCTTAACTGTGACAAAACAAATGATACCAGGTCCTTGATGGAAGCTGGAGATTGAGTGGTGAGCGATCTAGTGTGCAGTCATAGAGTCAAGTTTTGATCCCAGAGTGTGCGCATTCCCTGGTTCTCTGGTTGGGTCCCACTGATTAAAGATTGGCCATATATTAGTCCTGAAATAACCGGGTAATATAGCAGTATCCTGCATTATATTGAGTCTGGTTCGACATTTCTTTTAGAAATATAGGACTCTCAAATAGAAATAAGTTACAAGCATGTACAAATTACCAAATTATGCTCAAGGATCATTAATTATTTTTACAATAGCTGTGACTAGCCATAGTGTTTTTCAGTTCGCAATTTTTGGAAAATGGGTATTGGGTATTATTTCGAAATTTTTCTCGAAAGAAATATTCGACATGCAAAGGGTTAATCTTGTTACGGCGCAAAAAGGTTAATTATGTTTGTGAAGAGTTATCCCCCATTTCCCATTTTCCAGCTTGGAAATCAAAAAAGGACTACATGATGTGATTTTTGCTTTTTGGGGTTTATGTTGTTTCAATCCTTATTTGTGTGCAAAAAGTGCTTCAGAACTAACACGATACCTAGCAGTGAACTTCAATATGCCGACTGACGTTGAAGTATTGATGGAAATGGGGTTTCCACAAAACAGAGCGTATGTTCTTTTGTTTTTGTTTTATTTCTTGTCTGGGCTGGCGATACTCATCATACTGTAGACACTGTAGTGTACTCAGTAATCTACTGGTTGATGATAAATCATTACGGTACGAAATTATCGACATTGATGTGTCTGATCGGAGATGTCTATAGAGCACCATGACATGACAACAATAAAATAAAACAAAAACAGATGATGCGGGTGTTTATGCCCAAATCAATTCTAGATTGTTTCAAAATATGTAGGCCTACATGTACATACTATATAGGCTACTTGAAGTTGAACATTCTCTTCTATACATAAGAAGTCGTCGTAGGTCATAATATTTATAATAGATTGGTAGAAACACAGTACAAAGGTTTACTTGTTTTTAAAGCTGAGCAATAATGTACCGGCAAATGAAAACTAGTCAACGCTGTCAATATTTCGACAGCCAAAGACTTGTCTTTTATTGTTATTAGTGAAGCATGTGACACTGGGCTCAAAGACAAAAGCCAAGAATGTAGCCAATTTACACAAAAGAAATTAGTTGAGATCAACCATAGCCTATGACTACTTTTCACTAGCTGTCACATTACATCTGAGCGTAACATCTTCCCCAATAAAATTTACTTGGTGTTTAATCTAGTCTCTACAGTCCGCCAAATGGAATCGTACAGAATGAAGGTTAAACCTGGCAATGGAGTAGGCTGTTGTTGTTCTAAGTGTTTAATGTCCGCTTCCACCGAAGGTGATATCTCAGACCAGTCTTATTATCTTAGCGCACGCGCAGGTGTCTTTCCTGTGGCAGGAAACCAGAGTAAACCCACGAGGTTGAGAAGGGGCCCCTATCTCCATGTCACATACGCTCACACCAGGGATCGAAACCACAGCCACAAGCCAGAGGTGACCAGTCAGCTAGAGGTCGAAGCGCGGCACTCTAGATTACTAGGCCATCCCAACCCCTCAATGGAGTAGGCCTATATATACAGACTGGAATAGTTAATCTCTGAAGCTGTGGAATTGAACAAGTGTAGGCCTACATGTATACATGTACATGTATTTCTTAATTTTTAGCTTTAATCTTGCATGCCAGAAATACCAAGTCAAACTGAAGTACTGTTTGTTTATTCAAGGCCTCTTGCCTTTTAAGAATGAGCAACCTTGCCAGTATGATTGTTCAAGTGATATTAATTTAAAATTTGCTAAATTGTCATACAAAACAGATGATTTTTTTGTCTTTTAGTGAAAAAGCCATGGCTAAAACTGGTTATAAAAGTGTTCAACTGGCTATGGATTGGTTTGTAGAATTTTGACTATCTCATTACTTGTAGTATAAATTTATTTTCTTCAGTAATCAGGTACTAATTTTAATGTAATTTGAATTCCTGGTAAAATAAAGATTTGAAATAGAACAAACATACTCATTGAATATTATCATTAATAAGCCTAATACTGGAGTCACCGATATCTGTTCAAAATGACTCGGTAAATAACTCTAAAATATCATTTGAGTTGTGAACAATTTAATCATTATTTTACTTGACACTCAGTACGATTATTTTAGTTGCCGTGTGTGTGACTATTTAGACATGATACAAGACTGATAGAGGCCGTGAAAGGAAATAATAAATGGTTCAAAATCCTTACCGGTCTAATTTATTTTTTTAATCCTTATTCACACATTGTTTGAGAGTTTGCATCTCTCAATACGTGTTTTTAAGAATACCTTTTCTGTGCATGTGCGTACAAACATAAACGTACAACAGTCCACCCGGTAAAACTGAAAGAGGCCGTGAAAGGAAATAATAAATGGTTCAAAATCCTTACCAGTCTAATTTATTTTTTTAATCCTTATTCACACATTGTTTGAGAGTTTGCATCTCTCAATACGTGTTTTTAAGAATACCTTTTCTGTGCATGTGCGAACAAACATAAACGTACAACAGTCCACCCGGTAAAACATGTGACTGGAATATGGAATAAACGCATTGCATGATGATCAAAATGATAGAATTAGAGAACGCAGGAGTACATGTGTGTTGTAAAGTCCTTTCTTTAATCCCATTTCATTGCTTGCTGATATCATACGTCGTCATGCAGTGGATTTATTCTAGAATAATTGTATCTGTATTGGTCGATATTTTTCGCTTTCAATATCTGATATCGGCAAAACGATAGTAGCCATATCGGACCATCACTATAATAAGCATTTTAATTTTATGAAACTTTTATGTGTGTAGTAATTACATGTTCCAGTTATTTGCGACATTTTCTGTTCAGTTCTACTTCTAAATATACTCTTCAAAAAAAGTAGGGGATATTCAGAAACAATACAAAACTGCGGAAATGCACTGCTGTTTTTATTAGAGGTAACCAGTGTATGTTAATAACAGGCCAATTGCCTACACATGAACATAAACAGTTCATATGGGCGGCTTATCTGACAGCCCCATTTCACTCGCAAAGAGATACACTGTCAAAAGTGAAAATGGACGTTTTTGATTTTTGTCTTAATAATGAGTAATTGTTCCACCAATCCTGAGACATTCAGCAATTCGTCAAGGCATGCTCTTAATCAACCGTCCATGACTATTTATCATATCACAACCTGCATAGGTATTTGCATTTCAATATCCCCTACTTTTTTGAAGAGTATATAATAATTTTGGGTTTTAATAAACTTGGTTCCTTACATAGATTTCTTTGTTGTGATTTATATATTAAATCAAAGAGAAATTGGATTGAATTAGATTTGAAATCCTTTTTAAAACTGAAATATCAATGTAAATTGAAAAACACATCACATGTGGTCAATGTCATAATTGTTATCCCTGCATGTACAAAAGAACATAGTAATTTAATAGATTATTAATCTGGAATGAAATAACTTATTTTATTAGTCAAATTCGATTCTATTTTAATATTTGTTTGTTTATCAATAGGTTATTTGCTCATAGTGATGATCCGGATATAGATGAACCTATGGCGCCATCTAAAGGACATACGCTAGGAGAAACTGCTGGTAAATTTTCATAATAATCATAAATTGAACCCTGTGAAGTATTGATATCACAGTTTGACTCGGTGCACTGGACCAATTTTGTTCTATTTGGTTTCCTGTTTTCATATGGAAAAACTGAGAATTCATTGATCATGTTGCTTCACACTTTTTATTGAATTTATGAGACATTCATCCATACAGGTTTTCTATGACCAACTGTGCAGCCTGATTGTCATTTGTATGATCCCTGTTTCTTAGGTTATCTCCATTTTTAATGGAATTGCATATCTTTGATTCAAGTACCGGGTAAGTCCTAAATTAGAGCAAAAATTTCTGTGATAATTATTCATCAATCTTATTTTTATGGTGTATATTTTTCCAGGGGGAGATAATCCATCATCAGAAGAAAAGTCAGAAGATGCACCAGCTGAAGCTAAATCTCTTAAATGTGATGAGTAAGCCAATTTTTGTTTTCTTCTATTTACAAGTTTTAAGTATTTGTCTTCTGTTTGCAAAATGGACTTTATAGTAAGGTCAATTATCAAAATGATTTGAGGCGATACTTCTTGGATATTGTCTACTAGTTGAAGGCCCAATTATAACAGGTTCAAACATGTTCAAAAAGAGTGACTTGCCCTTTTTATTGTATAAGCTGTTCAGTTTCGTAAATAAACTTACTGTAAATTCATAAAATTCGACTTCCAGTTCTCTCATTACAATTATTAGCTATTATTATGTGTAGTGTTTGTAAGGCATTTAGTGATAGGGCGAGAGAGAGAGGAATGGGGTTTTATGTCCACTTGACAAAAACTAGGAAATTTTGATACTAACATATGGCTCTATTTAGTAGTCAGAGAAAACCGGAAGACCCAGGATAAACCCACAAGGTTGGACAGTTTAGTGATAGGAAAAATATTGAAATAACACAAACATGACTTTATGGATAAGAATCACAAGCAACTTTTAATAGCATGATATTATCTTTTACATTGTACTTGATAATAACTAGAGAAGACTTGTTGAAACATTGTACTATTAAACATACATTATGCAAGAGTTAAATCTGCCAATTGTAGATCTTTCTTTAGGCCTGAAATGTTATCTAAATCGTTAATTAAGCATTAACTTATCCAGACCATAATCAACTCTCGATGTCATTGCTAGCCTGCGATATTTATTGGATTAGAAACCTATCTTCTGCTCAATACTCATTGATGATTAAATCAAAAAATGGATAATTGAGACTATGTTTTTTAACATACAACTTAGTAATGATGATCGAGGGTAGGCCCAAAATTCAAATCGCTAAATTCTCGGTTCAGAGTGGATCAATTTGACTGAAATTCTCAGCAAATTCCCTCTAGTTTTTAACTATTATAATGAGAACTGCCAGCTCTTTATCTAATCTCCCATAATGTATGGGGGGTTGGATGGCTTAGTGGTTAGCATGTGCGCGCTCTACCATTAAGTCTGTCATTGAGTCAACTGGCGTGGTTTCGAATCCCCGGTTGTACGTGACAAGGAGTAGGGTTTGCATGTCCAACCTCGTGGGTTTTCTCTGGGTCCTCCGGTTTCCTCCCACTGCTAAAGACCCCTAAGCGCAAGCGAATTGTGGAAATAAAATTGAACCATATGTTAGTCCCGAAATGACCTAGTTTGTGTCGAGTGGACGTTAAACCCCATTTCTCTCTCTCTCCATAATGTATCTTTAAAGTTGCTAGTGATTGTTATCCATGTAGTGTAGTTGGGTTATTTCAATATTATTATGTATATTTTTTATCAATGATCCCGTATATTACAATGTCTGATATAGTTTATTGTATTAATAGGTGTGGTAAGTTGATGAAAAGTGAATTAGATGTACAAGCTCATGCTGCCAGAACTCAACATTCAAGTTTCTCCGAATCAACAGAAGAAATCAAACCTTTAACAGAAGAAGAGAAAAAAATCCAATTAGACAAGTATGAGATTTGTTTTGTTCAGATAATTTTCATTTGTAAAATTTTCTCAAATAAATCAAAAATGGTATTCTAGAATTCTTAATTGAGACATAGAAAATTTTCTAGTCATTCTAATGGGACACATTGGCATACATGTACAGAAAAGTAAATTGTAAACTTCTATTAGAAGAGCTGCTATATGCACATTATTTCAGTTTATTAACAACATTTGCATTATTACATTTATTACATCATTCAGTGACTTTGTTAAATATAAAAAATATTACACAGGTTACAGGAAAGATTAAAACAGAAACGATTGGAAAAACAAGAAGAAGAAAAAAAAGAAAAAATAGCCAGAGAAAAAGCCAGACGTACAACCGGTAAAGATATGACACTCATCAAACAAAAGTAAGATACTCTATTATTTTTATGCGTCAGTTGTAATCTCATGTAGAATGTACCAGGTGCAAATCCCAATGTAGGCCAAGAAGATCCATCAGGATTTTTTTTAACTCTGCCTTCACTAGAGAAGAATGGTGTATATTTGTACATGTATCTAGTCATAGTGAAGGGACAAAAAAAGAAGTCTACCCCTGTACACTTTCTTGTGCAAGTAAAAAAAAAACCTAGACATTTGGAAATGAAAGAGTGACCAAAGTATTGTGTTGACCAGATATTAATACACCCTTCTGTTGTTGTTATTTTTATGGCTGTAAAACTTTTATTGTGCAGCCTTAAAGATGCAGTATGTTCGATTTAGATAAAGAGCATGCTGTTCTTGCTATAATAATAGTTCAAAAATAGACAATGAGAAATGAATATATTGAAAATCTCATTCAAATTGCTTTATTCTAAGTGAAGTTATCACTGTTTGGTGTTTTGACAAGATGTGGCATAGATTGTTTATTATTGTAGTAATTGTCTCGATTCACCATGTTTGAATTAAATCTCTGCCATCCGATGGTCTCGAGAGTTGATTCTAGGCTTGTCATGTGAATGAATAAATGTCTAGATAATAGTTCACATAACATTTGTAGGCAAAATAAAGACCTGCAATGGGTAAATGTAGCTCTTACATAATGCCTTTTTATTTTTAATGGTTTGTAGATTAGAAGAGGAAGAAATAAAGAAATTGGCTGAACAGCGAAGAAGAGAAAAAATGGAAGAAAAATTGGCAAGGTATATAGGAGATTATTAAACAAAGGCAGTAATTTAAGTTATGTTTCAATCAGGGCTATTGCTTCAAAACTTTGTCAGTCTATTAACATTTGATGTATATGCCATTCCCACCCAAAATGAGATAACTGCATTGTGAAATATCTTGGGTGATATCAATTTTTGTCCATAATGCAGTAAAACCATTAAAATTTATTGTGGGATATATGTCACATTATTAAGTACCTTTTTTGACCAAATTGGGTTTATCACATTTTGTTTTTAATGATACATTCCCACGAAAATATTTATTGGGTGGTTGTTTCCAATAAAAGTATGGCAAATTTGGTATATATGGAAAGTATAGACACCCAGTCTTACAAAAATGTCAAGGCATCACTAACTGTCAGTCCAACAGCTTATTGTCTTCCAGCTTGACTTAGGGAGCGGTTGTTATTTCTTGATAGATTATGTTTAGGGAACATTGAGAAGTTTAAAGTACAACAGACTCTGCAATTAAACGCAAGTTGGCAACAGATAATCCAAGAATGTACTTAGGCTTCAATATGTATGGTAACTTGACATAAATTATGACAAATACATTCACAGAATGGGCCCTCCCTCAATCAAGTTACGGGACAAACATGGCTTATTAAAATAGATTTTTTATATCTCAGGGTATTTCCTTGAGAATACAATGTTTTGAGAGGGGTTTGAAGCAAATTTTCGATAGTTTGTACATGGGAAGGCATCTTTAGCATTCCATATTAGTAATAACCTTATTAGACTTGCATAGAAAACTCGAGCACTGCCCTACTTGGGAGTGAACACTAGCATGCATTAAATTCCTTAAAAACACCTTAAAAACATGTAGAGTTCGTAATTGGAGCACATTTGTATCTCAAGGAAGGATTGGCAGATTTTTCATAAATTTGGCATAAAAACTGATTTCAAACAAAAAATTAATTTATAGCAACCAGCTTCTGGCTGGTCAATCTTTGTGTGTATACCTCAATGTGTGTTTAGGAGAGAATGATCTTAATATTAGTATTACTACATAATAGTAATGGATTTTATTTATAAGGGTTGGATACATTCTGCTAATACCCCTTTGTGTCAATATATTTAAGTATATATATTATTTTAGACAACGTGTAAAAGATGAAATAGAAAAAGATAAAAGAGAAAGAGCTGCTAGGGTAAGTAACTTTAGCAATTCTTTTATATAAAGCAAACTTATCATCTTGCTAATATCATCTCTTAATTCTTTGAAAATAATGAAATATTTTTTATCTTTCGCTGATCTTTGTAGGGAGGGATATTGAACTGGGCCTTGTCCTTCCTTCACAGTCTTGTTTCCAGAGCATATCGCATAAACCATTCAAGATATATCTATGAAACTCAATACTAATTAGAAATTAGTTGTGTTTCCATGGTTTGGGATATTGATGAAATGAAATGGGGTTTAACATCCTACTGTTCTGCACAGACTGGGCTGCTTGTCCAAATTGTTTTAGTCAAGATGAAACTTAAGATTGTGTGTATAAATTGTTTCAGGCAGCCAAATCAAGTTCTACGACAAGTTCAACATCTCCCGTGGTTGCCACGGTATCTTCAACACCACCAGTAACATCAGCACCTAAAGAATATACTGATTGTAGATTACAAGTAGGTTCTCTAGAGATGGGGGTTGGATGATAGAATTGTCTAACATGTGCGCTTTAAATAAAAAGGTCTGTCATTGAGTGGCTTGGTTTTGAGCCCACACTTGTATGTGACAAGGAGCAGGGTAGCCTGTCCAACCTCGTGGGTGTTCTCAATGTCCTCCGGTTTCCTCCCACAGCTATAGACCATTACATGCAAGCAAATTATTGGAATAAAATAGAACCATATGTTAATCTTGAAATGACCTAGTTTGTTTCAAGTGGACTTTAAATCACATTTCTAAGTCAATTTTGTGTTCAACAGGAAATCAAGGAGTTGGTCCAGAATATTATCACAAGTGATTGTAAAATGAAAAATCTTTCAATATAACATAAACTTGAGGCTAAGTATTATGCCTATACTAGGAGAAATCAGGGCATTTAAATTTCTCTTCCATGTATACAGCTTTTAAGCGACATTTCATTCAAACTGACCAAAATATTACTTGATTACTGATCAAATGTTGGCTAAATATGAGTTTTATTTATTATATTAGTATTTGTGGACGAACCATTTTTTCCATTTGGGAAATCATTTACTAATGGGTTTTTTTCATACTAATTTCAATTGTAATAATGAAATGTTGCCAATCTGTTACATGTTTCCTGCAGTCATCAATATCTTCCAAGTAAAATATTATTTGGAGGTATTTATATCATTAAACATGCATTATGCAAGAGCTAAATCTGCCTATTGCAGGTCTTTCTTTAGGCCTGAAATGTTTTCTTAAGTATTAATTAGACATTAATTAACTGATCCAGGCCTTAATTAACTCTCGATGGCATCAGATTTCTCCGATATTAAATAGATTAAAATTGTTAAGCGATACTTTGATTTAATCAAATATGGAGGACCGAGACTTACCTTCGATCAACCAGTACGGTGGTTGAAATTATTGCACACGTCTGTCAAACCTTCAAAGGCTAATATCTTCACTTGCAATAGAGTAATTTGAATGAAATTTTCAAATTATTCATTTTACATCATCTACTTTCGAACTATTATAGCAAGAATGGCTAGTTCTTTATCTAAATCTTACATAATGTATCTTTAACACTTAATTTTTCGTTTTAGATAAGATTAACCAATGGTCAGGCATTAACACAGACATTTAAAGCTAAAGAATCGTTAGCTGCCGTTAGATTATATGTCGAGATGAATCGAACAGATGGCGCTGGTCCTTTTACATTAATGACATCATTTCCTAGAAAACTTTTTACATCTGAAGATATGGAAAAACCCTTAGAGCTGTTAGGTAGGTGTCATATTTAATACTAGTGATTACTGTTTGATCTGTGCCAGTAAATGAAATGAAATGAAATGGGTTTTAACGCCATACAGTGTGCTATGAGGGAAATTTTGCCCGGGCAGCGGCACTATCGCCTACTCTTATATCGAATTCCAACTGCCAAGGGATCTTTTACATGCATTCCAATGTATACATGGGACCTCGGTTTTTCGTCTCATCCAAAGGACTAGACAGCTGTCCTTGTCAGGCCCTCTGTCCTGCATCACTGACAAGGGGGAACCACGCCGGAAAATCTGGATGAACTTTCTCTGCCAATGCAGGGATCGAACACCCAACCTCCAGGCTAGCGAGCCAGCGTCTTACCCACTTAGCCACGTGATCCCCTGTGTGCCAGTAATGCATTTCAATGTAAATAACTTCCCAATGGTCAGCAGTATTATTCAGCTAAGTGTCATGAACATATTGGGAAAATCTCCTTTCCTGACTTGCAGACTTAACCTATCGAGGACAAAAATCACTGTATGTTGGTACAATATAAGAGATGTTGCTCCACTTAGCTTGTAATAGCATATTTTGTAATATTGACATGATTTGTGGGTGTGATGAATAAGGATCAACTGAAATTAATCAGTTTAAATCTCACAAACAATGAGTGAACAAGAGGAGTTGGGACCATAGGGCATTCTACTCTGAGTATATAACTTACCATGAACTGCAAGAATGTGACACAACAGAATTCCACTGAATTAGATTACACTTGTCAATTCAAACAGTCAATGGTACTGAAGATCAAATTATCTCCCTTGATTCAATACATTTTGTGATTATTTTGTCCATAAGCCATGCAAAGGTTATACTTTCAAAATTCGATTCTTTTTCTTTCAGGCCTTGTACCATCAGCAGTTTTAATAGTTACCAAGTCTCAATAATGATGGCTTTTATTAATATGTTTATACAATATTTAAAATATAATTGTTACAAATGAGCTTTTATCTTCCTATAATATTCACACTGATTAAAATACAGATCGTAAGTTCAACCCGGTTAATGAAGTGCAGTGTGCTATGAGGAAAATTTTGCCTGGATGGCAATTGAATTTCAGCTGTCAATATGTGCATAGGACCTTGGTTTTCCATTTGCTAGTCTTGACAGACTGGTAGTAAAATTAACCAACTAGTAGAGAACTTGTCTATCAGTCCGTTTACATATTATAAAGTAAGAATTTCAAAGAGTTTTAACCTTAAAATTAAATAAGATTTATAGTGTTCTACTGTTCATGTGTAAAAATGTTTCAAAATATTTGTAAAAAATTGAAATAATGCTAAAAATTGATATATTCTCTGGAAAAAATATCTTGTTGATCAGTAGTAAACAAAATTCATCAAAAATTGACCATCTGGCAAAATGGCAAAGGGAAATTCCTGGTTTAAACTATTTATATGTAACTTTTGGTTTCTTTTCTCTGCTGCACTATAATTCAATGCACATCTTGTCTAAAGCTGGACTAAACAGACCATTTCATTGGCTAATCTCAAAAATCAAAATGGATTGCAGGGTGTTTAAAAATCCCCCCTGAATGATAGAAAACAAAATGAAATAAAAGTTAAAGATGGGATTTAACGTCCACTCCACACACAAATCTTATTTTGGGACTGACATATTGTTCAATTTTATTTCAATAATTCTCTTGCGCATCTTTTAGCAGAGGGAGGACACTGAACCAAGTGAAATATGATCTGTTTTTTTAACCAGATGGTATAAAATTAAAAATTTATGAACTGAGCAACTGTCACATGCCTTTAATGTAATTAGTTATTTTATTTGTCCTTTATGAATAGTTTATTCTAATTAGTTATTTTTTAATTGTAATTTATGAATAGTTTATTCTATGTAACCAATATTGCATTAATGACTGTTAAATTGATATTTTGTTAAGAATGCTGATCTTTGACACAGTTCAATAAATAATATTGATCATCAAAACAAATGATTTATAAATAAATATGTATTTTGTTATATATTATAATTTTGTCGTGTTTTTTTTTATTCAAGAAGCTGTCTCAGATTCTGTCTCAGATATCTTTTAGTGAATTACAGTGGTTAATTTTGGGTTAAATCTTGAGAGAAAAGCAGAGAAATGGTGTTTACTGTTCACTCAACACAAACTATGTCATTTCATGACGCACGTGGTTCAATTTTATTTCAATAATTTGTTTGCACGTAGATGGGTTTTACATAAGCTAAGTCTGTTCCCTGTTCCCTAATTCCACTCAGATATCCTGAATAAAATTAATGTTTAAAAAAAACCGATTGCACGTAGGGGTATATAGCAGTGAGAGGAAACCGGGGGATATGGAGAAAACCCACAAGGTTAGACAGACGACCCTACTCCATGTACAAGATTCTTATTGAAATGTATATTTTGGCAATATACATGTACATAAATGAATTATTTTCTAATCGGTACAACTTCTGGGAAAGATTTCACATGGAATCTGAGGTCCCATATTTAGTAATATGTTTAATGTCTGTCGAGGGATAGTCTGGGATATCAGTGAAATCAAACGTAAAGCCCCTCAAATGAAAAATATCTATTGGATGAATGAACAATATCTATTGGATGGGCGGTTGTACAGAGACATAATAGCAGACGTAAATGTTGGGTTTGTTTCTCCCTCTCCCACGTGACAAAGGAGTACGACAGTCTGTCCTACCTTGTGGGTTTTCTCCAGGTCCCTCCCATTGCTACGTGCTAGCAAATTATTGAAATAAAATTGAACCATATGTTAGTCCCAAAATGACCTGTTTTGTGCAGAGTTGAGTGGACATTAAACCTCATTTCTCCCTCTCTCCCAGAGCTGTACTTTTAAAATGTCTACCATCACTATGGATATTAATTATGTTTCAAAGTTTAATAAGTGTTGGAGAATTTAATGAGGACACATGAATATCATCATTCATCAGTATTGGAACTAAACATGTTTATAAATGTTTGATTGAATAGAAGAACAAATTAAAACTAATATTTTATTCTAGTTTGGCAGTGAATAACAGCAAAAAGTGATAAATGAAAACATAAATGATATTTAGAGTATAAAAATATATTTCACAATAAATATAAAATGATATAAATAATTGACATGATCTTAAAGCAGCTGATCGTCATTTGCATTTTCAGACAAAATCTAATTTTCAAAGCTTTGTCGACACTAAACAGTACCCAAATTGACTTTGTAACATTTAATTAAGAAAACGAAACCAAAATATCAACAGTCTATCTTCCAGCATGGATTCAATCCGATTAAGAAGTCCATCAAAAGATTTTACCCAACACTGATATGTTCCGCTGGCTTGTTTGTATCATATGCAGAGAATACTGAATGTGAAGTTTTTAATTCTTCACATCTTTATAAATACTGAACCGATTTGAACCATATTTTAAACTAAAATCCATGTTAGAGATTCAACTTTCACAATATATCGTAGTTTGTAAAGAATTTTAAATCTCTCAAATGACGATCAGCGACTTCAATAGTTCATATGTGATTCCATCCTCGGTATTCCCATGGATGAACCCAGGGTTTAGTGGAGTGGAACGGAATGAGACCACTGAGGATACTGAGAATGACACGATTCCTTTGTTAGAATTTTATTAGTGACCTTTCACACTCTTTGGTTGTATTTCCCACTTTATACCGTCCTCACTTAAGTCAAATGGCACAGGGAAAAATAACATCAACCAGCTAAATTTCAATGGTCCGAACACTGACCGAAAATTATCCAGTACACTTTTGCCGTAAGGATTAATATTTTTCCATGCCTCGTGTGAAGTTTGTCCGGAACTGACAATCATCATTTGCCAGACGAAGAAGAAGATTCCTGCTCCGAGACAAAAGATACAGAAATGACTATGGATAACTATTAATACTATTCCAATAGGTATATTTCCGAAAAAATATAACAGCACATTTATTCCTGGTAAATAATTCACAAAATAGTTTGAAAATATTGGCATGGCTTCATTAAGATATGTTAATTGGAGGTAGAGCGCGAACGCATTGGACCAGATCATGTGGACACAGAATATGATAAAATAACGTTGATTGTAAAATCCAATACAAGAACCAGTAAAAAAACAATGATGGTCTCTTTTCAATATACACTTTTCACATAATTTACAGTGGTGAGATCTGGGTGGTGCATCTAACTGACATGAAGGACAGGATCTCCAACCTGGTGGGGTTTCCTGGATCTGGGTGAAATATTTCTCTATAAAAGTCTTTCTTACATAATTACTCACATCTTTATAGGTTAAAAACCAACAGGCATTACATTCTACCAAAGCCATGAAAACCAGCACTTGGCATAGCAGCTTGACTGTAGTGTTGTCTTTAAATAAAGTTGGGATCAATATCAATAATGATTCGAATAACAAGGAAATCGTCATGAACCAGTAAAATGCCACTCCAACTTTGTTTGCAGACGTTTCTTGTGGTTGAAAGTTTCTGTTATCATAGTGAGCCTTTAGTTTCTCTTTCAGGGTTACTTGGCGTCGTTCCATCGTGCGTATTTCTTGATTTATCTCAGAGGTCGTACTGTTCTCTATAAGACCTCACCGACATTCATTATAGACAAGACCAGACTAATCGGGTTTTGTTTGATTGTGTTATTAGTTATTGTTGGGAATCCCCTTCGTCGCCATGACAACATGTAAACAATAGCCGAACACATTCGTTTTGAAACATCGCTCTTATCATATTATTTGTTTGGTTATTCCGTCATTGCACACCTCACAAGATAAACAAATTAATGTGATGTTTGAATAATAGCATATTGTGTAACAAAGGGCAATAAATTAAGCAGACGTTAAAAAAAACCCAAACATTAGTTCCGGAATACCCCTATAATAGTCTTTGTTGTCATGACTTTAAACAGGTGCCCGATTTTTGATTAACCAGTCTTTTATGCAATTTTTCAATCGGACTGTTATTATGGAGGAGATAACATGCCATAGTTCCAACTTATAACTTCCAACTTTTATCCATGTAAATGCTCAGTTATTAATTCTAACTTTTGATTTCTAACTTTTAATTTACAATTTCGAACTTTTATTCCCGTAACTTATTATTATTAGGGCATGTAAATGCTAAATTCTTATTTATAACTTTTATATAAGACGTTAAACTAAACTCCATTTCAATTAGCTCTTTAGTCTTGAATTTTCCTCGTTTTTTTATGAATTGGTAAGAAGACTGCCACATGCTAAATTTATACATAAGCTAGAAACATCAGGGTTTTTTTTTTTCAAAAATATTTTCTCGCCCGAGGAGATCGAGAGAATCTACTTCGTCCTTAGTAGAGCCGAGACCCCAACCACAGTCTTACCCTCGGCAGTAAAGTGAACACTGAACGTCTTTAGTATTGTCCATTGAAATTTTAAAAAAAAATCAACAAAGATTAAAATTTCTAGAATAGTAATCGAGAACATGCCAAATAATAAATTAATATCATATTTAAAAATCATCATCATGGACATAGTCTCGGAATTTTTGCTTTATGGTATATTAATGTTGATAAATTTCATATTATGGAAAAATGTTTTTACGAGAATCTCTGTTGGCCGCTATTGTATATTACATCATGGCGCTTAACACACACGCCTCTGTATAATTCTACATCCTGCCCGATATTTATACATCCTTCATTTGTTAATAAATACGTCACAAACAAAGTATCGCCCTAATATTTCAATTTATTTTACAATAAAGTAACCGTTCATTGTGAAGGCGACCTCGGAGTGCAGATCTCTGTATATATTAAACACACGACCTTCATCTTAGACATAAAGTCACCCCGATCAATAAGTGACCGACAGCTGAATTCGTTCAATGAAAACGCTATATATATTTAACGAGAGTGAATCTGTATAAACCGACCGCGTACGTTTGTTAGTACAATAATATATTTATAGGCTTACGATATCGTTCATACTTTCTAGATAAGCGATTCCTAGAACATTACTATTTTATTAGCGAACTGTGGAACGTGATAATCGTCTGCCTGGAGATTATTAACCAATTCTGGTTTCAGCTAACCAGTTCTTGGACAATTTCGATTCTAGGGAATTGATATACTGAGAAAAGGTGTCTATATACATTATTAAAGAACTATCATATTTCAACTTAGGTATAATCACAGAAATGGCGAATTCAGGTAATATATATTATATTAATAACTGAATGGTAATTTATTTTATATGCGGTATGTCATACAATGAATTGAAACGCTGAAGAACAGTGTCTATATATTATTTAAAAAATGATATTCGAACCTCGTTCTAATAACAGAAATGTCTGATTCAGGAAACGTAAAGCTATTATAATATTTAACTGTGGTAATATATTTTATAGGTTGTATGTCATTGTATATACGTTTTTTTTTGTGCCATGTCATTACAGTTCAAGCCTACTGGCATGTGATATTATATATATAGCTATTTATGAAACCTGTCACAGGTCTGTACAATAATTCATCAGATTTAAAATTAAATAATCATGCCCGTAGCAAGCCCAATACCTACATTTGACGGTCCACGGCGAACGGCACCGTGGACGTTCCTTCCTTCGGAGGAGGGTCTTGGTGCTTTTCCCCAGAAAATTTTGGAAAAAACGGTTTGCACCTGAGGAGAGGGACTATGAAAATGACGAAAAATATCAATTTTGAGGCTGAATTTGCATATTGATATTTTGATATGAACATTTTTTTAAAAAAATTGAAGTAAGGAATACGACTTAGCGTAATTTATGAGAAAAATGAAAAGTTCGGAATCGATGGTGCGACTTGTTTGAATTTTGAAGATCATCACGCCTAGCGCGGGCTTCAATCAATCTCATCCCCATCGTGAATTAAATCTGGAAAATTTCCAACAATCTCCTCCGGGATGAAGCACCCATCAATCATGCTGTTTTGGGCGCCCAACCAATCATTGTCGTTATAAGGCGCCAGCCAATCATATGTCATTATGGACGCCCCTTCTGGATAAGGCACCCCACAGATCACTATCAATTAATTAGTGTTTAATCGTGTGATTCATTATGGGGCGCCTCACCAATGTCACTCGGCTTTATGGGGCGGCAGGGCGCCCATACTGATATGGGCACGTTGGTTGTTGGCTACGTATTGCGTCCATTTTGGGGCGTCGATTTTTTTTCCAGAAGTTCTGCAAACTTCTATCAAATTATTACGTGCCTTTACTGCACTAAAAGATTCGATGATATTGATGAAGTCCAATTCGTCACGTTTCTGGCGAATCGACGAATCTGATTGAGAATTATGCGTTTGAAATTTGCGTTCTGTTTATGTAAATGGCGTTCGGTGTCCTGATGTATATGTATGAAATATTAAATCACAAATGAATGTTATTATTTGATGTCCACAGATATAACAACAGAACGCAAATTTCAAACACATAATTCTCAATACTTAAATATATCAGATTCGTCGGTTCGTCAGAAGAGCGACGAAATTCTGAGTAAAGTCACCATCAATGTCCAACAATGCCAAATTGTTCAGTTACTCCTGCGTCATAATGTAATGCAGTGTTGTATGTGTTTTGTTGTCTTCCTGTGCTTACTATTAGGTATCGTAGATAAGATCAATCGTCTTGATAATGAAATATAGCTGTCTTTGATTTATAATTCTTATTTCCTAAAATAACTCCGTGGTTACTAGATTACATTATTGATCATTCACTCCTTCTATAGAACCAAGTAACACGAAACTCATTTCATTAAAAGATTCCGTGTTTTAGACCTGTAGAACAGAATTACTGTAGACATTGAAATTGTTGGGTTTCTATATATAAGATTGAAATACTGAATTCAAGCTATATTTGGAAATAAAAATTGATTTGATAAAATTGTTATTTATCAAAATCACCCCCTTCCTGAATTCTACGACAGGTTCCATATCATATTGCTTGTTAATAAAAAAAATCACACTTACTATACAGTGTGAGTAATTTGTTTTGGATGGTTATCAGGTGATAACAAAAATGCTTCCCTTTATTTTTATGTAAATAAATGGCATCCTTCATCTACGTCATAAATTTTCTGTTGTTAAATTTAACCTTTTTCCTTTTATCGGTGAACCGAAAATATCTGTATTTTAATCTGGCACTGAGACTCATAAACAAATACAACCTTATTCTGCATTCAGCAAAGATCACTTTTTAAACCTAAATACGCGATTTTTTTTTACTATTTTATCCCTATTACTAAATCCGCCGCTAAAAGATTAAACCACTAACCAGTGGCCGAAACGTCGTTCTACCGTGTGAGTTTGTAAGAGAGAGAGAGAGAGAGAGAAATGAAATGAAATGAAATGGGGTTTAACGTCCTACTGTTCTGCTCCTATCTGGGCTAATGAAGACGGGCATACGCCATACAGTGTGCTACTCTTATATCGAATTTCAACTGTCAAGGGATTTTTTACGTGCACGCCAATGTGTACACGGGACCTCGGTTTTTCGTCCCATCCGAACTACTAGACAGCTGTCCTTGTCAGGTCCTCCGTCCTGCATCAATGACAAGGGGAACCACGCCAGAAAATCTAGATGAACTTTCTCGGCCAATGCAGGGATCGAACACCCGACTTCCAGGCTAGCGAGCCAGCGTCTTACCCACTTAGCCACCGTGATCCAGAGAGAGAGAGAGAGAGAGAGAGAGAGAGGTGTTCTTTATCCATTTACAATGACACTAATTAGTTAAACAGAACCTTAAACACCCGTTTCATTTCATTTTAAACAATGAACCTCGAATTCATTGCCCATTATGATCAATATATAAATAATGTATTATATTTTACTCCGTGCCAATAGATGTCACAGTCCATAAATCCTCCCATAAACGTGTGAAATGTTTAGACAACAGTTAGAATAATTTTAATTATACAGGATAATCAGGTTAAATGTATAACACGGTTAAAGTGCTTTAAGTTAAACAAGATTACGTGCTTCTACAGAGATTAGTTAATCTGGTCACCTGATTTTTAGGCTCCGTGCATGATAAGTTTTAAATTCAGTATAAAAAGTAAGGTTTCGCGGTACAGTTTATCACTGGTGTAAACACACTCTCGTCGATAGACCTACAGTAAAGACGTAGCTTTATCTCTGATTTGAAGTTCCGTAAAGCAGGTATGATTTAATACAAGTAATTTGTAACGAGGCACCAGTGGTCCTCCTGTTCTTTCTATTTTTGTTTTATTAAAACACGATTGGTTCAGATTTTCAGCATTTCATGATCTAATTAACTCTACATTATTGGACTTGAGGTGGGATGCGGTTGAGCGCTAACGCCAAGGTTGGCATAAGGTCTTGGGGATTACCCAAGAATTTTATGAAATCAGAATCAGAATATTTATACGGCCCATTTAGGCCCGGACCCTCGATTGAAGGACTTTAATTTTTGACACGACGTCACGATATTAAGTCGGCAGTATCAATATAAATATTATATTATATATTTCTATGAAGTCGGCTATTATGACGTCATGCTCGTTCCTGATCCATATTTATATTACTACTACTTATATATATTTATTCATGTCCATAATGTTTTACAATATTTTGCAGAATCCAACACGATGATAAAACCAGTTATCATGGTACATGGTGGGGCGTGGTCGATACCAGACAATATGGTAGATGCCAATAAAGAGGGAGTTAAAGCTGCTGTAATGGCAGGATATAAAGTTTTATGTATGGGAGGATCAGCCATTGATGCTGTTGAAGCAGCCATAGTAGCTCTAGAAAATGACCCTTGTTTTGATGCGGGTAAGTCGAGGTGTAGGTGTTAACATACCTGGATTCTAAATTAACTGTCTTTCAGTCCATAATTTTGAGTCGGGTATGTTGGGTATGATTAGAATGTTGCCAGATCAGTGACATTATCGCATTTCCCGCCTACACCTATCTATTTTGTGAGTCATTTCCATAAAAAATCTCACTTTTCTGTTCCTACTCTTTTCCCGGTATAATCTCATTTTTTTATTACTAGTACCTTAACACGGATGGGTATAAAATTAATACTTCATCCATACCATGTAATAATTCGCAGGGTTTTAGGTGGCCAAATAGTTAGCGCGTGCGCGTTGTATCATTAGGTGGGCATTGAGTCAAATGGCGTGGTTTCAATTCCCCGGTTGTACGTGACAAGGAGTAGGGTCGCCTGTCCAACTTCGTGGGTTTTCTCCGCGTTCTCCGGTTCCCTCCAACTGTCAAGGATCCCTACGCCCAATATTAAGCAGGGAAACAACTTTTGTTTAGGCCAATGGTAATTGAATATTTATGGATTCATGTAATATAATATGATTGAACCAAAGCTATTGTTTTCGCTGATATTTTACAGGTAATGGTTCAGTATTAACTGCTGATGGTAAAGTTGAGATGGATTCTATGATAATGGATGGCAGTAATTTACGTGCTGGTTCTGTTGGCTGTGTAAATAGTATAGCTAATCCTATCAAATTATCCAGAATGGTCATGGAAAAGGTAGGACTTTATCTATATATTTAAATCATTTAATTGACACCACATAATGCCACAACTCCATTATGGTGGGGTTTTCCCTTTTCTAGATATGTCATTATTAACACCAATACAAATCCTCAGCGTGATAGTCGTGTACTTGACAAATATATTTTAATATCAACGAAGAACTTAATAAACGAAAAGTTGAATCTTAAAAAGTTTAGCGCAGTTTGAAAGTTTGTAATGCCAAAGCCTATGACCAGAGGCATACTGGCCTGGCGCGACCAAAAATCCGCGCGAGGGAGACAAAGATATTTGGACAATCATTGCTTGTCTATCTATTCCACTGACCACTATTTGAACATTTGTAGGGGTGAAATTCAAACACGAGAGAGACAGTGAAATGGGGTTTAACGCCCACTCGACACAAACTAGGTAATTTTGGGACTAATAATTCGCTTGCGGGTAGTGGTCTTTAACGATGGGAGGAAATCGAAGTACCCGGAGAAAACACACAAGGTTGATCAGGTGACCCTACTCCTCTTCAACCACGCCATTTGACTCAATGATAGACCTATGATTCCACTCTCGTCCATCCAAACAAGAACAGTCATATCATAATAATAATTATATCCTTCGATAAAACTGTGAAAGTCACTTTCAGATATTCTCTAACTCAGTATCACCCAAAGTCTTCGACATTGAAAACACGAATTATTTGTCAATTTAAATCAACATTGATGTTGTGATCTCATGGATATAAGATGGGCTTCTGATATCCAATATTTAAGACAAAATAAACATGATACCGTTGGTACACGAATCGTGTACCATAATGCATTTCAGCCCTATTTGTAACAAAGGATTCGAAGAACGAGGCTAGACATATTCCACAAGTCAAACGATGACGCCATATTCTTATCTGGAAAGCATGCGGAATAAATACTATTGGTGTAGACTGGAATAACCAGACCCCAGAGATTGCCATTCGATTGAGACTTCTGCTGTATACATTTCGCCGAACATAACTGATTAGAAATTAAACTAAAAACAGAAACGATTGAATGTAAATCAGTTTATATACATTCATATTATATTATTATATGCGTTTTGCGATCCATTTGTGTCCATTTCTAGGTCCCAAATATTAGCGATTTAGCTCCTTTGAAGAAGAGTTTTGTAACCTTTTCAATAACTATGTTACAGTATAAACTATAATAAACTGGTTCGCTTTACGAGGTCAAACTCCACGCACTATTATAAAGTTAACATAATAAAGGACTACCTTCGATTTCCTCAGTGGTTATTGAACCCGTTCACTAACCTATTTTTTTATTCCTTTAATATTCTTACAGTACTTGTAACTTCTACAAGCTGTATTCACAACCACTTCACACATACTATTAATAAAAACAGCGATAAAATACATCTCAGATAGTGGCGTACAGTCAAGCGGGGGTTGCCGAAGGAAGAAACGCCAAGGGTGGCACTTTTTGGGGTTGGCAACTTTGATCGCATTGGAAGTATGCAACACACCTGACGCAAACTCAAGGACGGTACAAATTCTATGTACGCCACTGACTGGGAATTTAATTTAATTAGATACACATTCTATAGATGCTTGAAAAATGTACAATTCAGTCAAATTACTGAATAGTATAGAACAGTGGGTAAATCTGTTCGCAACGTCGCCATACATACACACCGTTTTCGTAATGTTCATCAAGTTTAGATTTTATAGAAAGAAGATTAGATTTATAAGATGTTATTATTATTATTACAGACAGATCATGTACTATTAGTGGGTGAAGGTGCTAATAAGTTTGCTGGTGAAATGGGTGTACCACACGTATCTATAGACTCGTTAATCAGTGATTATGCTAGAGAAGAATGGGAAAGATTCTCAAAAAGTGAATATAAATCTGCTGTTAATACCATGTTTAAAAAACGGTAGGTTAAAGTTCAAATAAAATAAAGATTGACATAATCAGAAACACTTGACGTCACATTCAGGTCATACCGCCATCTTGCAAACACAGGATATTTTGTCCGGGCGGCAAGGGTAATCTCCAATGCGCAAATTTGGTTGGCGTCAGAATTAGAAATTAAGCTCATCTAATTTTCTTGTACAGCGTATGCACGGCGTATGCCATGCTCTTCTTCGTTAGCCCAGTCGTTGCTGAAAAGTGGGACGTAAACCCTATTTCCTATTTTTATTCGACAGAGTAAATAGGTAATAAAGATAGTTGGGCCAGCTGACGCAATATATCAAAGACATGCTTATCAAAACAATTATACATGTTCTTTTGACACAGAATTTGTTTTAATGATAAGGTATAAAAAAAAACCCCAAAAAACCGACATAGAATGGACTTTGGTATACTTCATTATTGACACGTTCACCTAGATTCTACTCAAAACCAACGACTGATAAGTTTGGTCGGATTCTAACACCCGTGAGAAAATAAAATGAAATTTAACGACCTATTTTTCTGCACCGACTGGGCTATGATATCGCAGCCAAGAATTATTCTGACGTGTTATCTCCACCGGTAAGTGGAGCCGCGATGGCTCAGTAGTTGAGGCGATGGCTCTAAGCTGGAGGTCCCGTGTTCATTCCCGGTTTTGCCATAGAAAGTTCATCGGGATTTTCGGGCGTGGTTCCAGAGGGCCTGGCACGAGGCAGCAGCATCTTGTAGCTCTGATTGGAGGAAAATCCAAGGTTCCGTGTGCACGTAAACAACACCTTGGCGATTGAAATTTAAAATAAGAGTAGGCCTAGCGCCGCTGTATAGACAGAATGTCCTTCATGTAGCCTAGCATCTACTGAATGACCCACCACTTCCTAAAATTAAACTACATGGACAATTTAAAATGACAAATTCGATCACGATGGCATAAAAACACCATTTATAAAGGACGCCCGAAGTACCGGAATAAACTAAATGTCACGAACAGTACAGATATATCACACCTGCTCTATGACGTCATTCTCTCTCTGGCCATGTGTTGTATTTTTCCTGTTTACTTATTGCTATTATTCTGAGGCTAATTTCGGTCTGTTGAGTAGAATAGCCTACTGTTATCATTTTGCAGAAATGTCATACCCAGACCCGCTGTTTTGTAACTTAAAATAGAACAGGGCACTAAACCAAACCGGGTCAAAACCCAACTAAATTATAGGGCACAAGTAAATACTGTGTGTTTTAAAAAAATGAGTACGTGTTATTACCTAAGATGTGGTGTGATGAATTAACCAATGAAACTGTCTGTTACGGCGAGATCTTGACGTGCTCTACGGAACTGTGGATAAACCCCTAGAAACGTCAACACTGATTGATTAATCAATGTCTGACGTCATAGGGTCAAAAGCCGTTCGCATGACCCCAGACGGGACCCCCCCACCCGTACAACTGGTCAGATCTTCATGTAGTGTAGGCCATCGTAAGTATAAAAAACGAAATGAAATATAGATCTTAATTATTTTAATTAGATTGCATAAATTGAAAAGTGTTGACTTTATAATTTTAATACTTTATATTTATAGAGATGTAAAAGAAGAATTAGTTAATTCCGGACATGACACAGTCGGGGCTGTAGCTGTTGACGCACAAGGTAACGTTGCGTGTGGAACATCAACTGGTGGTATAACAGCTAAACGGCCAGGTAGAGTCGGTGATACACCTCTTGTGGGTAAGTTCGACTATTTTATTCTTCAGAGAGAAAACGACCACGGTAACACAACTCTACTTATAGACAGACACGACGAATCAAATTGACTTGCATTATAACCCTAGGTGGTAACGAGATTAAGCTCGTTGTTGAAATACCGTCTTCGCCCAACAAATTTAAGAGTTTTTTTCTTGTAGTCCGATTGGATCACATATGTGGTGAACACGAGAACCCCACTGCTCGGTCACAAACTTTTCCTCTTATATCTGACCAACCACAGTGCATAAGAATTGTTACCTTTTAGTGCTAAAACAAATTTCTATCCCGTAGTGTCAAATATTACCAGCTTTTTGTGTAAAACAATACGAACTTTTAGTCTCAAAGATTACGAACTTCAGTGACTTAGTTACTCGGAAATTTCCCGGTTGGTTCCGCCTTGTCAGTGAAGCAGTAAAGAGTATAGAGATCTTTGCATGGTTAGCGTCTAGTCGTCCGGATGGGTCGAAAATCAAGGTCCTGTGTACATGTTGGCGTGCAAATAAACCCTTGACATCTGGAATTCTATGATGAATAGGTGTAAACGTCGCTACACTTGGACATTATACCCCATTTAATTTCATATTGTTCCATTATGTATACCTTTATTATTATATTATGGACAGGTTGTGGAGGATATGCTGATAATGAAACAGGTGGGGTTTCTACAACAGGACATGGTGAAGGTATAATTAAAGTATGCTTAGCTAAACATATTACATTCCTGATGGATCAAGGTAAGCATATCAATGTCACCTCTTTTATTCCTTCTAAAACTAGATCGTATTTGTGCTTCATGAGATCACCAGTATGAAGGCCAGTATGAAGTTAACAATCATCTTTGAACCCCTTGGTTTTCTTGAATATTCTATTTGTGGGGGTGGCAAATGGGCCAGATTTAATGTTTGGGGCTCGCGCCATTAGTTTAAACAATATTGTGCTCGATAAACTTATTCGGATTGAACAACAAGCAATATAAGAAAGTCCAAAGGGATTTTCCGGCGTGGTTCCCCCTTGTCGGTGATGCGGGACAGTAGCGCCGTTGTCCGGGAAAAAATTCCTTCTATAGGACGTACGCCCGTCTTCATTAGGCAAGTCAGTGTTTGCGGAGATGGCAAATCTTGTATTTCGCGGACAGTTTCGACGTTCACACCCTTGTCTGCTTCATATGTTATCTCTTAAAGGGACAAAAACACTCTTGCTGGCTTGACAGCTCCAGAAAATAAAAAAAATAGCCTTATTCTAAGTACTAAATGTATTAGTGTCTTACCTGTTGTGTAAATTATCCATTAAATCCTATTTTACTTGTCCAGAGGGTTCAAAAATATTTTTAAATCCAAGTCACATTTGAAAAGCTTTACGTCAGGCTTTTCAAATCATTTAGTTGAATTTTTCCAATTTTTTAAATTAGGTGTGTTAAGATGAAATTTGTATCATCACAATTAATTGGAATATTGTAAAATAGTACAATTTGTTGACCAGATAAAGATTGGGACATATTATTCAGTTACAACAAGAGTGGTATTGAGCCTTTAACAGTTAACACCTCCACGCTTTTTGTTATAGGTTTAACAGCCCAGGAAGCTAGTGTAAAAGCAGTAGAGAATATGTATAAACGTGTTCAAAGTTCTGGAGGAGTTATAGTTGTTAGTAAAGATGGTGATATAGGACAATATTTTACCACAGATAGAATGGCACGGGCCTGGGTTAAAGACGATCAAGTTTATTATGGTGTTGATATTCATGATATAACAAGCTGTCCAGTTGATGGCCTAAATCATAAAATAGTTTAAAATATAATATATGTATATAATATGTTACATACCGGTGCTTACATTTCAATCTGGTTAAAACACAGATCCTATTTCGTTTCGTTTTTATAGTTCAAAATTTTGTTTTACTTGTCTTTACTACACTTCCTGTAGTGTAGGCCATAGAATATAGTCGATATTTCTATGGTGTAGGCCATCGAAAGTATAAAAAAACGAAACGAAATATAGATCTGTATTTTAATCAGATTGCTTACATTTTATCTTTCTGAGAATCCCACTATAGCTCGTCAACATGTTTCAGGATTTAATTTCGCCATGATCGCTACGTTTCATAGGCTTTTTTATTGGGTTAAAAATCGATCGTAATTTGTGCATAGTGAGTATTCGACTAATAAGGAATAAGCTCACACTTCGATTCTTTCAGCTAGGTTATCTGACCTGGATCATATCGTCTTTCCTATAGCATAACACAAAGCAAAAAAATCCATATCACAAGATGGCAAGACAGACGCTATATTACGTGGCGGGTTGAATGGTCGAATGGTTAGCACGTGCGCGCTGTATCATAAGGCCTGCCATTAGTTCCGAAATGACCTGATTTGTGTCGTGTGAACGTTAAACCCTATTTGTCTTTATATATATATTACGTGATGACAAGCCAAGGTCCATATTACGTGGTGACGAGACAAAATCCATATTACATGGTGACAAAACCCGTATTGTGACGTGACAAAATCCATATTATGTGGTGACAAAATCTATATTAGTGATGAGAAAAAATCCATATTATGTGGTGACAAAGTCCATATTAGTGATGAGAAAAAATCCATATTACGTGGTGACAAAATCCATATTAGTGATGAGACAAAATCCACATTAGTGATGAGACAAAATCCACATTAGTGATGAGACAAAATCCATATTACGTGGTGACGAGACAAAATCCATATTACGTGGTGACGAGACAAAATCAACGATGGTTTTAGGAGATTGAAATTTTATTACCAACGGCAAAGTATTCCTTCTAACACCTGCCAACACCTATTATTCCTAGTATTATCACCAGTCATAGGTTTTAGACAATTCAATTCTTGTTTTCAATATTTTAGTGGCACTGTTTTTGAGAGGAACGGGTAATCATGATCCATTGTCAGAGTTGTATTATTTGTTCAGGGATACATTTCGCCAGGTGCCATAACTGTGATCATTTATCAGAAAATAAAATATTGTTTTAGATCTGTGTGTCTCGATTATTTTTTTTTCCAGAGTTTAGGTTTAGTTCAACTTGAGACAAAAACGAGAGAGATAGATTGAACCGAGCCACCCTACCCCCCCCCCCCCACGCCCCGGACACCCAGCCAAATCTATTGGATTCAGGACAAGATGCCAGAGGTAAAGATAAGACGGCGCAGGTGAGGACGACTACCATCGGCAGTACGCAAGTGATCTTGGCAGTAGGAAATACGGGTTCTCCGCGGGGAAATGTAAAAGTTCATCAAAGAAAGAAATAGGGTTTAACGCCCACTACAAAGAACTGGTTCATTTCGGGGGATAGCAGAATATGTTTTTTTAAACATGCATTATTCAAGGCCTTAAATGTTATCCAAATTTTTAATTAGACATTAATTAACTCACCAAGATCATAATCCGCTCTCAAGTCAACGGATGTCTGCGATGTTTAGTGGATTTGAATACATTTTGTGGTTGATGAAATAACCGTGAAAATGGATAATCGAGACTTTATTTATTATCTTAACAACAATAGCAATGACGATCAAGGCTAGCCTAAAATGGAATCGCTAATATCAAACTTCAGAGTGAAGCAATATCACTGAAATTTTCAGCATGTTCTCTTATCATTATCTGTTTTTAACTATTATAACGAGAACTCCCAGCTCTTTATCTTATCCCACTTAATGCTCCTTTAAATTTAAATTGGCATGTACAATCTTAGGATTAACCTCACACTTTCGTTGTGGGAACAACTAACGCGGACGCCCCGGGATTTTTCAGACTGGTTTCCCTTTGTCAGTGGTGCGTCTAGTCGTTAGGGTGGGACGAGAAACGGAATGAATTGGGTGTTTAACGTCCCACTTTTCTGCATTAACCAGACTAATTGAAATGAACCAGGGAACGTACGGTGCTGAATCCGCTGACATTTTAATTTCCCTTCCCAGGTGTAACTGGCCTACATTATATTAACGGCTGTACCATTGCCAGTAATGAGCTTTAACGTTCAGATTTGGTCGGCATGACGCATTTGGTTGATTATGTAGGACTGACGGCAAGTCTACCGGTTTATAAATTCAAGCAGTTGTTTACGAAAATATAGTCTCTTATCACTGACTTTAAACGGTAGATTAGTTTATCAAGTTACGAAATAATTAAAACATTCCACCAAAGACCTGATTTCGGTTCGTTCTGTCTACATTAATACACTATCATCACAGTTCGCCACAGAGAATTAAGACTCGAGTAAAATATACCAGCGGCTGCCAGGCAGGATACGCCCACATTTTCGAGAGATGGATAGAAAACAAGCTAAAATGAAAGTGATTTTTCCTACAATCAAGGGAAATTACAATTCGATATGTGCAAATATCGAAAGGAACCAAGATCTTTGAGTTATAAACTTACATTTCAAGTTTCAACAAAATCGGATAAAAATTGTGACCTCTATACGGTCCACAACCTTGATATACCATATTTTTACGCAATTTGAGAACGAGGGGCGGCCATTTTGTCTGTCAGTTTTGGGCCGATTTTCACGAAATTCGAACTCAGTCGTCCTTAGGGTTTAACGGTGATATAAAAAAACGTTTTTTTTTAAATCGGATAAAAATTATGACCTCTATAGGGTCCACAAGCTAAAAACGCGATTTGTCATACAATAAGGGGCCATAATTCATGAAGTTACGGTCCGATATGCGCGAATATCGAAAGGAACCGAGATCTTTGGATTATAAACTTACATTTCAAGTTTCAACAAAATCGGATAAAAATTGTGACCTCTATAGGGTCCACAACCTTGATATACCATATTTTTACGCTATTTGAGAACGGACGGAGGCCATTTTGTCTGTCAGTTTTGGACCGATTTTCACGAAATTCGAACTCAACCGTCCTTAGGGTTTAACGGTGATATAATAATACGGTTTTTTAAATCGGATAAAAATTATGACCTCTATAGGGTCCACAAGCCAAAAAACGCGTTTTTACGTAAACTCAGGGGCCATAATTCAGGAAGTTACGGTCCGATATGCGCGAATATCGAAAGGAACCGAGATCTTTGGGTTATAAACTTACATTTCAAGTTTCAACAAAATCGGATAAAAATTGTGACCTCTACAGTGTTCACAAGCCAAAAACATGATTTTTCGTACTATCAGGAGCCATAATCCATGAAGTTACGGTCCGATAGATGCCAATATCGAAAGGAACCGAGATCTTAGGGTGATAAACCTATATTTTAAGTTTCATTGAAATCGGATAAAAATTGTGACCTGTAGACTGTTCACAAACAATTGTGGACGGACGGACGGACAGACAGGGGCGACGACAATATACGTCCACATGAAAATGTGGGCGTATAAAAACTGTTATCTGTCACTTTCGTTATGGTCTTCTCCAACTAAACATTGAATCCGGGCGATATAATAAAATTGAAAGATATAAAAGATTATGCAAATGTTGTAATATGAAAGCTGTTGGAAGATGAATTTCACTTTCTGCTGTCCCGCTTATATATTCATCCGTAGAAAATATTTTTCGCGATATTTTTGGTCTTTCCATCTCTTTTCAAAAACTAAAAAAACTCATGAATCACGGTGATAATAAAAAACTCATGAATCACGGTGATAATATAAAACTGCTTAATCTTGGAAAATATCTGTATCAGTCAACGAAAATTAGAAAAAAACTGTTAGATAACCATACCTAATGGGAAACTTCTTTAGGTGTGTGCTGGGCTGTCGGTTTAGGTTGGGATTATTTAATTATGTATTTATTTTTCAGTGATATGAGTGTACTGATAAGGTGTGTGTGTGTGTGTGTGGGGGGGGGGGGGGTATATTGTATACTGTTATCTATGTATATATAAATTACAATGCATACTATTTATATCTGTATATGTTTTTTGGCTATAGCAAACTTTTTACTTCGCCTGTAATAAAAAAGTTCAAACTTCATATAACTACATGGTATATATTATCCATGAACTGTACAGGCCAATCCAGATACACTATACTCTTACTACAAAATACATATTTAGTTTTAACGTTCCATTTTCCAGCTCTATCAGGCTAGTCAAAACGGGATATGATATGCAGTGTGATATGAGGGAAATTATATCGGGAGATGTGCTATTTTATGTGCACGTCAGAGTTTACACCAGTCCTCGGTTTTCCGTTCAATCCAACGATTAAATGCTATTCTTTGCTAGGCCCCACCTTGCACCACTAACAACGGGGAATACCACGCGGGTAGAACCCGGGGAACTCTCTCCGCCAACACTGGGAACCTACACATGGCCTTCGTGTGAGCGTGGCCCATTATATCAAAAAAATAAAATAAACAAATATCCACACTAATAAATATATATACAATCAAAACAATTTATTACTTAATTCTTATAATGCATGTATAATAATCATAATATTATTACATTAATATAAACACAAAATAATATATATAGTCTGAATAACAAAACATCTTTCAGCTTTATTTATATTAAATACAGAATAACTGTAACAACGAATAACAAGACGAACAGATGTTTAGTGCTTATTTCAAATATATTCTAGTATTTGTGAATTAGAATTTTATTTTAATGGATGACAAAATGATGAACAGTATTAAATTGGGAAGTTCACCTCCCTAATTCTTTATATTTTATTCACTGTCCAGTATTAGAATAGTTTCTACATTGCAATACCAGAGTACAAATCATTTCGATTTTAATTAACACATTAATTTGCCGAAAAGTCATTTGATGGAACATTATAATAGCAATCTCAACAATACAACACAAGGTATATATAGTAGAACTCCTTCTCTGTTATTAATAACAATATCACAAGACACGCCTTTAATGTTTACAACTTTTACCTGTAGGTGTTACATACCTCATTATACTAAATAACAGAAGTATGAAATGAAATGGAGTTTAACATCCTACTTTCCTGCACCAAATAGGCTAATGAAGACGGGCATAATGCTATGCAGTGTGCTATGAGGGAAATTTTGCCAAGACGACAGCCCTATGGCCTAATTTTATTTCTAATACCAACTGTCTAGGAATCTTTTACGTGCACGCCAATAAGCACCTGGGACCTTGGTTTTCTGTACCATTCACAGACCCTTTGTTCTGTATTTTATTGTAAATGACTAGAATAAGGTGCACTGCTTTCTTTATTTACAGTTGATGACAGTTACCCTCAACATGTCACAGCCGGCAACTTAATTCTATGTCAGTTGAAGATGAAATGATTTGTACTTTGGGTTCTGCATTGTAGAATCTACTTTTAATATCAACTAATGAAAAAATATCAAGAGACTGCAATTGTTGGATTACTTCACTAAGAATTGAATTTTCCTAGGAATAACCATAATCCAGTCAATATATATGACAAATTCAGCCAATGCAGTGAAGGTGCGGAGCCTTATGTAGCTTAGAAACGGGTCAATGGAGTGAAGGTGTGAGTCTGGCAATGTTACATTAATTATCATTATATGATCAATTATTTATTAACAAAAATTCATTAAATATAAGTATGTACATTAATGCATATTTTGTTTTTATTACAATATGTTTTTATAGTTGAAGGAATATTTTACACATTCTATAAACATATAAAGCTTTACAATTTACAGTCATTATAATAGATTCATTCAAAATAATCAATATACAAGCTGTACAGCCATTATCAGTCCTTATTTGGTCCGTCTTTTTTCTCTTATTTGGATAAAAATCTTTTCAAACTCAATTAAATAATATTTCTAATAATAAACTTCAAATTTAATACAGTGTTGACTTAACATTTTGAATCCAAACACAGTAAATTTTGGTTTAATAGAAACCCTTACGCCTTATTCTTAAAAATATTACAACTTTTAAAATAGATTGTTGCACCTCTTATGAACAGCAGCTCAATATGTTAACCAAGCACTTCCGTTAAGTTCAAATAAAATTTACAGAAATGAAATGGGATTTAATGCCTTGACAGTAGTGCTACACTTATTTCAATTTTCAAATGACAGGGGATCTGTATTGTTATGCCAATAGTATGCATGTTTTTTTTTATTCTTTCCAAACAACTAGACCCTTTTCCTTGCCAGATCCCTGACTAGGGGAAACTAGGTTGGAAATCTTGGCCACAACTGAGATTGAAACACAGTCACTGAGCCTTGCCTTAATCTAAAGTGTTTAAAGGTTTAATGAATAAAGAAAGGTCCAGTAACATATCAGTTAAAAATATTTATATTACTTTTTAATCCTGCAACTAAAAAACCAGCATTTTCCGCATGAAATTTTCAAGAGTAATTCGCGGATATCTTTAATCTTTAACAAAATAAATCAATCAAAATCTAAAAAAAAAAATGGATGATAAAAATGAAGTTTAACAAAAAAAAGTTTATAAATGCATGTATAAATGGGCTTTCATGATTTATATATTACAATGTCTTTTTTAATAATAATTACATTCTCTATTTCACAAATATATAATATACATGTAATCCCTCTTTTCCAAAACACATACACACATTGAGATTTATGGCACACTCTAACTCTTCATGTAACTCTATATTTAAACTATAGTTCTTTTTACCTGTGTCAACATTTTCATAAAGTGCAATTGATATACATGTTTCCTTCAATGATCATTTGCTTGAAAAATGAGGGTGATCGAATAAGATTAGTAGAGGATATACATGTAAGTAGTTTCTACACCCTATTGCAAATTTAACTGGTTATGAAAATGAATCTTTTTATGGTGTCCATGACAAAGCATCTTATGAAAGATGAAATGGACCACAACAGATGCGACGTCTAATTATGGAGGTTGAGAAAACCTTAGTAAATGCCGAATTAAAGAAATATCAAATTAATATAAAAATCTTTCTTTTTCTAACAAAATATTGATCCACTGCTCAAAATATTTAAAAAAAAAAAAACAGCACCAAATTCACATCATGCACCAAATTTACATCACACACCAAATTCACATCATGCACATTTAGTTACTATCGTTAGATGAAATCATCAGATCTCTATAAACAGCCCAACACACAGTTGTATTACGATTCTCTGTTTTTATACTTAGTGTGACTCAATGGTTGAGTCTTGAAGACGCGTATCTTCTCCGTGTCTGGCATAATCTTACATAATTTCTCCGTTAGCTGATGTATTGTAATAGTTTCTGAGTCAAATTGTCCAGGTGTAAATTTGATTTCTACTTTGTTATCGGTGTTACTAGTATTAGAACATGATTCTGTGTTGTTAAGAATGCCCCATTCTAGATATTCTAATTTCTTTAATTGTGATAAACTGTTGAGGGTGTTCGTGTTGACTTTAGCTGGTGATTTCACTACTTCATTGTCATTATCCTGTAAAACATAAAAAAATGCTTTAAATAAATGAAATGGGGTTTAACTTCCTTTTTTTCTGCACCAAATGGGCTAATAAAGACAGGCATGCAGTGTGCTGTGAGGGAAATATTGCCTGAACAGCAAAGTTTCCACCTACTCATCTTTGAATTCCAACTGTCAAGGGTTCTTTAAATAAATAAAATGGGCTAATGAAGACAGGCATGCAGTGTGCTGTGAGGGAAATATTGCCTAAACAGCAAAGTTTCCACCTACTCATCTTTGAATTCCAACTGTCAAGGGTTCTTTAAATGAAATGGGCTAATGAAGACAGGCATGCAGTGTGCTGTGAGGGAAATTTTGCCTGAACAGCAAAGTTTCCACCTACTCATCTTTGAATTCCAACTGTCAGTAAATTGTCCCATCCTAACAAATTGACATATTTCCAAAAGAGGACCCAATCCTCACCACTTACGGTTTTAAATAATTCATGAGTCATTACACACTAGAGCTTCATTGTAATACTGATGATAACATCCAAGAACTACGCCTGTATTATAGTGAGAATCTCATACATTATACACTATGGGTTGGACGAGCTCTTCAAACCAAAACTGTAACTGAATGCTGATTTTACTATTTGATATCTGGTTTCATCAAGGCTTAATTTCTTCAGTCTCCAGGTAATATTCATGATATTGTCACAATCAGCGATTGTCAATCAGACATAATAATAATGTAATATCTATAAAGTGCCAATCTGTCCACAAATGCATGTCCTAGACAAATTATAAATTCCTTGATCTGTTCAGCTAATTTGGAACTACAACATCTACTGCTACGGATTTAATTTGGAACTACCACATCTATAAACTTACCTCAGATGTATCAGGCCAAACAATAAATCTATAGAGATTTTCTAGTTTCTCTGTAATACTTGATAAATTATCTGGTATAATAAACATTACTAATTCCAACTCTTCTAATCTGTAAATATAAACAAATCCCTCAAATTCTTTCTTTAATACTATATGCTAATATTATACAGCAACATGTAGGCGAATAAAACAATTATTATTGAGATGTGACCAAATATATTGTACTACTTGTAGGGCCAAGCTTATCTGTAAGGAGAGAGAGAGAGAGAGAGAGAGAGATAACCCTCCAGGGTGGTCATGCTATAAAACATTGGATCATTCCAAGAGGCAGGTTGCACCTCATGGAAATTATGATTTAATGAGAGAGAGAGAGAGAGAGAGAGAGAGAGAGAGAGAGATAACCGTCCAGGGTGGTCATCCTACATTGTATAAAACATTGGATCATTCCAAGAGGCAGGTTGCGCCTCATTGAAATAATAGATCTAATATAAAAAAGAGTTCAATACGAACAAAACTAGTTACAAATAATTGGGATAACTGGAAGAATCGCCCATTTCTACCTATTTTATAAAAAATAACTATTTTAACTCAAAAGAATCAAAAGTCTCCTTAAGGTAAATACAGTTGTTTAATTCTATCTTTTCAATCATAGGACAATAACTGACACTAGGAACATGTTGAGTTGTAGCTGACAGGTTTATTGTGATATTTATATTGTTGTAAAAAGCTAGTGAATATAATAAATACCTACCCTGTAATTTGAATAAGAGCATCAGCTAAACTTGTATTCTTTAAATCACCACCACATTCCAGACGTAATCTCTTTAAATTGGTTAATTTAGCTAAATGTTCATATGTCTGAAATAATACAGTAGAATATGAGCTTGTTACGCTAGAATCTGATCAGTGTCATTTACCTCTTGGGGTGAGAGAGAGAGAGAAATGAGGTTTAACGTCCACTCGACACAAACTAGGTCATTTCGGGACTAAAATATGGTTTAATTTTATTTCAATAATTCGCTTGCTTTAGCAGTGGGAGGAAACCGGAGGACCCGGAGAAAACCCATGAGGTTGGACAGGCGACCCTACTCCTTGTGACATACAACCGGGGATTAGAAACCACGCCAGTTGACTCAATGAGAGGTCTTATGATACAGCACGCACGTGCTAACCATTCGGCCATCCAACCCCCCATCTTGGGGTGATTATGTTTACTGAATAAACAGGTAAGCCTTTATGGACCAGGCTACATATTAGGTCCCCCAAAAAGTTACCCAACTGACGCTATTTTTCCAGCCCACATTGATAATCCCAAGCTTTTTTTCTCATTTCCCAGGTCCTGTAACTCGGGTCTTGGTATGATTTTCTGCAGACACTGAAATTTTGTTATTATAACATTCCAAATCGCCATTTTTTTTTTACAGAAGCTTACTCAGTAATTAAGCTATAAAATGCTAGGAAATAAATAAAAATCTTTTACAGTTATTTGTAAAATGGTTAATAAAAATAAAAGATTTTCAGACAGAACGACTTTATTTTTTGTGGCCAAGTAACCATAATGTCATATAGTAATGCCACCTTTCATGGACGAGTTCCCTCCCCTTTGTTCTTTATTGGAGTACTTGGGAGTTATCTCCCATATTTGGAATATTTTGCATTTAGAGAGGTTGAATATAATATGGCCTATCTCACGTGTGGTTTTTACATGTAGATTCAATACATTTTAATCCATGGTGAACCAGATAACTACCCCCAACAGAGCAATAACGCAGGTATTTTTGAAGGCGCCTTACTGGAAGCTGAATGCACATTTTTATCTTCAATCAAAAGTATAACACTGTCATTTTCAAATTTTTTAAAAAGTAAATGATTACAGAAATAAATATAATGTAGCCTGTTTTGACTATTACTGGTAATATGTTTAAACTGTTCTGAGAGTAAAATAATATTTCTTACCTCGGACCATGGTGAACAATCACCAATTTCTAATGTTTTTAATTTCTGCATCTGACCCAGGAAATGGAATTCTGAATCTTGAAATGATCGCAATGTTGTCAAGGACTGAAATGCAGAGATAAAACATTTATTGTAACAATTTGTTACATATACTATATGGTCTGGAAATGGTCAAGTTGGTGCTGAGTGGATGTCAAACCTCATTTTTCTCTCTTTATATTTCACTGTTTGTGACAACTGTTTGGGAATAACACATGCTATATCCTTATTTCATAAATTAGCATGCTGGAATAGTGAGGAAACTTAACCACCAAAGGGTTGAATAGGTAACCATCAATATGGAGGTCGCAGGTATCGATCCCGGTGTTGGCCGAGAAAGTTCATCATGATTTTCTGGCGGCGTTTCCCTCTGTCTGGGCAAAATTCCCCTTATAGCACACTGTATGGTGTATATGTATGTCTGTCTTCATTAGCCCAGTCAGTAGGACATTAAACATTATTTTGTATAATCACAGGATTTCATAGATTAGAAATCCATACTCCGTAGTGCTGTATTTTAGAGAGAGAGAAATGGGGTTTAACGTCCACTCAACACAAACTGGGTCATTTCAGGACTAACATATGGTTAATTTCATTTCAATAATTTGCTTGTGCGTAGGGGTCTTTAGTAGGGGGAAGAAACAGGAGAACCCGGAGAAAACCCATGAGGTTGGACAGACGACCCTACTCCCTGTCACGTACAACCGGAGAATCGAAACCATGCCAGTTGACTCAATGACAGACCTTATCATACAGCACGCATGTGCTAACCACACAGCCATCCACCCCCCCCTCTGTATTTTAGATCATTTGACAACCAAAACCCATCTTTCACCTCATTCCATTATGTACTGTACTTATAAATTGTAAATGTGATAAAGTTAACGGAACTTACTAAAACTTGTAAATGTGATAATTGTGTAAGTTGTGATAACCCACTAGTAGAAGAGAAGGTAGGTAATACCAGTCCTCCCACACCCCGTAATCTCAACTCACGTAGATGTTGTAATGTAGAAAATTTACCAATATCTATCTTTGTTGGTGTATTCCTGAAAGTAAACCAGGAAGTCTAATTGCAAGAATCCCATAAGAATGCCCAAAAAGTATTCAGAACTTTCTTGCCATTTTCTACCCAAATTAAATTGATTATAAAATTTAAAGTTCTTAGGAACAAGCTGCATTATTAATTATCTTATTTCATAACAAAATATTTTCTTGCCTGATATTTGAAGGCAATGATAAGTAAACCAATTAATCGTAGGTAGACGTGTTGTTTTTCAGCCAATAGTTTGGCTTTAATTAAACATAAAATACAGATGTAACACCATCCTTCGATGATGGCCTGCCATTATTTCAAATAACTCATGTGACAATTAAACCAGACTTAAATATTGATTATCATTCACAAAATCTATGACTTACCACATTTGTTCGGAATTACTGTCAGATATAAATTCAGCTGAGAAAACTTCTAAACTCTGTAGTTTCTCACAGACAGAATGTAGAACTGTTGCTGGTACCAAACCAAACTGTATATCTCGTAATGCTACCAGATTATGTAAATTAGCCATTAACATATGCCATGTTCTATTTCTGTCATCATAATGATGTAAACCTTTTAAACTCTGTAATATAATTTATATCATAACATCAACACAGACCAGGATATAAAATATACACCATTAAAGATACATTATGTAAGAGCTAAATCTTCCTATTATAGGTCTTTTGTCTGACCTCAAATGTTAAATAATCTTTTATTATGACATTTATTCACATGACAAACCCATAATGAACTCTAGATCATCCCTGCTACATTTTGAGAACACTGCACACTTATTTTATACAAAGAGTAACACTGTAACCCAGGTATCATTTAATCTTGTGTATCTAGCACTAATTTCTTTCACATTCATTTGATATTAAATCTTTGTTTTAAAAATTCGTAAAAATCATTTAAAGGTACTATCCCGGTTTAAACAGAGTCTCAAAAATTAAATTCCGAGTACGTATAAAATTTAAGCGCCAAAGTATATAGGGGTGCTGTATTTACCTTTTGAACGTCAAAACCCACTTATCCGGACACGCAACCTTTTTAAGATTTCGGATCAATTTTTTCGTTGGGTGACCTGATCATCGATTCCCGTTCCTTAAGAGGTCTATACAGTGAATGGCCCATGTGCTGTGCTTGATAACGAAAGGTAAATTTCACCTACATTTTTGTACACATTTGTTTTATAAAAAGTCTGGTTTTATCCAGACACCGCATAATACAGCTTGGAACATCGGTCTCCATTTCCAGATAAAGACTGGCAGGATTAAGTTGTTTGAAAACGTACCACATATATTGAGTTAGTTGCTCGGCCATAAGATAGATGATTTTAAGGGATTTTAGCACGCAATTAAGCAGTTTTATTCTCCAAATTATTATCGGGATTGGCCCTTTAAAATCACCTATAAACATCTAATTTGTACTTGTGTCCCGTTTAAAGCTGACTGATTAATTTTGATAATGAGTGCCCAATTTACAAGTATTTAATTTCCTGACCACTGTTCAAATATTAATCATAATACATCAATAATCAATTGGGTTGCTTATTTCTTAACAGTGATTGAGAAATTAAATGCTTGTAAATTGGGCGCTCATCAAAATTGAATGGTCAGTTTTAAACTGGACACAAGTATAAATTAGATGATTTTTGGTGATTTTAATTGATTTTTACGAATTTTTAAACAAAGATCTGATATTGAATGATTGTGAAAGAAATTAGTGCTGAATACACAAGATTAAATGATACCTGGATTACAGTGTAAAATGAATCAGTTAATTGTAACATCAGTAGAGATATACTTACCAATCTTTCAACACCAACTTGTCGTATAAATCTAGTTGATGTTTCCCAATCAGGTATCTTCATATCTTTTAACCTGACCAATCTCCACTAGAATCAAATATATAAATACTTCATTTGATTAAATCCTGATATATTTACAACAAGTGTTTGGAAACCTGTATTTGGTGTAATATGGCTAGCACATGTACCTCAGCAGAGATCAAGAGATAATAATTTTTATTCATCTAGCAAGTGCCTTATTAAGGAAATATAGTTTTGCCATGCAACAAATAAATGCCCATCATCAGCATTACAAAGAAACGCTGTTAAATTTTTTGGTAAGGGGCAATAGCTGAGCATAAAATTTAAGGGCCACTTTGGTTTATAAAAGGATTCCGTTTACGACTAGCCCAACAATCCAAGTAAATTGGGGAAAAAAAATCTCAAAATCATTGATCTGTAGAGAGTTTACAAGAATTGTTAATGAAATGAAATGGGGTTTAACGTCCTACTGTTCTGCTCCTATACTGGGCTAATGAAGGACATTTTGCCCGGGCAGCGGCACTATCGACTACTCTTATCGAATTCCAACTTCAAACGGATCTTTTACATGCATTTCGATGTATACACGGGACCTCGGTTTTTCGTCTCATCCGAAGGACTAGACAGCTGTCCTTGCCAGGCCCCTTGTTCTGCACTACTGACAAGGGGAAATCACTTAGGAAAATCTGGATGAACTTTCTTAGCCAATGCAGGGATCGAACACCCAACCTCCAGGCTAGCGCGCCAGCGACTTAACCACCTAGCCACCATGGCTCCCGAATTGTTAACGAAGAGACAGACACAAGTGACAACTATACACGCCTGTATGAAATATGTAAAATGTGTCCAGATTAATTAGAAACGTGTACTATAGCTGTTTTATAATGCTTTATATTTATGACACGTTTTAACCTACATAATTTTATATAGATCAAATACTTACAAGAGATGACTGTTTTGATATGTGGTGCCATGTTTTACAAACTTGTCCCACCCTGAAAATAACAAATGAAATGGGGTTTAACCATTCTATTTTTAATTTGAAATTCCAGAATAGACACCGTGGTTGTCAGCCCTCCATCATGCCTCACATTCTGGTTATCGAGATCCTGGAAATCTTTTAAATAAAATTACTTTTATCTTGATTATAGCTAAAATTTACTGTCCAATTTTGAGTCCGGTCTCATAATCGTTACAGCTTATTTATATCTAACAAATATTCTATACAAATTACATGTAGGTCATTTAAGGGCTAAAATATGCTATATTTCATCTTAATAATATACTTGTGTGCCAGGGATGAAACCCTGAGAGGTTACATCAATGACAGACCTTATGATCTAAAGTGTATGCATTAGCCCACGCAGGCAACCCAATCTAATATTAAGGTTTGAAATGTACATGTACATGTATCAAATGATATATCTGATCTAAATAGTTTGCTTGCTCACCAGAGGTGTATAAACTAGAGAGAGAAATGGGGTTTAACGTTCACTCGACACAAACTAGGTCATTTCGGGGTAACATATGGTTCAATTTTATTTAAATAATTTACATGCATGTAGAGGTCTTTAACAGTGGGAGGAAACCGGAGAACCTTTTCACGTACAAGCTGTGAATCGAAACTACGACACTTGAATCAATGAGACATAGAGCACGTGTTAACCATTCAGCCATTCAACCCCCCAATCTAATCAAAATATAGATCTATATTTTGTTTTTTATACTTTCGATGGCCTACACTACATGTAGATCTAACAAGTTATAGTGGGAGTTCACGTTCTATGACGTCAGGTACCAAGCAAGCGACATTTGACCTGATTACGTCAGTCATTCAATTAACCAATTAGCGACCGCCATGTATTTTTTTTATCTACTTTTGCTTTGTTTTGATTTCTATTGCCGCTAATGTCTACCCACAGTTCTGCACAAAAAAGGTCAAACGCTCGAATCGACAAGACCATTTGATTGGCTGACCCCTCATTTCAAGCAGAACACCGAGTTAAATAACAACGCTTCCAGATCCAAGTGTAGTAAAGACAAGTAAAATCGAAATTTTGAACTATAAAAACGAAACGAAATTGGATCTGTGTTTTAACCAGATTTCCCAACCCCCCTGAGGTGCATAACAGTGTAATGAAAGAGGATGCACAGACGATGGATATTTCAATCTAAAGTGCATGTAGATCACTCGGCCACCTGATCTTCTCAACATCAGCATTAAAGTGTGAAATGAATTGTATCTTTTTATTCAATAAATAATGTTAGAAAATAAAGAGAGAGAGAGAGAGAGAGAGAAATGGGGTTTAACTACACAAACTAGGTCATTTCGGGACTAACATATGGTTTAGTTTTATTTCAATAATTCGCTTCGGGACTAACATATGGTTTAGTTTTATTTCAATAATTCGCTTGTGCGTAGGGGTCTTTAGCAGTGGGAGGAAACCGGAGGACCCGGAGAAAAACCCACGAGGTTGGACAGGCGACCCTACTCCTTGTCACGTACAACCGGGGATTCGAAACCACGCCAGTTGACTCAATGACAGACTTTATGATACAGCGCGCACACACTAACCATTCAGCCATCCAACCCCCCTAGAAAATATAGAGGTCTGAAATGTAAGTAAATGTAACTCACCGTAAGAGATCATAGGTCGTAAGATATTTAAATATATGCAGCATACACTCATAACCACCATATAACATCTTCATATAACAACTAGTAGGATTGATACCAATACGAGTTTTCTTTACTTTAAATACACTATTTACAGTATTAGCACTATCACTGATGGTCTTATTACTCCCTGTATCACTACTTGTATTATTAGTCTCCGCTACCGATTTAAACGTCTCCATTCCTCCGCTATTATTAGAAACAGTCACATTTAGTTTCGCATTTGGATCAACGGGTAAGCCAAATGTGTTGGGCGGTAACACAACTTTAAGTCCTTCTTTAGAGTTGATCACACAGTTGGGAGGAACGACAATGTGAACGTTGTTGATCTTTAAAGCTAAAGGCTGCGAGAGATTCAGTCGTTTGGTGACGGCACCGGGTAATGTCAACAATTGTGCGTTAACTGGTGTCTCTTTAGATGGTTTCTGAACCACTACAGGGGTCTGCGGAGATAGACCCAACTGTGAATTAGGTGGCATTGTAAGAGGGGGTGGGGGTAAAGTTGGTCGCATTTGGACTGTTCCTGGAGCTGCCGTAAGCCGCGGTGGAGCTATGGTGATGGATGTGGGACTAGTTAAAGAATGAATGGAACGAGGAATGGGGTTGTTGGCAGGTTTTAAGGGTGGGAGAGGTGGAATTTCAAAATTTAATGCAGGTTTCAATGGTGGAGGGCTCTTGGCATCCAGAAATGTTCGTAATGTTGAATTGATACTGTTAGCTAGAGTATAAGAGGAACTAGGTGTTGTGGGTACAGTAGGAGAAACACCACCATTAGATGTAGCAAGTGATCTAGAAGGAAATACAACTGTTACGGTAGAAGATGATCCAGGTGCTGTTGGTATGCTTAAATATGAATTACTGGATTTTTCTACACCATTTCCTGTTTTACCATGGCCAGATTTACATCTCTGAAAAACATAACCAAGAAATGATTATTGCTATCAGGAAATCTTTAACAAATACAGCTTTTATTAACTGTTCATCCAGATCACTTTTAAATGTTTCAAACCATAAATTGGATAAATTAATGGTAGTTTAGAAATAAAATGAAATGGTGTTTAACATCAGACTTTTCTTCACTAATCAGAAATGAAATACAATGGAGTTTAACATCCTACTTTTCTGCTTCGACTGGGCTAATGAAGACGGGTATATGGCATACAGTGTGCTACATGTATTAGACAAATTTTGCCCAGACAGCGGCAGTACGTCCTACTCTTATATCAAATTCCAACTGCCAAGGGATCTTTTACGTACACGCCAATGTGTACAAAGGACCTGGTTTTTAGTCCCATCCAAACGACTATTCGTTGTCCCTTGCCAGGTACTCTGTCCTGCACCACTGACATGGGGGAACCACGCCAGAAAATCTTGATGAACTTTCTCGGTCGGTAACTGGACCTCAATCTTTTATCTCCTCCAAAATCCTATACATGTACTTTACCAGATTCCCTATCCTATAGTCAAGGGTGGTAAAAAAGTTTAGATGAACTGAATGGGTATGTGAAATGAAATGGGGTTTAATGCCAGAACTTTTTTTCTGCTAATGAATGAATGAAACCAATGCATACGCTATGTGGGATATTTTGCCTGGATAGCAGCTGAATTCCAACTGTCAATTTTTTTATGTGCATGTCAAGGGTGCACACAGGCATAGGACCTCTGTCTTTCATCCCAACCAAACAATAGATGCTGTTCTGTGCTATACCCTCTGTCCTGTACCACTGACACGGGAACGTAAGCCAGTACCTTACTCACTGGACAAGGAGTAGGGTCGCCTGTCCAACTCCGTGGGTTTTCTCCGGGTCCTCCGGTTTCCTCCCACTGCTAAAGACCCCTACGCGCAAGCGAATTATTGAAATAAAATTAAACCATGTTAGTCCCGAAATGACCTAGTTTGTGTCGAGTGGACGATAAACCCGATTTCTCTCTATCTCCCCTTACTCACTGAGCCACCGTGGCTCCCTACTGCTAAGGAAGATGGACCCAATGAGCGTGTATAAAACAAGTAGTTAATACTTACTAAACAGTTAAATACGGATGGTATATTATTATCTGGTACGTTAACACATCGTGGATGAAATAAACACATACATATACAACATTGTAACTGTGGTGGTTGACCTTCTAAACCAGGACAATTTATTGTACATAGCTGACCATCAGATCTACCATCCATCCTGTAAAATTCAATTCTGTTTTAATAATATATCCAGATTAACATATATATAAATTTGAAACTTTCTAATCAAATACTACAATACTTCCATGCTGTGGTATTCATCCTAGTGGGAATTTCTCACAATGAGGATAGCGCTTGTATCAAGATCAATTTTGTTTTTTGACTGCGGAACATGGTGACAGCAGTACTAAAGTGTACTCTTATTTTGAATTCCAACTTTCAGGTGATCCTTAACATCCTTAAATGAACAAGTTCAATCTGTAAAGGAACTACATCAATCTATAAAAGAAGAACATCTATCTGTAAAAGAAGAACATCAATCTACTATAAAATTAACAACATCAATTTGTTAAACAAGGTCAATCTGCAATCTGATTAAAAGACAGATCTATATTTCGTTTCGTTTTTTTTATACTTTCGATGGCCTACACTATATGAAGATCTGACAAGTTATAGCGATAGGTCACGTCAGGGGTCAAAAGACCGACTTTTGACGTAGAGATCAGACATTTGATTAACCAATCAGCATAGATGTTACTAGTGGATTACCCACAGTTCCAGGCAAAAAAGGTCAAACACTTGATTCGACCGACCATTTGATTGACCGACCCTTCATTTCAAGCAGAACACGAGTTAAATAACAAGTCTTCCAGATCCAAGTGTAGTAAAGACAAGTAAAACAAAATTTTGAACTATAAAAACGAAACGAAATAGGATCTGTGTATTAACCAGATTGGATCAATCTGCAAAGTGAACAAGATCAAACTATGGTAAATCTGTAAAATGAACAACCAAAATAACTTACGTTGGATTTGTTTGTTTTATAACTTGTTGTGGACGTGGTGTTGTACTTTTTCTAGCTGTGGCCTTCTTTTTAACAGGTGGTTCTAGACCAGAACCAGTTGTCACATCTAAACTACGTTTTTTACTACTCTCTACAGCCATTTCTAAATATGGTGCCACAAAAAAATCTTCTTCGTCATCTCTCTCAATAACAACTTCTGGTTCGGGTCCAGAAGCTCGAGGTCGTCCGGGTTTTAACGATGACACTTTTGGGCTCATTCGATTACCTTTTGCTCGGCCTCTTTTAGGTGTTAAAGGGCTCTTAGAATAAGTATCAGCTGGTCTCCGAGATTTACCTGCAGATCGGACAATTTCAAATGGTTCTCTGTAGATTGGTTTTCTCATAAAACAGAAACATTCCAGAGGCAATCGATTTGATGCAGATTTATTGACTGTAAAGATATAGAAATATTATTCAAATATTTGATCAATATCAGATATATATCTGAATTGTGCGAGAATATAAAACAAATTTGTTACTATAACTACATCAATTTAGCTCCAAATTTGTTACTATAACTACATCAATTTATCTCCAAATTTGTTACTATAACTACATCAATTTGTCTCCAAATTTATTACAAAACTACATCAATTTATCTCCAAATTTGATTTGTCTCCAAATTTGTTACTATAACTACATCAATTTGTCTCCTAATTTGTAACTATATATTTAACTACAGTAGAATCTGTATGAGCAGCCACTCCTATTCAGCGATATCTCCTTGTAAGCGGTCACGATAAATTCCCCCCGTAGAAATTCTGTTGTTTCATCTCTTTATTCAACGGTCACTCCTCTAACGCGGCCAGCGGTCACTATTTTACTAATAAATTCAACAAAACATCGCCCATTCAACGGCCATTGTTGAATGATACCATCTTGTCGTTCTTTGTAACACCCCCGCTAATCCCGTGAGTAGTAGTTAATTAACTGGACCCCCACTGATCAGGTAAAAAGAAATGTAAAAATAACAATCAACCCGGGATTATCTGTTAATTAATCTTTTGTTTTATTAAACGACTAACCTGATCATTGTTTTCACGCGTAACGACACATTATTTGATACTGATTGAATAAAATAAAAGTACCGAGTTTTGTCACGATCATCTAGTATCTCTCTTAGCGCCTCCTATAACATTACATACAGAGTTACACCCCCTGTAAATAGGTGATAAAATTAGCGATGTTTTTTGTTCATGTGCTTTTTTGATAAAATAAAATGAATTCATCGATTTTCTTCACAAAAATGGATAAATATTATCGAATGCATCACAATGGTAGACAGTAGTATCGAAGGTTGGTACAAAATGACAAGTTTACAGAAGTTATGTCCGAGATTTGAGTAAAGAATTTTCGTTCGGCGCAAGATTCAGCGACGGCCAAATTTACCGCTTCCAATGCATCCAAGCGTAATATTTAATTTATGTCGGCACAAAAAGCAACGAGATTTTATTAAGAGGCCACTCCCGTTAAGTTATGTCCGAGATTTGAGTAAAGAATTTTCGTTCGGCGCAAGATTCAGCGACGGCCAAATTTACCGCTTCCAATGCATCCAAGCGTAATATTTAATTTATGTCGGCACAAAAAGCAACGAGATTTTATTAAGAGGCCACTCCCGTTAAGCGGTCAGTTGTGAAAATTCCCTTGGGTGGCTGCTTAATGCAGATTCTACTGTATACATGTCTCAAAATTTGTTACTATACATGTAACTATACATATCTTTTTTTTTGTCTCCAATTAAAATTCCCATGTTTTTTTTTAAAGATGCATTATGTAAGATTATGTGACATTTCTCTCTATTATAATAGTTAATATATTGATAATGTAAAACAAATATATTTTTTTAAATTAAATAATTAACTGGAAATCGTGTTTAAATCTGTTGATTATGGGCTTGGCATGAGAATAAATGTCTAATTAATGATTTATATATAACATTTGAGGCCAACCGAAAGATCTGCATTAGGTAGATTTAGCTCTGCATCTTTGATATGCACACTTTTTACGATTCTATTTACTGTGAATTTACAATATGACAGTAGCTACATGTAGCATAACAATTTTGTTGACCAAAGCAGTTAGTGCGTAACAATTTCATTGACTAACATACATGTACTACACATTAATTTATTCTGCAATTAATGGGTAATTCTATGTTTGATTCCACAAACGAAACTTACCATATTCTGTTATCTGTATCATTGATCTCTGTAATAAATCAAACAAACAATTAACATATTGACATTATATTTCACTTGTTCTATTCATTGAAATGAAATGAAATGGGGTTTAACGTCCTACTGTTCTGCTCTTAAACTGGGCTAATGAAGACGGGTATACGCCATACAGTGTGCTATAAGGTACATTTTGCCTACTCTTACATGTATATCGAATTCCAACTGCCAGGGGATTTTTTACGTGCACGCCAATATATACACGGGACCTCGTTTTTTTTGTCCCATCCGAACAACTAGACAGCTGTCCTTGTCAGGCCCTCCGTCCTGCACCACTGACAAAACGAAAACCACACCAGAAAATCTGGATGAACTTCCTCGGCCAATGCAGGGATCGAACACCAGACCTCCAGGCTAGCGAGCCAGTGTTTTACCCACTTAGCCACGTGATCCCCTCTATTCATTGAAACTAACTTTCTATTTATATGTATCTCAAAATGAGAAGAGGTGTCATTATCACACACAGAAACTGACTGGCCATGTTGTCTCCTATTTAGCACACAACATAGATTTAACATTCCTGATTGACCTGTATCTACAGTCAAATTGAGATTTTTATCCTGTCAAAGAATGGAGTGTGTCTCTTTATACGCTTGAAGGAACCTGCAGGAAAGGAAATAAGATTTAATGTCTTACTGTCATACAACATGCAATGAGGTAGTGGTACCCATTGCTTCATAGCACACTGCATTGGCCCGACTGGAGCAGAAAAGTAGGATGATAAACCCCATTTCATTTTCTGCTTTTTTAAAAAGAAGCGGTTGCCATACAAGATACGCACATTTTGCAAGAGACGGACAAGCTAAAAAAAGTGATTTTCCGTACAATCAGGGGCCATAATCCAATATGTTACAGTCTGACATGAGACAATACAGTATCAAAAGGAACCAAGATCTTTGAGATATAAACATATCTCCGTGAAGTTACGGTCCAATACATGCCAATATCGAAAGGAACTAAGATCTTTGGGATTACAACCCATGTTTCAAGTTTCGTCAATATTCGATAAAATTGTTACCTCTAGATTGTCCACAAGCTAAAAACGTGATTTTTCGTACAATCAGGGGTCATAATTCATGAAGTTGTGGTCCGATTCATGCCAAAATTGAAAGGAATCGAGATCTTTAGAACACATGTATAAACCCATATTTCAAGTTTCATCAAAATTGGATAATAATTGTGACCTGTAGAATGTTCACAAACAAAATGTAGATAAACAGGGGGGACTACAATATACATCCATATGAAAATGTGGGTGTATAAAATCTTCAAAATTGATTTTCATTGACTAGATCTTATGGTTTTTAATAGCAAAATATTAGATTGCAATATTCATGTATGAATGTATCAAAAATTTGACCAAACACTACATGCACTTTAACACTCATTCATATCAAATCAATGCACAATAAAGTCAATCAATTCTAACAAATTTACCAGTTTTTTTCCTTCAGGAGTAAAATAGTAAATATCAACAGGTTTACTCTTTCTTTTTCCAGTATCAGAATATTTCTGAAAGACATTTCGCTGTACAACTTCTCGTTTCCATCCTAAAAATATTCAAGAACACATTCATTTTACAGCAACAGTAGTTTACAAATCTGGAAATAAAGCACTGACAGAGAGAGTTTAAAGTCCACTAGACACAAACTAGGTCATTTCTGGACTAACATATGGATTACTTCTATTATTTCAATAATTCGATATAAGAGTAAGCAATAGTGCCGCTGTCATGCAAAATTTCCCTTATACATGTAGTACACTACATGTATATTGGGTATGCCCGTCTTCATTAGCCTGGTAGGACGTTAAACCCCATTTCATTTCTTTATTTCCAGGCCTGACAGTACCATAGAACTAGTATTGATTTATAATTTCTAAAAACATTTTTACAAATGAAACAATAATGCGCATACAGTATACTGAAGGGCTGATTCTGAAATGAATAATTGAAAAGTCACCCATTTGTTTCAAGAATATGATACAGACTACTGGAATTCATACTATCAGCTTAGTATGTAGATTGGTAAAACGTTTGTTGAATTTGTTACTCACCATCTTTAAAAGGTCTGGTTAAAAGTTCCATGTCTAAGTTAGCTGTATATTTATGGACTGAAGTAATGAAAAAAAAAAAAAAAATGTAAATTTGTAATTTTTGGACGAAAGAAATAGAATGGATAAATCTTTACTAAAATATAGAGAAAATTCTTTCTGTAGTACAAAATAAAATTTAAAAAATCTGAACTAAAGATTTTCCTGTGTCATGACTACATATTTGAAAAGATTTATTCAATTAGAAATATTCAACATGATATCCACTTACTATCTTTCATAAGTGTTTCTAATGAATCACTTTCATTTCCATCATCTTCATCTATTAGTAAGGAACCATCAGTTTGTGACTCATCCAACTGTGAATTATCAAGCTGTGAATTATTTATCTGTGAGATATCACTCTGACTTTCTGTCTCGTCATCCTTAACACTACCCTTTGTACTTGTGTCACGACTATTTTCATCTACATCCATATAAACTTCACTGGCTGATGTTGATATTTCTTTTGATTCATCATTTGCTTTTGTTTTCGACTCCGCATCAGTAACATCTGCATTTCCATTTTCTGTATTTTTAGGATTATCTTTATGCTTAACTTCCATCACTTCTGAACGGTCTAATTTGGGCTTGTCATTTGCTGCATTCTTTGCTTCTTTATCACATAATATAGAAGAATTCTGATTTTGATCAACTAATTTTTCAGAATCTTTGTTTTTATCTTCTCCATCAGATGGCACAGCACTTTGAGGAGAATCGCATTTCTGTCCAGGGGATGACAGAGATATGACTAGTTTTTCACTGTTGTCAGTTTCTTCTGATTTCTCTTCCTCCAGAGCTAATGTTATCTTGTCTTTAGCTTGCTCACTTACGCAATTATGATCCTCATCTGCTTGACCATCAACAGTATCTTTGTTATCCAATGAATCTTTGTCAGCATGGCTTTGATCCATCTTAGAGTTTCTAAGGGCTCTAAAATCCCAGAGTTACACTACTATTTGTTTGCTCTATCAGCTATTGATTTCATTTAAGAATTCAGGATCTGTAAAATAATAATTTCTATTTAATTGATAAATTAAATTACAACTATCAAGGTTCTTTCAAGAGCACATCTAGGCTTACCCGACCCTCTCTCCTGCACCACTGACAAGAGGTAACCAGAAATCATAAGAAACTTTCTCGGCGAACCGCAGGCCTCCAGGTCAGTGGGCGATCTCCTCATCCGCTTAGCCATGACTGCTCGCAATAATTACGAACTACATAATTTCATAGTTATTAGCGTTCAGAGTTACGAAAATTAAAAATATGTCGCTAACACGTTTTCTTAAATTCGCTTCGGAATAAACTGAAGTTCAAGTTAAATTATCTCCCTTTACTTAAGTTGAATCACATGACACGTTCTATTTATAGCTTGCATCCTCATTTAATATGTTAGTGTGTGGCGCCCCCTAACAGTAAGCTAACTACTAAGCTATGTGGCTCATTCTGATTTCATATTCTCTATTAAGCCGAACAATATATTGAATCAAGATATTACGCATTAAAATCACGGAAGGTTTCGCAATGAATAATGATACCGAAACATTAGTAGGCCTAGACGTAGTCCACAGACTACAAAAACAAATCGAGTCGCATCATTCAAATTTCAATAATAAAACCACATCTTATCAAGACTTATCTAAATGTTTGTAATTCATATTGGCAAATCATATATTTCAAGCTCCATCTAAATACAAATTGAGCATTCAGTGAAAAGATACTATGTTAATGACGTGTTAGAAGAATAGAGTCACAGTCCACTGAGTATGAAGGAGTAAGAGAAGAGTATAAAAATGTGTGGTGATTACTAGAAATCGAATTGCTACCTATATTACTGGCTTAAATATATAGTATTATGAGTTCCAAGGTCATAACCGTTAATGTTTAGTTGTAAACTAATACTTCACGAACCAAAATTGTTACTTCTTTTACAAGTAACTCATTAAATCACATAAAACTTGTTCGCTTCTCATTGAACCATTCACGCCGCGCCATTGCTGATTTTGACCGGAAGTGCAGATTTTCCTTTTGTTTTTCGGCATGAACCATATTATTTATATAAATTTTACTTTCATAATAATGAGAATCGAATTTAAAGAACTTAAAAATACGTTCTATACTCAATCTATACAATATCCTTAAAAACTTTACGTCCCCAAGTTATGGAAAATAAGTTTTTGTCACGTGATATCTAAAATGGCGGCACCCATTAAAACGTGTTATTCATTATCTACGACTGATCATTCATAATAAAAAAAAAATTCCAACCTTAGTGTAATTTATTAATGAATGGTAACAGTGCTAAATTATGAAATAATTATGATTAAATCACACAAACTGATCTACAGTAAGATCCTCCTCAAGGATCCCTGATTTCTAAAGTTTGCAATAAACGCAATGAATTATTTAGATTAGAACCTTTTTTCTTATAGTATAGACTAGAGTAGACAGACACAGTTTTCTATAAACAAACAGAACCAACCCTTTATTTTGATCGTGGTGTCCGTTTGTTAGCTTTCTTAATCTATAATTTGTTTAACTACTGCTAGTAGATTAAAGTAGCTAAGTCTCTAACTCAATATCATCCAAAATCCTCAACATTGAAAACACGATTTATTTGTCAAATTAAATCAACATTCATGTTGTGATCTTACCGGAAAAAGATGGGCTTTTGATATCCAATATTTAAGACAAAATAAACATTTTACCATTGGTACACGAATCGTGTACCATAATTTATGCCCTTCAGCCCCAGTTGTATCAAGAGACTCGAGGGACGAAGCTAGACACATTGCACCAAATCAAACGGCGTATGTAGACAGGAATAACCAGACGCTAGAAATTTGCACTCGCTTGAGACTGTTGGCTTAGTTAGCCGAACATAACTGATTTGAAATTGGAGTAAAAATGGAAACCATTGAATGTAAATCAGTTTATATACATTCATACTACAGTATTATATGCGTTGCGACCCACTTTTGTCAATTTCTAGGTCCCAAATGTTAGCGATTTAGCTCCTTTAATGAAATCTGGTCTAACTCTAAGCTACCTGTCCTAGCATGTATACTTTAGGTGCATAAAACTAGCTGGTGAACAGTGTTCCGGTGATAATATAAATATATGACATTGCCACTCTAATGACAACATGACTCTATTGACAAAAACAATAATTACTCGGCTAATATGTGAATTAAATAAACAGAAGATTTTACGATCAGTAAATGTGATCAATAGTAGATATAGTACTGACATTCAAACTAGAAACAATGTTGATATCTTTGTGCAAAATCACCCCTGTTTAGCAAAACCAAGTGTCAATAAGAAAAAAGCCTTTTATATCTTGGAAGAAGATGTAGCAGGTAAGTAAATGTATTTTCTGGGGTTTTGTATAATAGATTTCATTGGAATGTATTGTATAATAAATTTCATTGGAATGTATATTTTTTTAAAACAAAAACTCATCACAATATTGACAGATTATTTATGAAGATATGTTGAATTGAATTTCATTGAGCTATGCTTCTCGCTGTGTAATAAGCCTGCCTCCATTTTTGTCGTGGGCCTGTTTTAAATCCAACTGAATCCACTGAATCCAAGCTAAAGGATTACCTAGTGTTGGTATTCTGATTTTGTTTTCTTAATTAAAGATACATTATGGGAGATTAGATAAAGAGTTGACAGTTCTCGCTATAATAGTTAAAAACTAGATAATGTAAAGGAAATTTGTTGAAAATTTCAGTCAAATTGGTCCACTATGAACCGAGATATCAGCTTTGTAAATTTCCGCCTAGCCTCGTTCATCATTACTAAAGTTAGTACGTTAAAAAGCATATTCTCGATTATCCATTGTTTTGATTTAATTATCAATGAGCGTTTGCAGCATATAGGATTCTAATCCAGTCGATATCGAAGGCTAGCCTTGACATCGAGTGTTGATTATGGTCTGGATAAGTTAATTAATGTCTATTTAATAATTTAGATAAGATTTCAGGCCTAAAGAAAGACCTGCGATAGGCAGATTTAGCTCTTGCATAATGCATGTTTAATTGTTGAATAACATACATATTAAGTATGGCACAACGTGTTACTTTATTAGTTAGAAACCTATATATCTCAACCATGACTTTAATTATATTATCTTTCAGATTCAATAGCTGAAGTTGTTAAAGAGAATATAGATAGGAATAATGTTATTGTTGAAGTAAATCCAGGTGATATTATAGTTTCAAGTAATCGAATGAACATTGTAGGACACAGGCCCCGCGGAACGAAATTCATATTCGGGGGGCTGTCATTATTGTGAAGCCAAAATTGGTTCCTGGGGGGTTGTTTTTTCTGGGATAAATTTTACACTAATAAACACATAAACACACAGCCCCTACTCCACACTTGGTTCCGACATAACCCTAGGAAGAATAATCAAGTTAAACACCTTACTTACCACATGGTGATTTAAATTGCATTCTGATTTTGTAAATTTGTTATCATATCAATCCATTTCTTCTTGTTCACACCCCATAGTCAAACATACGGTTTGATCTCCAATATTTCTTTGAATTTCAATGGTTAAAGGTTTTATTTAAGTGCAAACCAATGTGACCTCAGTTTTTCGCGCTGTCGTATGACAAGATGCTTTTCCTTGCCAGACACTCTGTCATGAATTACTGACAAGTGGGAAACCAGACTAGAAAATTCTCAGACACGTTTAATTTTTAAAGCTTGTGAAATTTTAATTGGATTTTGAACAATGATGGAAACCTGTTTTCTGAGTTATGCCCCTTGATTATAAAACCTTGTTAAGGTATTCCAGGAGCACATTTGGTAGTTCATGTTTATGAAATATGTTGAGCTTTAGCTTTATTAATAACAAAACAAAACCTCATCAAGATTTTGTACACTGTTCAGCTTTGTAAAATAGTGATATATATTTACAGGTCCAGGTATTTTAACCCAGTCTTTGCTAAAGACTGTTACAGATAATTTGATAGCAGTAGAAAGTAACCAAGAATTTTTACCTTATATACAGGTAAGTTTGTTGAGGTTATAGAGAAGAGCACCAATTATCAATATAGCACATCAGCTAAATCTGATTCATGTTCCCTCTTTTCTTGGACAGTTTCCCAGTTTGTTTTCATTTTGAGTGAAGCCTGTATGACTATATGCTCGGGACTGTAGCATGCAGTGAACGTTTATAATTGACCCCACCCCCACACACTCCCGGAACTATGATTGTTTATTGTTTGTCTGTCTTGTGTCATTGTTTATGTGTTGTTCAAGTTTTGAGAGCTTCAGTAATGAACTTTTAACTTACTTGCTTTTAATTTTGTTTTCCCTTCTGATTCCAGGAATTGCAAGATAACGAAAGCGATAAAAAATTAAGTATAATAAATTATGATGTGTTTGATATGTATAAAAACAGAAATGATGAGAAACTTGAACAAGAGAATGAAATAGTTGATTTGTTACCAAAAATACCATGGACAGAAGGTAGGACTGGTTTTAATTGATGGCCCTTTTCAAATTACGTCAGAAATAAAATTGCTGAGGCAAGATGAAGATCTGTTTTCTTTAAACTTTTACATTTAATGATAAAGTTGGAGCCACGGTGGCTAGATGGTTAAGACACTGGCTCGCTAGCCTGGAGGTCAGGTGTTCGATCCCTGCATTGGCCGAGAAAGTTCATCCAGATTTTCCGACGTGGTTTCCCCTTGTCAGTGGTGCAGAACGAAGGGCCTGATAAGGACAGCTGTCTAGTCCTTCGGATGATGCGAAAAACTGAGGTCCCGTGTATATATTGGAATGCACGAAAAAGATCCCCTGGCAGTTGGAATTCGATATAAGAGTAGGCGATAGTGCCGCTGCCCGGGCAAAATTTCCCTCATAGCACACTGTATAGCGTATGCCCGTCTTCATTAACCCAGTATAGGAGCAGAACAGTAGGACGTTAAACCCCATTTCATTTCATTTCATTTGCATTACATGCGTGCTGTATCATAAAGCTTGTCATTGAGTCAACTGGCGTGGTTTCGAATCCCCGGTTGTATGTGACAAGAAGTAGGGTCGCCTGTCCAACCTCGTGGGTTTTCTCCGGGGCCTCCGGTTTCCTCCCACTGCTAAAGACCCCTACGCGCAAGCGAATTATTGAAATAAAATTAAACCATATGTTAGTCCCGAAATGACCTAGTTTGTGTCAAGTGGACGTTAAACCCCATTTCTCTCTCTCTCTCTATCTTACAATAAAATGAAATGCAATGGTGTTTAACGTCCTACTGTTTGCTCCTACTGGGCTAATGAAGACAGGTATATACCATGCAGTGTGCTATGAGGGAAATTTTGCACGCACAGTGGCGTTACAGCCTACTCTTATTTCGAATTTCAACCGTCAAGGGTTCTTTTACGTTCATGCCAGTGTCTACATACAAATAATTATATGGTTGAATGGGATGCTTTATTTTGTTTAACACGAGTCCTGCCCCTTTAAATACTTCAAGTACTTGTATTAATGTAGATCCAGGGCCGTCAAAACCAGGATGGCCGAGGAATCTTCAGCCTCCCCATTAATTTGCAAAATATGTGTTTATTAGTGTAAAAAAAAACATTTTGGCTTTGATTCGCTACCCCTCTCCCCTTATGTGAATCTTGTTCTGATGGGTTAGACCTACATGTATAAAGAGAAAATCAATCATGTGTATCCAGAATAAAAAGCTCTGCGAAGTTTGTTGACAAAGATTTTAGAGCTAAAATGGACGACTTTGCTGATGCTGTCTATATGCTTTGATTTTTTTTTGCAGATATATCAGCTAGTATCATAGGAATATTACATCCTAGGTTAGAATCCTGGTTCATGACATACATAGCCCAGGAGTTTTGCCAAGGCAGTGGTTTATTTATGGCAGGACGATTACAGTGGTTTCTGTTTGTCTCACCAAGATTTTATAGAGTAAGTCATTCACTCAGGTGTGTTAAAAAAGAATGTTTTTGTTTTTTTTAGTTTGGATCCCTCGTGCATGGGTGTATCTCAGATTTAAAAATAGTTTTATTGTCATCACCTCCATTTGTTGGATTAGCGTCCTCTGGTGCTAAAGTTATGTTCATGAGCTAAAGACACATTGATTTTCAATGATTTCCGATAATTACCTGCAGATTTATGACCCTTGATTAATTTGAATTAAGTTGTGCACACTTAAGAGGCTAAAGCTATCAACGGATTTACTTGAAATACGCAGTATTTACATTCATAAGACAACGATTCCTATAAATACTGTCGCTTTTATCACCCTTGATCAATTTGAAAAATGTTCTGGACACTCTTGTTAGTGTTGTTTAAATACATCTATTATCTACAAAAGAATAAATATGCTGCAATCTTTGTGGACTGCTTGGACGTCTTATCTGATGTGAGTGTATTTTTCATTGCCTGGCAACTTATGTTTTACAAAATTTTCAGATGTTAATCAGTAAGAAAAGTAAAAAGCTGGATACTTTATTTGAATTACTTTTCGATATCAAGATCTGCCATCAGGTAATATCGTTATTTTATTCAGTCTGTTAGTTTGATCGTAACACTCATAAATAGCAATACAAATTTTGTTTTGTGACTTGTCTCTCAATCTGGGTGTTTAAACTATGTTTGGGAGATTATTGTAAATTGAAGTAATGTTTTGAATTAAAGCAAACCAACATTCCTTTAATTGCCTAGTTTATCGAATTTGTATTCTTAAACAGAAAAAAACTCAATCTTTATTTAAAGGCGTGATGGATCATTTAGCACTATAGGTATCCTTTGCAAACAACAATATTGTGAAAGATGAATGTCTTATGGGAATATCAGCCCCAAAATAGTTCAGTTCCATTCAGTATTTACAAAGTTAAAATAAATTAAAATTTCATAGATCTATGCTGCCAAGCGTAACAAGACACCAACATCTTTTATTGGTTGTGGAGAAACCTGATAGGCTTAGTTTAAATCGGATGGAATCCAAGCCAGGAGATTTTGTTTTCTTAATTAAGTGTTAAACATCCATTATGCAAGAGCTAAATCTGCCTATTGCAGGTCTTTCTTTAGGCCTGAAATGTTTTCTAAAGTATTAATTAGATATTAATTAACTGATCAAGGCCTTAATCAACTCTCGATGGCATCAGATTTTTCCGATATTAAATAGATTAGAATGGTTCAGCGATACTTTGATTTAATCAAATATGGAGGACCGAGACTTAGCTTCGATCAACCAGTACGGTGGTTTAAATTATTGCACACGTCTGTCAAACCTTAAAAGGCTAATATCTTCGCTTGCAATAGAGTATAATCCTTATAAGACAATAGAGTAATTTGAATGAAATTTTCAAATTTTTTTTTTATTCATTTTACATCATCTACTTTCGAACTATTATAGCAAGAATGGCTAGTTCTTTATCTAAATCTTACATAATGTATCTTTAAGTAAATTGTTTCAATGGCATATAGTAATCACCCTGAGTACGGTATATATATAGCATGTATTCATCCTTGGCATATCCAGTGGTCTCATTCTGTTCCACTCCACTAACCTCTGCGTTCATCCATGGGGGAGACATGTATTCAAATTATCTGCTCTTGATCAATGTGCCATTTTTTATCAACCAATCAAAAAAATCGTTAAATACAAAGAAATGAAGTAACTCTTGTTGCAACAAACCAGTTGCCATATTGTTGTGAAGGTAAACAATGGGGCTAAGACTGGTTTGTAAACTGTTTTTTGATTGGTTCGTAGGGCAGATAATTTGAATTAGGGAATAGCCCACGGATGAACCCAGGGTATAGTGGAGTAGAACGGCATGAGATCACTGGGGATACCAACGATAGAGCTTATTAAGTTGTGAGAAATTTGATATTTTAGTGAAATTACAACTGATGCATCAAGCCTTTAACCACTGGGTTATTATTGACCTCTATTCACTTGTCATTTAACACCAAAGGGGTGTTGTGTGGCTGAATCATTAGCTCGTGCACGTTGTATCATAAGGTCTGTCATTGAGTCAACTGGCATGGTTTCGATTCCATGGTTGTACGTGACAAGGAGTAGGGTCACCTGTCCAACTTCATGGGTTTTCTCAGGGTTCTCCGGTTTCCTCCCACTGCTAAAGACCCCTACGCGCAAGCAAATTATTTAAATAAAACAAATTGAACAATATATTAGTCCTGAAATGACATAGTTTGTGTCTAGTGGAGGTTAAACCTCTCTCTCTCTCTCTCTCTCTCTCTCTCTCTAAACACTAAAAGAAGGACTGACTCAGATTGTATAGATTATTGCATTTTAACAATGTATTATAAACTAATTTGAACTGACTATACATTTGTATTGTATATCTAATATTTACTATTATATGATTATATACAGGTACCAATTTCTAATATATATCCTAAATATTCCAAAATGAAGATAACTAAAATGGTAAATATTATATATTACATTTTCTATCCGTCTTCTGTCATATAGTTTATATCCATCTCTATCCCATGTCATTGTAATCTGGATCTTGATCATCATTTCTGTCCCGTTGATTACCATCATCTCCCATTTACTTCTATCTATTCTGTTCCTCTTAATCTATGCTCTGGGTCACCACAATAATAGCATTATCCTTATTACAGTCTTGCTGCTCTTTATCACAACACCTCTATATCAACAATCATCTGTCTCAATCCCCTTGATCATAATCAGCTCTTATCTCAATCCTCTTGATCATAATCAGCTCTTATCTCAATCCTCTTGATCATAATCAGCTCTATATCAACAATCGGCTCTGTCTCAATCCTCTTGATCATAATCAGCTCTATATCAACAATCAGCTCTGTCTCAATCCTCTTGATCATAATCAGCTCTATATCAACAATCAGCTCTGTCTCAATCCTCTTGATCATAATCAGCTCTATATCAACAATCAGCTCTGTCTCAATCCTCTTGATCATAATCAGCTCTATATCAACAATCGGCTCTGTCTCAATCCTCTTGAACATGCTCTTGATCTCCATTTAGCATATACATTTCTCTGTCTGGTTAAACACCACCACCATTTATATTGTTGACCTCTTGATCACGTACACTGCTCCATGTTTTCAGTCACCATGTTAATTCACTAACTTATTTTGTATTATCTACATTGTTCTTAAACTATCATTATTAAGTTTGTCAATGATAATTAAAACTAATTTCTTCTTTAGTCCATGTAAATGTACCAAATTTTATATATCTTAAAGTCCAATGCGATTTTCCGACATGGTTTCTCCCTGCCAGTGGTGCAGGACAGACAGAGGACCTGGCAAGGGACAATGTATAGACATTTGGATAGGATTGAAAACAGAGGTCCCATGTTCACATAAGCGTGCACTTAAAATATCCCCTGGCAGGTGGAATCGGATATAAGGGTAGGTTGTAGTGTCACTGTCCGGGCAAAATTTCCCTCATTGCACACTGTATGGCATATGCCCGTCTTTCGGAGCAGAACAGCAGGATGTAAACCCCCATTTCATTTCATTTTATTTCTATATCTGATCTGGGACTTTAGGACTTTAAACATTATTTACCATATCTGTGTTTGTTTATTTTCAGGCAGAATCTGTTAATGAAAATGTGACATATTTAATTAAGTTCACACCAAAACCAGAATCATTTGATATTCTTCATCCACATGAAATAAATAAATTTATTTTATTTCTGAAACAACTTCTACTAAAAAGTTCAGAAAGATTGATTCCACGAATGGAGTAAGTTAATTATTTGAATAGTTTGTCATTTATGATTAGAAGCTACCACAATAATTGTTAAAGCCACTGATTTGAGGGATTTCTAATAATATCGTCATTTATAAAGTGCGTTGATAGTTTCTAAGGCACTTTTGGTTGTTATATTCACTGGTTTTTTACAGTTCATGGTTTTGAAATATTGTAAAAGTTGGATCTCTAAAGAATACATCAGTCCAAAAATGGTTCAATTTTGTTTCATATTAACAAAGGCATGTTGAATTGAAATTTTTATAACATTTGGCATCCACTGCAGATCATAGAAAAACTCCACTGTCCCCTGTAAGTGGGATTGGGATGACCTAGTGGTCTAGAGTGTCGCGCTTCGGCCTCTAGCTTGGCCGGTTACATCTGGCTTGCGGTTGTGGTTTTGATCCCCAGTGTGAGCGTATGTGGCTTGGAAATATGAGCACCTTCTCAACCTCCCGGGTTTACTCTGGGTGCTCTGGTTTCCTCCCACTGGAAAGACCCCTGCACGTAGGAAATAGGACAACTTGTCTGCGATATCACCTTCGATGGATGCAGACATTAAACACTAAGAACAACAACAACTATAAGTGTGTGGAGAATTCACCTACCCTTCATCAAATTCCAAATGTCAAGGATTCTTTTACATGCATGCTAACATGTACATGAGTGGACCTTGCGTTATTTTACTTGTTACTTGTCACCCCTGAAAAGTGGGAAGAAAGCTTGAACAGGGGACATTCCAGTCATTGTTTTTTATACGTCCACATTCATAATGTGAACGTATTATGCCGTCGCCCCTGTCTGTGTGTGTGTGTGTGTGTATGTGTGTATGTGTGTGTGTGTGTGTGTGTGTGTGTGTGTCTGTGGTTCGCCTACAGGGCGCAATTCTTCATGGATTTTCTTCAAACTTGGTATACTTATTCCTTATACCCCAAGGAAGATCCCTATTGTTTTTGGTGCATGCCCGACCCCCCGGGGCAGAGCCACGCCCATTTCTAGTATTTGTTTGTTTGTCGTCTACAGGCCACATTTCTTAACTAATAATCTTGAAACTTTGCATACACATTCTTTGTACCCTAAGGAACATCCCTATCGTTTGGGGTGCATGCCCAACCCCCAGGGGCAGAGCCACGCCCATTTTCTTTTCGTGTGTCTTTGTGTCGCCTACAGGGCGCAATTCTTACTGGATTTTCTTCAAACTTGGTATACTTATTCCTTATACCCCAAGGAAGATCCCTATTGTTTTTGGTGCATGCCCGACCCCCAGGGGCAGAGCCACGCCCATTTCTAGTTATTCTTTAAGTGGCATTTAGCGATCAGGGAACAAATTAACAGAACACAGTTTTTATGGGATACAATCACTAGTTTATTCTAAAAGCACGACGTTTCCACAAGTATTCTCTTATCGTTATCAATCAAGCAAAAAAAAACAAAAAAAAAACGTCATGCTTTTAGAATAAAGACATCGATTGTTTTAAAATAAAAATTGTGTTCTGTTAATGTGAACGAAATGTTATACTGATAGCAGTCCTACAACCCAGTTTTATTTCACAGACCCTCAATGCAAACTGGACCATATCAAACAAAACAGGAATGTGGACGTATATTGCTGCGTTAGCGATGCTCTTGTTAAGGCAAGTGATTGCTCTCGAGCGCCTGCCGCTCACCTAAATGTCGACTGAGGGGAGGGTTTTTCCCTCCCCTTAAAATTGTTGATTGAGGGGGGCTTTTTTTTGGCTCACCTCTGAAATACAAAAAACAACGACTGACATTCTAGTTGGGAGTCCTGCTCCCTTGCTGTCCCACAAGAACTAACTAACAACATTGTATGGTCTTGTTTCAAATTTAGATTTTTTTGTTTTCTTTTTAGAGAATTAGTACCAGGATGTGGTATGTATCTGATCAAAGATGGCTTCTCTATGATGCAGTCATTAAAAACAATTACACCAAAACAATGTCTACAGATCTTTAAGGTAAAATTAAAATTTGCATATTATGTGCTAATTAACAATACTTCAACATTTGTAGGATAGATTGTTATATTGAAGGGAATTCGATATAGAATTTAGCTCAAGAGAAATGTAGCACAAATTGCTTGCCTTGAAATTATTGGTGGATTTTGACCTATTTTCCAATTATTAATGCCAAGGAGAAAAGATTAACAAAACATAAACCCACAGTGAGAGGGTCCTCACTTCAAGGGTATGGATGTCCGAGGGCAGAAGACAAACATGTCGATAAGAAACATTTGTCACTTCATGGACATTCAATAATCAATATCAGTTATGAATAATGAAAGTATTATCAAATGAAGTGAATGGATCCCCAGGGATTGGCCATAACAACCTCAATACAAGGGAGGCAACCCACAACTTTGCTTATCTACAGTTACTACGATCTATACTATATTTTATTATTTTTATTGTTTTCATGTGGACGTATATTGTCGCCGCCCCTGTCCGTCCGTCCGTCTGTCCACAATTGTTTGGGAACACTCTACAGGTCACAATTTTTATCCGATTTTAATGAAACTTGAAATATAGGTTTATGACCCTAGGATCTCAGTTCCTTTCGATATTGGCATGTATCGGACTGTAACTTCATGGATTATGGCCCCTGGTTTTACGAAAAATCACGTTTTTAGCTTGTGAACACTGTAGAGGTCACAATTTTTATCCGATATGGTTTAAACTTGAAATGTATGTTTATAACCCACAGATCTCGGTTTCTTTCGATATTCGCGCATATCCGACCATAACTTCCTCAATTATGGCCCCTGATTGTACGAAAAATCGTGTTTATAGCTTGTGGATCCCATAGAGGTCACAATTATTATCCGATTGAAAAAAACGTTCGAATATATCACCGTTACACCGTAATTTTGTCTAAGGTTGAGTTTCATGAAAATCCGACCAAAATTGCCAGACAAAATGGCAAACATCTGGTAAATCAAGGTTGTGGACCCTCTAGAGGTCACAATTTTGATCCGATTTTGACGAAAATTAAAATACATGTTTATAACCCAAAGATCTTGGTTCCTTTCGATATTCGTGCGTATCAGATTGTATCTTCCTGAATTATGGGCCTTGAATGTTCAAAAATCGCGTTTTTAGCTTGTGGTCCATCTTAGAAGTCACAATTATTATTTGGTTTAAAAAAATGTTCGAATATATCACCGTTACACCCTAACTTCCTGGATTATGGCTCCTGATTGTTCGAAAAATCGCATATTTAGCATACTGATTCTCTAGAGGTCACAATTTTTTTTCAGATTTTAAAAACTGTTTAAATATATCACCATTCCACCATAATGAAGGTTGAATTCAAATTTCTGGAAAATCAAAATGAAACTGCCCGACAAAATGGCCGCACTTTGTACGCTAGGTTGTGGACCCTCTAGAGGTCACAATTTTTATCCGATTTTGATGAAACTCAAAACATATCTTTATATCCCAAAGGTCTCAGTCCCTTTTGACATTTGGGCATTACAAAAAATCCTGTTTGTTTTTAGCTTGTTCTCTATCCATCTCTTGCAAAATGTGGGCGTATCCTGCCTGGCAGCCGCTGGTTCAGTTATTACTACGGTATATCCTATTTAATTGTTTTTATTTTTCAATTATTACAATCTATGTTACATTTATTGTTTTTATTATTCAGTGATTTTTATTACCAGATTACCATATTTTATTGTTTATATTTTTCAGTTATTACCATCTATACCATATTTTGTTGTTTTTATTTTTCAGTTATTACCATCTATACCGGAGTATTATAATTCTGGTTGGAGAGATTTTTTAGTAAGTGAAGGACTAGTAGTGGATCACGATGATAATACGGCAGATGTAACAGATAAAATTACAGATAAAAATATTTCACAAAACATGTCCAATGACAGGCCTGGTTGATAAAACCATTAGTAAATGGAAAAACTTTCTTTGGTCAAATGGAATGTGAAAGTGTCTTTTGATTTGTTCTGGTATTAGACTTTTCAAGCAGGGCAATATGGTGTGAATTACATTGTTCACTAATTGGTAACTAGTGTCTGAAGATGACTGTAGGTTAGGACTAGCAATACTGATTTTAGTTGCACTTGACCAGTGCAGGATTAATCTTCTGCTGGCCTCAAGGCACATTTTGATCGGTGGCTTGTTCTCGGCAATGTTTTGTTGGTCTAGGCATGTTTACAATTACGTGAAATACATATAAATCGGATATCGATTGCAAATCAATGAGAAAGTGAAAAACTTACAATATTACTTACGTAAACAAAACCTCACATGTGTAAAGTGACAAATCGTCCAGTGAAACTGTTGCCAGGCAACACAGAATATGAAAAGGTTTCAAAGACAAACACGTAGATGAAGAAGGATGACATTTTTTTTATATAAAAATATAGGGTAGCATTTTTGTTATCACCTGATAATTATCAAAAAAAAAAAATGTTTACTTTATTTTTTAGTGGCCTGGATTTTTTTTCGCACATGCGTTATTTACCTAATTCAGCACTGTACTTGACAAGGAACTTGTCCCTAATTTTTTTAATTGGTGCCTGACATAATTGAAGAATCGTTTTAGTTGTACCTGACCTTTAATTTGTGCCAGACAAATTAAAAATATCAGCAACAACACGGAAGAAAGAAAGGCGCCAGAGGAGTAGTGTTTTCACAAAATGTGAATTTATGTCTGACAGTATCTTTGACAGGTGCCTTATTTTTAGACTTGAAAATATGAAAAGATTTGTAATCTGGTTAGAAAATACTAAAATGCTTGTATACTAGTGTTACTAAAGATTAAATATAAGTGTTCGTTGTTTGGATGGTACGAAAAAATGAGGTTTTGTGTTAGCCTACACATTGGTGTGCATGTTTAAGAGCCCTTTGTTAGCTTAGAGCAGTGGCTCTCAGCCTTTTTTTTGCCAACACATGAAAAAATAGCAACACACCTGGCTAAATATATATGAAAAATATTTGAATTTTGTATAAATTAAAACATGACAAGTCATAGACGGCAGACAGAGCATGATTCAAACTAAATAAAGAAAAACACAGCTATGAATTTACCAGTAGACCCCAGTGAATACTCCATTGGGATCACATGGTTTTTCGCATTTACATATTGTGCCGTTGAAAATTTCGTGGCACACTTAGGAAGATCTCGCGACACCCTGGTTGAGAATCACTAGTTTAGAGGTATCAGGTTCACGCCTGGTGTAGGCCAAGAAACTCAGGATTTTCCAGCGGTGTTTCCAGTGGTACTGGACGAAGGGCAGCTGTCTAGTCATTCGGAAGTCCCTTTTACACATTGGCATGCACATAAAAGAGGACTAGACAGTCGGAATTTTGTATAGGAATTGGCCTAATTTCCCTCATAACACACTGTATTGCATATGCCTGTCTTCATTAGTCCAGTTGGAGTAGGATGTTAAACCCCATTTCATTCAAATTATATGCAAAAGTTCCTTATTTTATTTAAACATTTTAAAATGCTTCCATTATAAAACAAATAATAATATTTTAAGTTGGCAAATGAATTTAAAGCAATATATTCATATTGATTTGTATGATTTTAAATTCTGTTCAAAGTTCAAGAATTTGAACGTTTTAGAATAGAACTTGGTTTCAGATTTGTTTGAATTGTGTGTATGATATAGAGTTGTTTCCCTTACACTACGGTAACTTCTTTGTGTGCCTCAATCCAAGAACCAATTTAAACATCTTGGTATGGTGTAATGACTGTAACACAATTAGAATAAAAATCAAGATGACCATTATAAATCCGCAATAATTAAAATACATACAACCCCGCACACTCTCCCCCTCCCTATTAATCAGCACATAGAATGCCTAGCCTAACCAAAATTACCAATTATATTGTCATTCTATAGGACTACAAATTTTATTGAACGGTAACTTTGGATGACATTTCAAATTGGGGAGAGAGAGAGAGAGAGAAATGGGGTTTAACGTCCACTCGACACAAACTAGGTCATTTCGGGACTAACATGGTTTTTAATTTTATTTACATAATTCGCTTGCGCGTAGGGGTCTTTAGCAGTGGGAGGAAACCGGAGGACCCGGAGAAAACCCACGAGGTTGGACAGGCGACCCTACTCCTTGCCACGTACAACCGGGGATTCGAAACCACGCCAGTCGACTCAATGACAGACTTTATGATACAGCGCGCACACGCTAACCATTCAGCCATCCAACCCCCCATTTCAAATAGAATATGTAGCTTTATATTGAAATGTTTATTTTTAGATTGGTAAGTGGTTGACAATAATGTTTATGTGAAATAGTTTTATTTATACTTCACTATACAGGGGCGGATCTAGGAATTTTGAAAAGGGGGGGGGGGCGCTGCAAAATGAAGGCATTGACCTCGGAGACGGGGCACGCCGCTGTGGGGGGGGGGGGGTCCCCAAGAAAATTATCCATCATTTCCTTGCATCTGTAGCCATTCCAAGAGCTATTTCCCAGACTGGTGTGTTCGAGTCGATGGTTTGAGTCATTTGGGATCCCTACAACGGGTTGGGAAAGGACATATTTGAGTCTGAGAAAAGGCACTTTCAGCATTAAAAAAAGGGCACTGTCGAAATTTAAGGGGGGGGGGACCCCTCGCGCCCCCATTGAATCCGCCTCTGCTATGGTTACTTTCATTTTAAATTCAAAACAAAAAGATTTTCTGGGTGAAAATAGACATTGATCATACGTGCATCTAAATTGGTTTTTCTCGACTTTCTAAAAAAGAAATGGAGTCATTTTGAAGGTTATTCTCTTAACGCAGCCAAGAATCCAGTGCCCTGTTCTGTTGAGTATCACGGGCCTTTAAAAAAAAGGTAAATCTCAATTCAAAGCCCCATTAGAGCGGAATTGACTAGGAAAGCGTTGCTTAGTTTTAGTTGTGTTTACCGGATGAAAGACCCAATCCCCATGCCCGTCAGAACGAAATTCATATGGTGGTGAGTGACTGTCATCCATGCAGTTATTACACTAATAAACCCATACTTGCTTCCGACGGCCCTTAGACGTGAATGCATTATGTCGTGCCCTTAATTCGGTCGTCCCTGTGTCTTTTGACCACCATACAGTTTCAAATTTATATTGTCGTCATTTCGAAATAATGAAATGATGTGAATGCGATTTTCTCTGTGGTCGTATATTGTTGTCAACCCCAGCCCCGTAAATTCGTCACGACTGTCCACACTTCTCTTAATGAGTTACCTTTCCGGACGTATTGTGACTTAATTAACTTTTAGGGATACAGATTCAGCTTATAGAAATGATCCCTGACTAGCACAGACCTAAACCCCATTTCTCCCAGGTTACAGCATTCAAAGTACGCTGTATGGCGTACACCCGTCTTCATTAGCCCAATGGGTGCAGACAAGAGAAAAAGAACGAAAAATAGGGCTTAATGTTATTCCCCATTTTATTTCTAGAGATTTGTAAATTGAGAATCCCGGTATAAAATCATCATTATTAAAAATAATCATTTCTGGAAAACAATTGGCCAAACTCTAAGATAACTATTTTGGAAATTATGTTTCCGACCCCAAAATATTTCGCACATCCTGTAAGGTAAATGAATTTCCCTTATCAAGCCATAACGAAAATACATCCAACGTCATATTTCCTTATCCAGAAATGATACATTCTTTGAAATGAGTAATTAAGTTAAATATCAGACCTATTACATTGCTATCGGTGATTTATATAAATAATAATTGAATATCAAAAAGCCCATTTGTAATTTTTTTTTTTTTTTTTTTTTTAAAGCAGTATTATCTGTATGATGATTATTTAGCCTCATGAAGAGAGAGATAGAGAAGGCGCGTGGGCGTGATAACACGTCAACTCGACACAAACTAAGTCATTTCGGTATTAACATGGTTCACTTTCGCATAGGAATCTTTAGCAGTTGGGGGGGGGGGGAACTGGGGGACCCTACTCCTTGTCACGTACAAGTGTGGGCTGAAACCACGCCACTTGACTCAATGGTAGACCATGTGATCTATTTGAATGAATATATCGAGAAGCAACGAATTGAGATAGATTTTGATATTATCCCATTCGGTGCAGACCAGGAGGATATTAAAGCCCATTTCATTTAATTTCATTTGTTTATTAAACGACCTTAACAGTAATCTTGTCCTCATACATCAGTGCAATATTAACCTTATAGAAATCTCGTAAAGATGCATTATGTAAGAATTAAATCTGCCTATTTTCTACCTTCAAACGTTACAAATTGTTATAGTTTAACGATGAAATAGATAACCGAGACTATAACTTTCGATTGTCATGTACCGTTGCTACAATAATAAACAATCTACGCTACATTTTGTCAAAACTTCAAATACTCATAACTTTGCACAGACTAAAGCAATTTGATTGACATTTTCAATAAATTCATTTTTCATAATTTTCTTTTAACTACTATAGCAAGAACGACCAGTTCTTTACCTAAATCTTACATACTATACTATTCAAAAAAAGTAGGGGATATTTGATTTTGGGGGCATAATACTAAAATATGCAAATGACTACGAAAAAAGTCACTATAGAACCTAACAGAAGAAACATTTCCAGTTACATGTGACGCCCAAACGCACCAATAGCTACCGCATGGAATGCAGGTGATGCTTGGGATCATCATGGGGGTCCAACCCAAGATTTGCACGACTCTGACTTTGAATGTTACAGTCATTGTGGCATTGAATTCCAGGGTGGAAACATCAGTTTAATTGTTTTAGTGACCAGAAAACAAATTTTGATATGCGTCGGCTTACCCAAAATGAAAGGTTACGTGCCCTTGGCATGCTACAGATCGGCACAACACAGGCGGTTGTGGCGCGGACGATGAATGTTTCTCAGTCTGTCATAAGCAGGCTATGGTCCAGATAACGTGATACACAATCTGTACAGGACAGACCACGCTCAGGTCGACCAAGGGCGACAACTCAAGCCCAGGATCGATTTATCCGTACCTTGGCCTTGAGAAATCGTGTCATCACAGCAAATCAGATCAGCGCTCGTCTTCAAACAGACACTGGTGTGAGAGTGAGTGGCCAGACGATTCGGAATCGACTGCATAGGGGTCACCTTCGCGCCCGACGTCCTCGCGTGATCCCTTGTTTGAGAGATCATCACATTCAGGCAAGACGTCGTTGGTGTAGGGATCGTCAACACTGGGATAATCGACGCTGGAGCAATGTGATGTTTTCAGATGAGTCAAGGTTCACTGTTGATTTTTTGGACAGACGTAGGAGGGTGTGGCGTCGTCGAAACGAGCGCTTCTAAGACGTTAACGTCATCAGACATGATCGATTTGGGGGTGGTTCTGTTATGGTGTGGGGAGGCATCACTGTTGCTGGAAGAACGGCTTTACATGTTGTTGCAGGGCGTGTTACAGGCCAGTACTACCGGGACAACATCTTGGCAGTCCATGTTGTGCCGTTCGCACGACGTCATGGCCGCCGTTTCATCTTCCAGGATGACAACGCAAGATGTCACAGGGCCAGGATCGTTACAGGTTACCTCCAACAACAGAACATCACCACATTACCTTGGCCAGCACTGAGTCCCGCCCTCTCCCCCATCGAGCATGTCTGGGACATGCTTGGACAGAGGTTACGTCAACGTCAACACCGTCCTGCCAATGTCCAAGAACTTGCTGCTACGTTGCAACAGGAATGGGACAATCTGGACCAAAATGACCTTAGACGTCTCATTAGGAGTATGCCACGTCGGATCAATGCTTGTTTGGCAAACAGAGGAGGATTTACCCGTACCTGACTTGGTTGTGATGCTGTGGTAACTTTGCTGTTTGACCCCGGGTATCATTTTACCCTTATAATGGTCAGCCTGTGCCTTACTTAGTCTAACGATCATTTGGAATAAATCGATGAATGTGAACTTCATTTCATTTTGTCATTTGTTTCTTCGTCAGTTTCATTAGGTGACTTTAATAACACTTAAAAATCAAATTTCCCCTACTTTTTTTGAATAGTATATATCAAAATAGAAATTTGAACATTTCACTCCACTGCTTTAAATCTTACTTAAACATACATTATGCAAGAGCTAAATCTGTCCATTGCAGGTCTTTCTTTAGACCTTAAATGTTATATAATCTATTTATTAGACATTTATTAACATGGCAAGACCGTAATCAAGTCTCGATGCCATCGGATGGGTCCGATTTTAAGTAGATTAGTACGGTTAAGCCAATGATTTAATAAAAAACTGGTGAAACGAGGCTAAGCTTCGAACAACCAGCACCTTGGTTACAATCAGTGCACACATTATCAAACCTTCAAAGGCTAATATCATCGCTCAGAATAAAGTAATTTGAATCAAATTTTGAATATATTCATTTTACATTATCCATTTTTGAACCATTATAATAAGAGCGATCAAGTCTTTATCTAAATCTTATATAATGTATCTTAAATATAATTTCTTGGTAAATATTTTATTGATAAAGGATTGAGGTCACAGGTTATGAATAGAGTCACACTAGTGTAATATTATGTCAAAATAGTAGCTAGCAGCCAGACTTTATTATTTGAAAATTTGAATAATAAAAAAAAAAAAAAAATAGATATACATCACGATTATAACCATTTATAAGTTTTATTTGATAACAGTTATGAGTCATTCTATTTACATATTTGTTAGTGCATGGTGGTAGGAAGCTTGTGAAATATGTCACAACTTCCGCATTATCTCTAAAACTAGTTCGAACATGAACAACCGTGTACCTTGTCGTAGCACGTACATATATCCCTTTGATTGATGTGCCCCCCCCCCCCCCCCATGTTAGTGGCGCATGCCGGAAGTTAGATGTAATTTAAAGAATAGATACAAAAAAAAAATTGTGTGAATTGAACCTCAGTTTTTTGCCCCTTCCCGAAAACTATAGAGATACCTATATCATTGTCAGCGCCGCTGAATATAAAAAAATCAGACCTCAGTTTTTCGCCTCTTTCCGAAAACTATAGTCATACCTATATTTTCAGCGCCGCTGAATATGAGAAATCATATCTCAATTTTTGCTCCTTTCCGAAAACTATAGACATACCTATTGTCAGCGCCACTGAATATGAGAAATCAAACCTCAGTTTTTCGCCCCTTTCCGAAAACTATCGACATACCTATATTGTCAGCGCCGCTGCATATGAGAAATTGTAACCGAGCTTGACAAAGCACGCATGTTATTCTGATAGTTATGTGCAGTGTCGATGTAAGAAATTATAGGCCCATCATTCCTTATTCAGTCTGAGACAGTGTTGATAGGCACGAGGCTATTTTCAAGTTCACTTTAAAGGAATCTGCTTTATAAATATACCAAATATATTCATTAGCGATTGAGGTTATAGTCAAAAATGTTATTTACGCTATCGCCAAAGTCATCGGTGAAACCCAATATTTTGCGTAATTCTCTTCGTTTAACCTGTGTCGTATAATGGAATGACACACGACGCTGCATTTTGGAAGAGGGCCTGACAAGGACAGCTGTCTAGTCATTCGGATGAGACGAAAAACCGAGGTCCCATGTACACATTGGCGTGCACGTAAAAGATCCCTTGAAAATTGGAATTCGATATAAGAGTAGGCCGTAGTGCCGCTGTCCGGGCAAAATTTCCCTCATAGCACACTGTATGGCATATGCCCGTCATCATTAACCCAGTTCGGAGCAAAACAGTAGGACCGTAAACCCCATTTCATTTCATTTCGTTTGCATTTTGGAAAATTTCTGACGTAACGATCTTCCATAAAAGTGGGCAAAACTTGTCCTATTTGCTGTATTAAATATGTCATTATATATGGAGGCATGACTCATTGATTCTGACACAATTTGAGTGTTTTCTTCTTTGACGGGCAATGTTGTTTTCATTACTATAATATACGTGAATATGCCGTGACATCAATTGTCAAATGTAACCAAAGCAGACCCGAGTCATACGCAATTGGAAGTTATTATGGGTCAACGTGTACATTATAATACATAGACCTACTTTTAAAAACTTTACAACGATTATACGTTGTTTAACAAATTCACAAACAAGATATCAAATTTCCCCTTAATCATTTTCAAAGAATGATCAATGACGTCAATGGTCTAAACGCTAATCTTCAAATCTGACCCCTGTAATAAATTGTTTACCAACTCATGACAGAAAAGATTTCTATGGAAGATCGATGGAAAACCCGGTAAATCGGTCCTTGAACCCACAAGTTTACACGTTGGTGAATCACCAGGTTGTTTTTCCGAGGCTCACGTGTGTGTTTGACGTAGATGGTGAAATTCTTGTGAACGTTCAACTTTATTGACATTTCCAATGACATTGAAAAGTTCTAAGAATTATCATTTGGCAATAAAAACTCAGAATTTATTACTAAAGTATTTTATTATCTATATAACATAAATAAAATGAGTGGGTGGGGGTATTGTATTGAATTTCTTATTTATAACTTTATTATTGATAAGCAGGATTTAAATTATACTTTACCATATACATATCATTGCAGTCAAATGGAAAATATACAAAAACAAAAACCCCACACATAATAAAAAAAAAATATGGATGCGTCCCACACCCTTTTTAAAATCTCATTACATTTTTTTTGTTGAAAGCTCTGGAATGATATGAAATTAGTAATAAAAATATAAAAAGTTACATACATTTATACTATATACTCTTTAATTCTTTAATTACTGTCTACTACAGAGGTCGGAATGTTACAAAATGAGTAAAAAAATATATTTTTGCGAGGTCATTGAATTTTTATTTTCGAGGAATTCATCTATATTACGTTAATGCCGTTATTAGATAGATAGATAGATTTATTGTATCAACACCCCATACGAGGCAGCATACAAATATCCATATAACATTTTACAAAGAAGATATAAAAAGCATCAACATCATTTATGACAGGCTAATAATTAAATATGACTAGCACAACTCGCCAACTACAGAAGTTTGATGGAACAGCAACCTACTAATTAATGGTTAATTAACAATGACTTAATAAACATTTTCAACCTATTTTCTATTTCATTTTTTACGGTCGTATTTTTACGCAAAATAAATACATAATAGATATTTCTTATGTATATAATATATAAAAAGATCATTTTACCAGCTATAAAAAAGCAATATAATAAAATGCAATTCATTAATTAATTCATTATTATGACAATAACAAAATTAGTATTTCATTAATCAAGATCCGTCACCCATTAATTTAACAATCAACATCTATGTCACTAAACAAAACACATATTATAATATTAACTCAGTGGAGTTTACTCTCACATTCCTTAACTTGAAATGTTTTGGGGTTTTTAAAATACAGTCTATAAAATATTATACATCTATTAACCAGTATTATACGTTTATTCTTTATGTTCAGAAATATTGTTCACATGTCGATCGGGTGTATAACTTTCAACAAGCCTCTCATTTACTATAATTGCAGATGACTGTTTTACACTGCAGGGGCTTTGCGAAGACCAAAGGGTTTTCATTTGAGCATATTGAATAGAGATCAGTCTGAAATGGTGGCAGTGGGCTAATCATGTTTGATGTCTAACATGTTTAAATAAACTGATATATGAATCGATGTTTTTTTCTGAGAAAAATGAAATGGGGTTTACGTCTTAATTTTTTGCAAAAACAGCTGTGCTGAGACGTGTGTCAAATAATTACAAAAAGATTCATTTCTCCTTTCTGCCCTATGTACGGTAATAAATAACATGTATTTATAAGAGCTGATGAAATAAGTATTTCTGATCATGACTTAGTGTAAAAATGTGGTAATTGGAATGAATAGTGTCATGAAATTTAAGTGAACATTCATATATAGCTGTGGACGTGGTTTAGTCATTAATGTTTAGTATAAAACCAGTAAAGATAGTCAAACAGACGATTGACGCCAATTCTATCTCTATCTTGCTTTTACTATTGGATGTGCTTTCAAGGTTCAGATCCTCTGATACCTGGATCGGGGTCGTCGTCGGGTGATGGGTGATTTGAGGCGCACAGCGTCCAGGAAGTTGTTCCTTTGGATAGGCTTGAGATCCGCAACATCTACAAAAATAAACATGAAATCTTACTCAAAAATACATGGATTAGTTTTTAGCTACATCCTGCAGCGAAATGGTAAAATTGAACCGGAGAAGAATATTAAGCTAATCGCCCAAACAATTTTATTAAAAATATCTCTACTTTACTGGTATCAAACGAACAAAAACTTTGAGTAGAAAAAAGCCAAAATGTATTGTTCAAATCAATGACTAATGGGGAATGAATGACTGAAATGGGGTTTAACGTCCTAAGGAGTGCGATAGGTGTGAAATATATGAGAGAGAGAGAGAGAGAGAGAGAGAGAGAGAGAGAACTCGACACAAACTAGGTCATTTCGGGACTAACATATGGTTTAATTTTATTTCAATAATTCGCTTGTGCGTAGGGGTCTTTAGCAGTGGGAGGAAACCGGAGGACCCAGAGAAAACCCACGAGGTTGGACAGGCTACTCCTTGCCACGTACAACCGGGGATTCGAAACCACGCCAACTGACTCAATGACAGGCCGTATGATAGAGCACGCACGTGCTAACCATTCGCCCCCCCCCCCCGTGAAATATATGTCTCCCGGCAATGAACAATAAGTTTAGACGTAAACCTACTCACTTTCCTTCTTTGGGTGATATATTATTTAAACTATCAAAGCAACATAATTGTTTGTTGATGTTATAAGAGTCTACACCACAACAAGCCAGTTTTTCTCCATCCGGAATTCTATAACTGGTAAGGCCGCAACATACATGCGTGGTAGGATCTATAAAATCTTTCCCACAAGGCCTTTGTTTTCCTTTCGTATAAACATTACCGTGGTAACAGCCCTGGAAAACAATAAATGAAATGAACGAAAAGAGGTTTAATATCTTACTTTTCTGCACTAACGCTTAACGGGGCTAAAGAACAGGCAGCAACGTTTCGGTCAACGAGTCATCGAATTCTTACAACACGTAGTTCCTTTAGGAACGGTCTCTGATCGGACAGTGTCCGCTGACCGTTCCTATCCGTCCCTATAAAGCCGCAATATGAAAATAACGCTCTTTGCCATAACGGTATTTTCACATTGCAGCTATATTTGGACGGATAGGACCAGTAACCGGACATTGTCCGATCAGAGATCATTCCTGAAGCAATTCTAACATACACGCTTTCTAGGGTTTCCGCCCCACAAGTCCCAATTAACCGAAGGACGCCCTCGATTGCCAAGGCCCCATTCCTGAACCACTGACAAAGCGAAAGCTGGTTGGAAAATATGGAGGTATAAAACCCGGAGCTTCCTGTTAAGTGTGACAGCGCATGGCGAATTGAGTTACCGGATTCCAGTCTAATACAGGTTACAATTAGCAACCACTGATCAGACATTCCTACAATAATAATTAAAGGTTAATAAATATTGTGAACTTACCTGTCGCTCATTGTTATAAGGTTCTCCTTTCAATTCGTAAGCGTCCATACTAACACAACATTTGGTCTCGTCGAGGTGATTCTTTTTTACAGGAAACGCATTGCGACAGCACACTGAATCGTTGTTCAAATGTTTAGACCCACAACACGTCGCTGCTTTATCTTGAACTGTAGAATTTAACCCTGAAATAGACAATTTTAATATTCTAACTATTTATTTATGAATTTATTAGTGCGATACAAGTAACACTTTGGTTGAATTATCCGAATATAATGTAAAGAGACTGTTCACAGCTGTCCACTAACCGACAAGCGCGAAACTATACGCCTTTTGCCTTTAATCATATTTATTGTCACGTCAAGGCAAATGGGCCTGTTTCATTTATAGAAACAAACACGTGTTCCCTAACCGCCATTTTGTATCAAAAGAATCCACTCTAACTCTTAGGGGATAGATTCTCAATCAGGTCCATTAGTCTGGTCTTTTAGTTCATCTACATATTGTGAACTTGTTTAATTGGGATGAGCAGAGGGGTGGGGGGGGGGCGTTTGGTTTAACGTAACTCAACATAAACCATACGAACATGGAATATCTTTATTTGAATAAGGCGGCGGGGGTCTTTAGCATTGGGGGAAACCTTATTCCTACTTCTCACGTACAAGCCTGGACCTAACGACAGATATTTGGTTCCCGGAATTGGAATGGAATGGCATGTAATCTCCCATCAACATATTCTTTACGTATAAGTATATTGTAAGGGAGTCGGATTTTCTGTCAAGGGGCTTTCACATGCATGCCTATGTGTATTTCGCCCCATTCAAACACCAGGCATATTTGCCTTGTAAGAGACCAAATGCCATCCTTGAAACTTAGATTTGAACGGAGTAGGACATTCTAAAGAGTGTATTTAAATAATCCAATTGTATTACAACCTACCACGGCAGCATTTTTGTGTTTTTGTATCAAACATACGACCACTTCCACAACATCCATGTGTTTTACTGTTAAAGGGATTTCCACCACAGCAATGATTTAAACCGTCCCTTTTCTCATACACTACGCCTCCACAGCATAATTGAGTTGTTACATTAAAATACCCTGCAACAGCCAAATAGTAGATATAACAATATCAGAAACAAACTGTTCGACAATGAAGTGACTGAGAATCAGTTACGAATTAGGTCTTAAAACTGACCCAGGTAGCCACAACCTACTAAATCAGCATATTATTCCTTATTTTTAGACAGAAATTTTTGATTTAATTCACCCCTACGGTAAAACTTAATTGCAAAAAAAGAGGGGTTACAGTTCTGCGCAAACCAGGCTAATTGAGACAGATAGGCGTCATGTAATGTGTTAAGAAGCAAAGTTTCTGCTTGTCGTTCTTGAATTCCAACTGCCAAACCTGAACGTGCACGAGAGAGAGAGAGAGAGAGAGAGAGAGAGAGAATATTACCTGCACCACAACACTGTAACTGGGTATGTTTAGGTATTGTGTGATTATAATCACAGCATCGATCCGTTGTAACATTATATGCAACAGTACCACAGCAACCGTGATGTTTATCTTTAATAAGTATATTATACGGATCCAAATAACCCACAGCATTGATAACATCTACAAAAAAGAGAGAAAACAATCTTAGCAAAATATAGAAAAACAAAATATTCAATTAAACTTCGCGGTTCTTTCTGAAAACAAACCGCCTCATCAGAAATTGGTGAACCGGTAAAAAGTTTGCTTCTTAAAATCGTGACAATAGGTAAAATATAATGTTTATAGAATGGGGTTTAACGTCTGGTCAACACAATATTTCGGTCATTTTGTGACTAACATATGTTAAATTGTATGCCAGTGGTTACGCGTTCAGCACGAGGAGAAGAATTTGGTTCACACAGCTTCTAACTTAACTGCTAAGGACTGTTGTACGTTCACGTTGTGTGCGATAGGAGGATTATATTTTTGATCAGACAGCTTCCAACCCCAACTGCCAAGGATTCTTTTACGTTCACGCCAATGTGTACACTGGTGGGCCCCGTTTTTTTGGTACCATCTGAACGACTAGACATGCATTCATTGTCAGTCCCGCAAGCGTCATCCGACAAGTGGGAACAGGGCTTGAAGGTTATTCTCAGGATGAAATGTCCTACAATATTCTGCCCAAATAATCAATAGGTTGCCAACAGGGGAGCAGCAATAGTCAAATACTTCCAGCTTTTAAGGCATAATACGTACCTCTGCAGCACGAATGTGTTCGAAGATTTATCGTTTTACCCCCACATGGCATTTCGTCTTTATACAGTGCTCGACCGTTAATATCACACCAACGAGATGCAGTATCTATAACGCTTCCGTTACAGCATCCACTTCCTTTGACTTTATTACTTAAAGAATCACAGCAGAATTGCTTATTCATGTCAAACTGTCTATGACCACAGCAGGCTGCGTCTTGGCGTTTCAGTCCTGAAATACGTAAATCCAATTTTTAATATTTTGTTTTGTTTTGCTCTTAATGAGGGGGAGAGGTGGTGGTGTTCAATTTTATTTTATATGGATTTTAAATTGAATTCACGGGATTTTTTTGGTTTGTTTAATTTAATACCACAACATTTTCACAAGATTTCCAAAGTTGTTTTCAAGGCAAAAACTAATTTACAGTCAGTATGTTTATAACACTGTGACATTTCAACAAGATTTCACAAGTCATTTAAAAAAAAAAAACCCAAAAACAAAGACAAAAAACCCCCAAAAAACAAAAATAAACCCCATCTAATGCCAGCAATATGATTACAACACCGAAACGTTTCATCAACAGCAAAAAAAAAAAAAAAACCCACCCAAAAAGCACAAACTAAAGTTGAAACCCTGTAGCTAATGTTAAAACGTTGTATTTACTGTTAAAATGTTGTAGCTATTCTTGAAACGTTTTAGCTAATGTTGAAACGTTTTAGCTAATGTTGAAACACTGTACCTAATGTGGAAACGTTGTACTTAATGTTGAAACATATTAGCTTAACATTGCAGTGTTATAGATTTAGAGATAATGTTCCTACCAAGTATTCTAGAATTGTATATGTAACATTACCTTGTTCCAATTTAAAAATTTGGTTGTTGCAACAAATGTTTATTTCATCATCTATTTTCTGACCATCACAGCACGACTCGGATCGCCCCTCTGTTCTTTTTAATAATCGACCTCCGCAACATAGTTCATGCGTTGGAAAATAGAACGTTGCCTTTCCTGAAAAGAAAACACCCCAAATATTCAGAATGCAAAATATTTTACAGATTAAGAGAAATAAGTCAATTGATTGATTTAGATAATTTTTTGAATCAGAATATTTTTTTTTTAAATAAAAGTACTGGTGATTGTATAAGGCGTTTAGATCTATTTCACAAGGCCAACTTCAAGTTTGGTCAAATGTCACGAGATGTAAACAGGGCTAGCGTTAATCCCAACCCTAACCCTGGACCTAGCCCTAGCCCTAACGCTTACCCTAACTCTAACCTACAATCTCGCTAACAGCCGCGTGCTTTAACCTTTTTTACATCCCAGTGACCTTGACGAGAATTGAGTTGGCCTTAAGAAATAGATTTAGCCGTTTAAGGCCTTAAACTCAGTATTTATTCCGGTATGCCTAGTCTTTAGTGGGGCATTAAGAAATACACTTTCATAAACTATATGAAATAACTATTATGCATATCATGTAAATAAGAAAAGCAGCGAATGAATGAAAGGGGGTTTAATGTCCTACTTTTCTGCCGGAAAGAAAAGAAGCCAGCCTAGAATCTATTCATATATACATGTATATTAACAGCAAAAGCTCTAACCGCAAAACATTGGTGTGGGTGTGTGATGGTGTGGTTGGTAGTGTGGGTGTGGGTTTGGGTATGGATGTGGGTGTGGGCGTGGGCGTGGGCGTGTGAAACTGGTAATGATATTTAATTTTTAAGCAATAATTTATTAAAACAAAAAATTGAATGGGATTGAGAAACAGACATAGACTTTATGACCCTTTTCCTAAATACAAGAATAAAAATGAACATATATATATATATGGGTAAATAAACAAGAAAACAATACAATGAATACTTAATCAACAATATTTGTATACATATTTACACATTGACTACGCAGTTGTTCTTGATGGCATTTTGATTATGATTGATAAAGAAGTTACACTGGGCTTAAATGATTATTGCTAACACCATAAACAAGATTATGTGTTATAATGATAAAATTGGGCGCTAAAAGACCTATAGATATATTAAGAGCATCAAAATGTAAGCAGCTATCTAAAAGAAAATGATCGGTATCCCCAAAGAAAGGATAATGATATTGATGAAGAGAGACTTAAATGGTTCTATGGTTCTAAATATACCCCCCCCCCTCCTCCTCCACCTGCTTTTTACTTTTTGGTTTTAATACCTACTGTAACAGCATTTTGTACCCGGTTGTTTCATCTGTTTAACACCATTACAACATTGTTGCTTGTCACTGTCAATTTTTTCTGATTGTTCTAAATCATCGTGTTCTGAACACGGGATTGTCAGGCTGGCAGTTAAATTCCCTGTAATAAATTGATGAACACGATGAGAGAGAGAGAGAGAGAGAGAGATTTATCGTCCACTCGACACATAGGTCATTTCGGGATAACATATGGTTCAATTTTATTTCATTAGTTCGCTTGCGCGTAGGGGTCTTTAGCGGTGGGAGGAAACCGGATGATCCGGAGAAAACACACGAGGTTATACAGGCGATCCTACTCCTTGTCACAAACAACCGGGGAATCGAAACCACGCCTTTAAATGATATAGCGTGCACGTGCTAACCATTCGGCCATCCGACCCGCCGATCGCATCTATAAGCTCAAAGCATAATTATCCTTTTATGTCATAATGTTCACGTACAAATACATGATTGCCTGGACTTTTTTTTCAACAAATTTTATGGAATTTTTATCTACATGTTTAATCTTAACGACAAATTTCACAACTTTTCATTTAACCAATCAGAAGGTTTATATAGAACACGAAGTAGATATCTGGCTATCTGGTGCAATACAATGCGTGATGTCATTAATATTTTCCCGCCAGTTTCTGTACGTTTTACTTCTTACTTCATTATACACATGTCAAAGAATGGACTGAAATCCAACTAATCCAGGTATCGCCATATAAATATATATATGATCGTCTCAACACGGCTTGAGGGTTAACTTTAAGGGTAGGTAACATTGGAAATGAGCTCCACAACCGGCCTGAAAATGGACCCAACATCTAGGTTTACAGTTTAATACAAAATCCCAGGGAAAATGTATTTAACAAACAATAATCAATAAAGTCGTTACATCGAAGAAAAATGGTCACGGGCCTAATAATAGTCAATGACATGGTCAAATTTGATAAAAGAATCAAACAAAACATAATAATACAATTCTTCTATTTAAAAGGAAAGACCCCTCACCCCCCACCCCCACAGAAGTGTCAAATCATTTATGCAAACGTGTTTTTATTTTTGTTTATGTTTATTTTTGTCACCCCGAATTTTGCTTGTCGTTGTATGTCTGACCTTTGGTTACTATTGTTTTCCAATGTTTCTATTTATAAAGCATGTGAATAACATATGTATTTCGAAATCTTTGTTTATATTATGATTTGAACATCCAGACAACATAGATCCGGGTAACAGTGAAGATAGAAAGATATGTTTCGGCACATCAGTCATTTTTTTGCATATTGCTTGTCGACCTTTCAAAAGAGGAAGTTGGGTGTGATTTAATAACAATCTAAGCAGTTTTAATATTTTTATATTATATTTTAAGATACATTTCTTTCCAGGTTGTATAGAAAAGTTATCTGAACTGTTTATCATAGAATATAAATTATTTCAAAGAGCCAACAAGGACATGTTAACACAAGTAAAAGAAAATCGCGGAAACCACAGACCACAAGCCAATAGTAATATACAATAGATATTAGGGTTGTCGTAACCTTTCATTTGAAGAGCTAAAATAGTATCGGTGTCACGTCATATATGTATATATAGAACAACAAGTATACCTGTATCTATTTCCCTCTGACTGGGGTTTGTTTTAACACTAAAAGACATATTATGACTTAAAAAATATTTTAAAATTGATAACTTTCAAACATAAAGAATTTTTTTTAGCTCCTTGGCATTGTATCGATATTTTCTGTTCTCACAAAAGTTAAATTCCATAGAGATATTTTTTTTTCTATGGATGGTATGGTGATAAGTCTATCAATAACAAATACAAAGATAAGTATCGACTTACCTATTATTAAAAGTAGAAACGTATATAGTAATAACGACATGGCTAACTCCATATAATGAAATGAAGAGATGAACGCAGTAATGCAGTTATATAGACTAGATAGATATAAAAGATTAACTGGCAATCCCGTGTTATTTATAGGTATATGATTATATAATCTATAAATGGCTCTGTTGGGAAATTTCAATTTAAGTGATTTAAAAAAAAATAAGTCTAAACACACAAGTAAAACGTAATGGAGAACGTTGCGGGGTCTAAAATTGTCAAACCTAATATGACAACACAACATGTGAGTTTCAATTAATGATTTTACTACCCCCCCCCCCCCCCCAAAAAAAAAAAAAATATGTAAAGGTGGTTTGATAATAGATCTTGACATCAACGTGTACACGTGCGTACCTCGAATTTAAGGTTAAATATCCCCGGCATGGCGCGTGACTCGTTAAATATATATATATATATTCTCGACGATGTTGTTCATAACATCAAATATAGCATTATTTGTCTAATAATACAACACAAAAAAATACAAATAAGCGATAAACGACAAATATAAAACCAAATCAAATGTTTATGTGGACAATTAAGTTATAAAACACACCAGAAAAATGTTTGTTATTAAAGACCACATCTCGTGGTCAAGATAACGCATCTGAGTTTATGACCGCGACAGAAAAGTTTGAAAATACCAAATGTTTCTGCGCTCATTTTGAGTCCCGAATAGCAGTTTATTTCTTTGTGGCCTGGATTTATTTTTATTTACCTAATTCGGCACTGTAATAGACAAGGAACTTGTACCTAATATTTTTAATTGGTGCCTGACATAATTGAAAATATCGATAAAATTACTGAAGAATCGTTTTAGTTGTATCTGACCTTTAATTTGTGCCTGACGAATTAAAAATATCAGCAACAACACGAAAGAAAGAAAGGCGCCAGATGGGTAGTGTTTTCACAAAAGGTGAAAAAGGTAAAACAAATAATAATAATAATATTTTAAGTTTAGTTCCATAATTTAATATGTCATACTTTGCCTATCTTTTTGCTTTCGTCCTGTTTTCATATTCAATCTATTTTGTAAAAATCGAAAAATGATATCTAATTTTGCATCATTGTCTCCTTTTTCAGTAAGGGAATTTCTTCAACACAGGCCCTTATAATAAGTAATAACTAATATTATAGGCCCTATATAACAGTAACAATAAATAACAACGCATTGTTACATTAAATCAGAAAATTTGCCTGGCCTTTTAAGTTCTAAGTTTTAGTTCTAACCACATTTGGCTGTGAGAGGAAGTAGATCTAGTAGGCTATGTATAGCAAAATTTAATTATTAATAAACTATATGAAATACTTACCGTTTGGGTCTTTAAACAAATACTGTAGGCCTATAATGATGCCATGGCCGTGGCGACATGCTTAGGGTTTTTTTTTTTTGTTTTGTTTTTTTCAGTCAACCCGATTGATTCAGTTTCAAAACTTTCGGCCTCATTCCTTGAGACGATAAATTTATCTAACGATAAAAACAAATTAATCTCAGAATGTCTGATATTGTATTGACGAGACATTCGACCCATTACACGTTCTCTTCCGTAAATAAGATAATCCTAAACAGTTTTGTTTTTTTTAAATTATATTATTAAATTGGTAACAGAATAATCAGATTCTGAAAGCGAATTATTCGGGTAAACGTGTCGCATAACCAGATCACCGCTCGAAATGGAACCATATCGCAAAATAGTTCCAGTTTTTGACTGGATTAAAGATAATAATTAATTGTGTGACATAATAAATTGACTTAGCTGCATTCGATATAAAATTTTGACAAGAAGAAAGTCCCTGTTACAGCCACGGTTATACCTCCATTAAAAGTCAAATCGGAATCTAGGCCACGACGAATCCCTAGTAACTCACTATTTTCAAAAATGACCGAAATATAAATTTACATTTGTTACAGAATCAGAATATTCCAAATCTTTCTAGAACTTTTGATTTGATGAATTTACATAGCTAACAAATGTTTTCATACTTTAGCATTGAAAAGAGATATTACGAATAACAATTTAACGTTCGATACATTTAAAACGAAAGGACAAATTACGTGGGTTTTTTTATTTTTATTAAATTAGTAGGCCTACAAATCGTTACTGCTATAGTCAGAAATACGATTGGAATTATATAATAGATAAGATCAGATTTTAATGTACCAAAACATCCATTAAGACGGGAAGAATACTCCTATAGTAAAGGGAGCAAATTATAAAATGGTGGATCAAAAAGCGACTCAGAACTGTTCGAGAGAAGTTTATGCAATGTACAGTGTATATGTTATAATTGTCGAAATTAGAATATAGGGACCTCTGAAAAGAAAGTTCATTAAATAATAATATATATGCATACAGCGCACAGTTCCCTCCTATAAATAAGATAGGGCCTTGATTATCTACACAAAATCTCATCTTTAATCCCTATTTTAGTATTATTCATAAATATTTTGGCCGCAGTAAAATATGAGTAATTTAGTTGTTTATTAAAGAAGTCCACATTTCGTCAATAACCAGAAAATGGGAATAAAGTTAGTTTTCCAAGTCTCGATTTATTTATTAAGAAAATAAAAACTATACGGCCCTTGTTAGTTGCTACTATAGTAGATAACAAAGGCTGCCCTTGTTAGTTGTTACTGTAGCGGCTAACAATTTACCCCCAGAGGCGCAGAGGCACCCTTAGCGCTGCTACGAGCATCTAAAAATGACTAACAACTTTCTACTACTAGCAGGCTAATAATAGGCGGATCGGGTGAGATAACGCATCTGAGTTTATGACCGCGACAGAAAAGTTTGAAAATACCAAATGTTTCTGCGCTCATTTTGAGTCCCGAATAGCAGTTTATTTCTTTGTGGCCTGGATTTATTTTTATTTACCTAATTCGGCACTGTAATAGACAAGGAACTTGTACCTAATATTTTTAATTGGTGCCTGACATAATTGAAAATATCGATAAAATTACTGAAGAATCGTTTTAGTTGTATCTGACCTTTAATTTGTGCCTGACGAATTAAAAATATCAGCAACAACACGAAAGAAAGAAAGGCGCCAGATGGGTAGTGTTTTCACAAAAGGTGAAAAAGGTAAAACAAATAATAATAATAATATTTTAAGTTTAGTTCCATAGAGATATTTTTTTCATGGATGGTATGGTGATAAGTCTATCAATAACAAATACAAAGATAAGTATCGACTCACCTATTATCAAAAGGATAAACGTATTTAGTAAAGACGACATGGCTAACTCCATATAATGAAATGATAAGATGAACGTAGTAATGCAGTTTTATAGACTGGCAATCCCATGTTATTTATAGGTATATATATATTATAAAAGATTAAATGGGAATCCCGTGTATGATTATATATAGTATATAACTGGCCAATAAATTTAAAGCATAAGTGAGTGACGTACTACGATATGCTCTGTTGGGAAATTTCAATTTATGTGATTTAAAAAAAAATAAGTCTAAACACACCAGTAAAACGTAATGGAGGAGGTTGGGGTGGGGGGGGGGGGTGTTTGTCTTTATTCTAAAATTGTCAAACCTAATATGACAACAACACAACATGTGAGTTTCAATTAATACCCCCCCCCCCCCCACACACACACAAAAAATAACATGTAAAGATGGTTTGATAATTGTACACGTGGGTACCTCGAATTTAAGGTTAAATATCGATACCGTATATTTGAGGTTTATTAAGTCAAATATATATATTCTCGACAAGATTGTTCATAACATCAAATATGGTATTATTTGTCTAATAATGCAACACAAAAAGGTACAAATAAACGGTAAACGACAAATACAAAACCAAATCAATGGTTTATGTGGACAATAAAGTTATAAAACACCCCACAAAAATATTGTGTTAGTATAGACCACATCTATTGTTCATGATAACGCATTTGAGTTTATTACCGCGATAGAAGAGTTTGAAAATACCAAATGTTTCTGCGCTCATTTTGAGTCCCGAATAGCAGACTAAAGTTATTAAAGTCACTTCGATAAGTGAGAATGGGCTTCGATCAGGGGCGCCGGAACCCGGGTACCAGGGTATTCAAATGGTACCCTGCCCTTTTCTGGGGTATGATGAAAGTTTTCAACCTTTTTACTAGTCTATTTATTTTTAAATGATAGATAGATAATTGCTCTCTGGTGTCTCTAAATCTAACTTTACTGATTATTACATAACAATTATTTTTATTACATAGTAAGGTTAGATTTATCAAAATTTCAAGTCAATAGGGGGGTTGGATGGCCGAATGGTTAGCACGTGCGTGCTGTATCATACGACCTGTCATTGAGTCAACTGGCGTGGTTTCGAATCCCCGGTTGTACGTGACAAGGAGTAGGGGTGCCTGTCCAATCTCGTGGGTTTTCTCCGGGTCCTCCGGTTTCCTCCCACTGCTAAAGACCCCTACGCGCAAGCGAATTATTGAAATAAGGTTAAACCATGTGTTAGTCCCGGAATGACCTAGTTTGAGTCGAGTGGACGTTAAACCCTATTTCTCTTTCTCTCTTTCAAATCAATACTTGTTTTCCGAGAGTGACACGATTTCCCTTTGTTACTCAATATCCTCTCCCACGACTAAAATTCAAACAAGGTAATAATCTCCCCCCTACCGATTGATAATAGATCGTTTATCATATCAATCGATCGTGTACTATACTACAATAGTACCGTGGTTACCTCTTTATTAAAATATTTATTTATTGAGTCATACTCCGTCAATATTACAAACAATACGACCTTCCGTTTATTTGTCAAGGAGTCTTGTTAGTGGTGGCCATGAACTTATTTCTTAAAACTCCCACTCCTCGTGTAAATTTACCAGACTTAAAATTAAATTTCTAACAGGGTCAGGAGAAAATTGTAGACAGCATTATCCTTACCGGTCTCTAATACAAGGTTAAGATAAAATATGCATTATGCGAAATCGATTTTTATAAACTTTCGTGAAATTAGCGCCACATATTTCTTGAAATTGAATATTTCCTCGGAAATCAAAAGTTGCACAATTCCTGAGATTCTACACGCATCTGGACTTTTGATATTTGATATGGCTGACATAAGGGAATCGATTTCATTCTGTTATTTGCAATAGTCATTTTCCAGGAAATGAACGGGTCTGCGATTCCCCTGAAAATCCTGCTATACACATGTAATTCAGTCTTATTAACAGTTGATAAACTTGCCAAGAATCAAATTTAACACATTCTGTATTCCAATTGGTGACACTATGATCGTTTTATAATTTTATAGTATTAAAAGTGAGTTTTCTCTTTCTGTTCATCTTTATCCCCCCCCCCCCCCCCAAAAAAAAATAGAAAGAATAAAATAAAAAAAAATAAACAACAACTCCCACCTCCAGCAATTAGCAATGATAATAATAATAATTAAAAAAAAAAAAACCAAAAAACAAAAAAACAATCGAAATAAGAAATTAAACGTACATACTAGCAAACAAGAAATGAGGATCCGACTAATAATGGTAACAATTAAAACCTGAAATAGGCCTACTAATTCAGTGTAAATGGTAATTATTAGTATAGCCCACCTTTTATAACTAGGAGTATAAAAACAAGAAAAAGTTTCAGCTCCATCTTTACGTCCTGTGTATTTGAAAGTCCGAAGTAATATGAATAATTGTGGGAGTCGTATTATCTATTTATAGACTGGGAAACCGTAGTGACGTCATGAAAGGGTTTCCCCAGATCTCCATATTGCTTTTTAGTTAATACGAACTCATCTCAATAATTGTGATAATTTCCAGGAATTTAAAACCGCCTATGGTTCTTTTACGGGCACGCTTGTGTATACAGAATCTTGGGGTTTTTTTTCGACCCATCCGACGGACTAGACACTGTGTATGTATTTTAATCAGATTGACTAGACACTGTGTATGTATTTTAATTGTTGAATGCAGAGCCGGATTAACCACGGAATGACTTTCATCTGTTGTGTTATTGAATTGTCATTTCGCAAATACGGTTTGTTTAGTAGTTGGAATTCGATATAAGAGCAGGCCATAGTGCCGTTGCCCGAGCAAAATTTTCCTCTGTATGACGTATGCCTGTCTTCATTAACCAAGTCGGAGCAGAACAGTAGAACGTTAAACCTCCATTTCATTCACTTCGTTCTGAGACAAATTTATAAATATAAATATATAAAACAAAGGCGAGGGTGACATACCCAAACTGAAAAAAACCCAACTCATCCCACCCTCCTTATCCCCGCCTCCATTCCCGATCAATGTACCGAAACAGTCTACAAAAAACATGGCCACTTTAAACTACAAACAATTAAAATAAAATTGGATAAATCCGTGGACGTAAAATTTTAATAGCATCACGATGATACTTCATCAAATTAAGTAAATTGGATTTTTTTCCTTTCTGACAAGAATATAGGTGGTATTATAATGATGATAAATTTATGAATTGTTTATATTTCATTCGTTCAATATTTCATTCGTTTAGTATTCATTCATTCAATTAAACATTTATGTTATTCTCATGTTTCTGTTAATCCCTCATTTTAAATTAGACGTTAAGCTACTATAAATCTTATGACAGCTGATACATCAAAGAGTTTAATTACTATCTTATTGTTTTATTTTATTGCAATGTATTTTATATTTTAATCTTTCTTCGTTAATTGTTATTAGTAACGTTGGTGTATATTGTCAATTCCTTAGATACCATTTTATTATAAATACCAATTTGTACATTTATAGGTTTCATCCGATTTCCAGGACGTGCTGTTCTGCGTATATGGTGTTTGATGTTTTCCGGTAATATAGTTTCAAGGATAGTTCCAGTCTTTTTAAATAAAACTGAAGATTCTCACTGCTACAGTATTTCACATGATTAAAATAGTGTCTACGTAAACATTCAGCTATGAATACAATTTAACTGTATCAATAGGATGGTATTAACACTTCGCGTAGTTTCTTGTGTTGAGAAAAAACCTAAATTATTTACGTTTAAGAAATGCCCGCAATGAAATAATGTATAATTGGAAATTATCAACAATTCCACGAAGTCTATAATATACGCTTTTAAACACAAGCAGTAACTATTAGGTTATTAAGCTTTCATATTACATATGAAAGCTTATTGTTTCTGTTAAGATTATTATTGTTATTTTTTTTTTGTGTTTTGTCCACAAATCGGATTTCTCAGAATCTAACCATAGGATCGTTCTGAAACTTTTACCTATCCCCCCAAAAATGGGTGGTGGCTGTTGATTAAATATATTTTCAAAACGTTTTACGAATCCGAAATCACCGAATTTTACGAAGGAATGCATTTGACCTACAATGCTGTAACTCTGTGACTATTTGACCTATTTTACTAATTCTTTTTTCTTTGAGTATCTTGAAACATTTACTTCAAATCTGCAATTTCGGATTTTGGCATTTCGAAAATTCGTCGCTGTCATTTCGAACCGGAAGTTATTACCAATTTGACAACTTCTTTAATAGTTGTGCGATTTTCGTGAAATTTAGAATGTTAGTAGATCTTGCCAATGCGACTTCAATGATGTCCTTGGAAATTTTCTAAATTATCTCCCCTTGGTGAAATTAAGGATCAAAGTTTTAAAAAAAATCGTCGAAATATAGGTCAGAATGACCTAAAAAAAAAATTTGATACTAGACAAGTAATTACTGATTCGTACACAAAATATGGAGTTTGTCGATCGAACCGGAAGTGCCACCATCTTTAAACGTGAAAAATCAAAAAGGCTTTTTTGCTATTTTACTTACAGACTCGGGCGTCATATTTTCGGAATCCTGGAAGGAATACCTAAAAATCTATCGGATCAGAATTTTGATTTCGGTCACGTGATGGTCACCATTTTGAATTGAAAATGAAAAATAGAAGCAATTTGAAGGGCCGGGACTTTGGAACACAAGAACTCTTTCCTTCTAATTAAGCTAGAATGTTCAAACTTGGTGTAGGCGTTCACTAGGTCAATGTCATGATTGAGTTCAAAGATGAGCATTTTTTGCCTAGGGTAAGCAGAGATAAGCAAGCTGATTTGTTGATTCTTTAGGGCACGATGACATTGGTTATAATGAATGGAGGGCGATGAAACTCTTGTCAATCAAGAGGCTAATAGCTGGCCTGTTGTGTGAAATCATTGTATCATTTTTTATTCGAATTTCTCCTTTGATGTTTTCCGTGCCGACAAGGTTGTTTTCGAGTTAAGCTGGATTTGACTTCGCGCATGCGCTACGCTGTAACCAAAGGTACCATGAGTACTAAATTCCGGCGAGCAACTTTTCACGTTGGTACCTAGGT